TTTTCCTTAACTTTTTTCAGTGCTGTTTTTAAAGGTCAACATTTCTCTTTAGTCTTTCTACAGTGGCATTAATATTTCACGGTATATTAAAAAAAACACCCTCACCGAACTGTTAAAAGAAATTGAAGCACTCGGCATAAATTTTGAAAATATACCCATCATAAAACTCTGCATCTATTAGAGCCGACCCTCTACATACTGTATAGGCATAAACAAACGTGCAAATTACGACTAGCCCACCATAGACGACAATAATTGAAAAGGGGATGCATTCTTAACTTTCACCGTAAGGCTAAATTAACTATTTTCTCCCTTTTTAGAAGTCAACGAAAAAGGTTGCAGAAAAGCCACTGATGATACTGATCTAAGAGATGCTAAAATTAATTTAAATGTATGTTTACTTCTGTCTTAGAAAAAGTGATTTTCAATTGTTACATGTGGGAAAAATAACGAGTGGTAAAATTGCAATAGCGCTCATGTGCAAATACATGAGGGTCATTGAAGGTAATAAAACCTACCAATATCTCATCTATGAAATCTTTATTTTTTAATCAAACAAAATGAGTAACAAAAGATTGATTACTTTGATGTACATTCAATTCCAATGGAAAGTGCTTTGTTACCATATTTTATTAACATACGATTTACATAGATTTTATTTAGAAATGCACATCTCAAAACAGGAATCCCTGCCTTTTCTGGACTGTGCATTCCCTAAAGCAGCATTTATTTTAGGAGGTGAAGAGTACTGGTGCAGAAATCTAAAGCAAAAACAAAAAAACTTCTCCACAACAAAAGAAGTTTAAAGAAATCATTTCATAAGAATATTTTAAAAACATATTCCAAATATAATTCATTGCCTCTATCACACACAAAGGATTTTAAAATGACCAATTACAAAATTGTGATTTCATTAAAAACAGGAGGCATTCAAAAAACTCTCCCAGTTTTACTCCAGCGTGATATTAAAAATGACAGCATTTAACATACATGATAAAAATAATGATAAACTACTGAAAGCAATATGTAAGCATAATTAAATTTGGTTATGGGTTAAGATAGAGGGCACAGGGAAACTAAACCAAACACTTTTTAATGCACACCTTGTATGAACCATGTCTGAACCTTTCCTTTTAATACATTAAGGAAACGTTTCTTTACAATTACACATGCAGATTGTGACAGAGAAGGGGAGACCCTAATGCTTCCTGTTCCTGCTATACATATGTCTAAACAAAATTCTGAATTTAAGTTACGTCTGAGACCAACTGTTCAACAGAGATCAAGTTTCTGTCAGCTTATTTTTTTATACAGACCTAGCCATGACTCCTCACTTGGATGAGCCAAACGAACACACGTCCACTTAAAATAAAAACTTTAAAAGTCAGACCATGAGGAGAAATCTTTAACTGAAGATGGTAACTGTCATTTTGCCAGTATTGCCTTAACATTATTAAGGGTTAATCTTGTACAGTGCCATTTAAAATCTTATTGCACTGGGAGAGTAAATAATAAAACAGATATTGTAAAAATCAGTAACAGTACACACAGCTGGTGACCTGGTGCAAAAAGAGACCACTTCTAAAATATTGTTCTTTTTGCTGCCCTGAATCAAATAAAGCGTACTACAAAGAAAAGTGAATGGCTTGTAAATAGAAAGTCATACAAATAATATAGAGCTTTTGTCAAAATAGCCTGGGTGGAGTTCATTTTTCTTCCTCTTGGGTAGAACGAAGATTTGTGAAAAATCAATTCAGGTGCCAGAAATTCTCAGTCAGAAACCTTAGCTGCATCGAAGTTTACAGCCAGTTTCCTAGGTTTCCGTTTTGCAGAAGAGCCGGTAGTCTGGGGATTGGGGTTCTGTTTCAGGGTAGAGGAAGTGGATCTTTCTTGGGGTTCCTGGGAGGTTGGAGGGGTCTGACTAGGCGTCACAGTGGCAGGTGGAGCCGTGATCCGCTGGAAAGAAGGGTCACACGCTTCAGGTTTGACGGTCTGCTCGCTCTTCTGAGATCTTACGTACTGAGAGTTGTAATACTCCCTGGCTTCAAGATTCTTCTTGCCAGCGGCTCTTTTCTTAGTGACCTGGAAAAGAACATTGCATCATGGTTTCAGAGAAGCGGGGGAAACCTGTATCGGGGTCATTAAATCTGATAGTGGCGTGTGTAGCAGCTAGAGATTTAAAAGAAAAAAAAAACCCAATGTGAACGTCCTAAACATCTTTCCAGGCACAGATCTTTTCTCCATTTTGGTTTTGGACTTTGTTATGGTTGACACTTACTGTTTGCACTTAATTTACAGTGCATTTACAGTTTCATTATTATTTACATTTCCATGCATACATAAACAACCAACCATCCTTAAGGTTAATCGTTTTTCAAAGAGCATTTTTAGTCACGTTTATCTGTGGGTTCGCATGACCATAAAGTGCGATTTAGTCAACAACACAACTGCTATTTACTATTTACTGCTTTGTCTATTTACTAAGAGGCCGAGGTCTTTAGTAGAGCCACGATAAGACTGAAAAACCTGTTAACTCAAAAATTAATGCAAACCCCAACACTTCAGAATTACATTATTTAATGAAGACAAGTCTAATTGGTTTCCAGACTCGGTGACTGAAGAGAAATCCTTCTGCCATATTCTACCTGAAGTGGCACAAACTGGTTATGTGTCCCAATGGGAACGGCAGGAGCTGGTGGTCTTGCCCCAGGATACGTGCCCTGATAGAAGGCTTGCCCCTGCATCTGAACCGGAGCCCCCCAGTGCAGGGGTCCGTATCCGTGAGCAGGAGGATGCATCAACAGATTCCCTAAAAAGAGTCGTTTTAAACAGCCATTAGCAGCGACCACATAAACCAGGTGTTGCACAAGACTCTATAACAGATCGGCACCTTTGACTCCAAGAAAATTCTAAGTGATGTTTTAGCTTGTATATATTAACCTGAAAAAATCGTTTTAATCCTGTACAAATTGATCAACTAGAAATCTGCTGGTAATTCTGTTACAAACATGTAAGTAATTTATAAAGCTGTGGATGCCAGAGAAGAAAAACGACACTATAATTACTTTCTAGCAGTCTTAAAACATAACAAAAAACAGGTCTACTTCCCTGTCGATGATGTTGCCCTTGTGTAAAAAACAAAATGTTGGCTTGGAGTGCTCATTAATACACCAGTCCAAGCGTCACAATCTTGGAATGGACTGGGCAAATACCACAGGAGTCCATCCCTATGGCTCATGTTTACTATCCTGCAAAGCAGTCCCTGTAAACACATTTCCTGAAACACTATAATATACTGTAGGTGTTATACCAGGAAAGGACTGCGATCCTGCAGGTCAGGACTGTTGATCTCATCCAATGAATATGCAAGCACACCACTCTCTTGCATAATGCAATGGGTGGCACCACAATACAGCAATTTTCCCAAAACAGATGAGTTGTCCAAACTCAGACATTTACTTAGTACAACATGGTGAAAAACAAATACTTCTAACTCAGTACTTCACCTTTCCTACAGAACTGCAGAACTTGCCCAGTGATTCAATGCCAAATGTGCACAGTACAATCTTACTAAAACAGAAAGGGTTCAAAGTCCTAGGACACTGCAGAGCCCCATATGAACACACACTCACCTGGGGGCTGGCCGAACACAGAGTGAACAGGGCCAGATGGGAGAGTTGCTCTCATCTGTTGCATACCGGAGAACATGGGCTGTGCCAAAGGGAAACCTGAACCGACAGAGTTCTAGATGGAGGAAGAGAACAAAATACAAAAATCACATAATTAAGAGGCTCAGTCTGATTCACTCTCAGTTCCTTTGTACAGTGATAATGAAGGATTAATGAAGTAGAAACAGAAGCAGTTTTAACATTTTAACAGCAGCTATACTAGAATGCGCAAACCCAAAAAAATTATAATAATTTGTGTTCTGAAAGAAATTCTACACTTTTTACTATCACAAATGGATATAGTTTAACAGGTCAGGATAGCAGCATGAACCCTCCCACCCACCTATACTTCATCCCTTTTGCAGTTCATTGTTTCCCACTTTTCTTAACTGCATGTGAATTTTATGAAATTCTCTTCTCTTACCAGTCGTTGCAAAGCGAACAAGGCCGCTTTTTCCTTGGCTTCGCTTTCAGACTGACACTGAGGCCCATGTACAAGAAGCCCATTAGACAGCTTCACCTGACAGATTGTCATTCCCTGAGAGAGAAATAATACAGCTGTTACACAGACCTGTCAAGAGAGTCATTTCAAGAAAGTGTATAAAAGTAAAAACAGTACATAACAAATTAAAAACATATTTATATACTTTAATGCAATAGTTATTTGGAACCCTATTTCTGCTGATAATATTCCAGTAGGATTTCATGCTGTAGTGCAGTAACATTTGCTTGACAAATTGTTAGATCACACTATTACATTTCACATACAAAAAGCTCAATGTTTTATATTAATGCTAAGTGCTTTATTTCTAATTTTCCACAAATATGCACGGCATATCCTGCAGTTAGGAAACTGAATTAATCTAGAAACTGAATAAACTATGTACTGCACATTCAAATGACGCCTACAGAAAATTAAACAAATACTTCTGTCGTATCTTAAAGAAATGTAAGGTTAGTTTCAAAACATCCCAGCCCCTTAAAACAGTGTCCTGAAGCTCCAGAGCCTTTCTTACTCAAAGAAAACCTTAACCTGTTGTTGGTAGAGCAGGGAGAACACATTCACTTTGTTTTTAAAGGAAATGTTTTAGTCTCTTTGCCAAAACTATCAACATTACCGGTAAAACGTCAGGGTCCAGTTGTCTTAGTGACTTAATCCCTGACTCCAGATATAAAGGAGCTGACAGTGTTTGCTAAAAAGACAGTCTTATTTCACCTGTGGTGTTCTGAGGAAGGCGAACTCTGGCACTGACATTCCCAAGCCCAGACAAATGCGGGAGAGCTCAGAGGCCACAGTAGGAATCAGGGGCTGATGAGGAGGCAGGCACTGTCCGGGCTTATCTGCTCCAGGGCCATGCTGTGCAACACCAGGGACATTTGGCTTGTTGATGTGTGCAGCTGTGAACAACAGCACATATACAAATTGATACTTTTTTTAGCTATGTAAAAATATATGCTACATAAGCCATTTAAAATCATGGCTCATATGTGTATATCAACTCTGAGGTAGGGACCCCAGCTCATTCTAATGAATGAAAAGAATGGTAATCTGAAAGATTGCAGGTTATACCTAGCTTTTTACTTGGCCTCCTCCTAGGCTGGTAGCTGGTAGTGGTGGCTGAGGCTACAGGCTCAACGGGTGAGGGCTTGACCTTCTCAGAATCAGCAGAGCTGGAGCCGTCAATCTTTAACATCTCCTTCAGCATCAGCGTTCCCTTCTGCAAAAGGAAACATGACATTTCCTCTCACATCTGTGTCTTTCATAGCAATTTACTTACTGCAGAGGCCCTGAGGTGCCACACGTCTCAATTTCCTGGAGAAACGTTCCCACTTACCATTGCAAATGATTGTGGAGACAGAGGCTCTTCAGTGGTGTGGATCTGGTCTTTGGTCTGAGATGGCAGAGTCCCACCTCCTTTGGAGATCTTCAAATTAGCTATTAACTCTTCAAATTCAGTAGAAACCTGGCATAAATTACATCAATTAGCTCCTGCAAGAACAGTATATTTCATATACTCTATTTCAGTTTGCCTTTGTCCTTGCACTCAGATAGGGAAGTTTTATCTTTACCTTATTTGAAGTGTCCTGTGAAGAGCTGTGTGGCTGAGCTGAATCCACTGCATTTAAGTCTTCGTTCCTTTTCAAGACTCGTATACTTGCTTTTGTTCTACCAGCACCAGATGAAACCTGAAAAACAGTTATAACATACTGTTGCTATGCAGCTGGTTTATGGCATCTTCTCTCCTAGCAAATGGTAGATTTGGATTGACTAGTAAAATGTTATGACTTTGAAAACACTGGAGCTATAAAACGAATTAATTATTCTAATATATTTTAAATGGTAATACACATTTTACATCCATTCTGGAGGAATGGAGATTGCCTGAAATTTATATAAATTCAGCATAGCACATTATATAACATAGTACAGTGTTTTATTGCTTACAATATACACAGTTAAGGCATAGAAAGGTATGTCCTATTAAAGGCCCTGTTATGAATTCTAGTGGATGAATATACAAATACTGGGATCAAAATTAAATTAATGTGGGGTGTATGGCTTGATAAAATCAATTTTCCCCACCACATTCCATCTCATGACAAATTGACAACATTCATTCATTTGCCATTTGCACTGTGGCCCTGTTGCAAGTGTCTGACGAGTGTTTAATAGTGGTAAAATGCTATCTGACAAATTCTGAAAGCCCAGGGACAAACTGTCTACCCTACTTACTGACAACTGCCTAAACAAAACTCTTTTTGAACACAGTTTTTAAAGCAGGGATTTGGAAGTATGTTCAAAAAGTATCCAAGGTAGGGTTAGGGTTAGTGTTGGAACAACACCTACACATCTTCTAATGCATTTGCTGTGCTTTAGGATGTATTTTCAAGAAAGCAACACAGTGCGCCAATGTAACACCACTCCAGAAAACATAACTTATAAAAAATTACAAATTGAAATAGTCAAAAACGTAGAAACAAAAACAGGAAAAATAGCAAATACAGAAAAAGCTACAACCGAATTAAAAAAACAAGGTCTTTGGTGGGGCAGGCATTTGGCAAATTTAATCTAAGATCAATTATAATGCAAAGTGTTCCAAACAGGTAGTAGAAAGATACACGTTTCATACTGTATATGTGATTCTGAGCTGCAGGGCATGATCTGGGTTCTTATATCAGCTCTGCTATGTCCTAATTAAAAATGTGGGGAAGCAAAAAAAAATAAGCACAATGCCTGGGTATGTAGCAAAAGGTGTGAAATTTAAGACCATTTACAATACCGTTTGCAGCTTTTATAGAAGAGCAACAAAAATGATTTCTGGTCTCAGGGGATTGTCATATACAAACAGGTCAAGGGAGTTCTCACAAAGGAGTCTGAGTGAAGGTCAGATCAAAATTAAAGTATATAAGATCAAGAGAGTATGGACAGAATAAACAAGGGACTATTTCATACTCAGCAGTGAAACAAGAACACACTTTAAGACAAAGTATTATGCTTTTTTACACAAGGCATTGTAGTTTCTCTTACATACAAGCCTAGTGGTTGAGGGCTCTTTTAAAAAAGGCAGACAAAATTTTAGATTCACTGTTACTAAAGGGGTAAAGGAGCTAGGTTTTTCTAAATGACTTCATCTTGTTTGCAACCTTTCTTATGTTATTACAGGATGTAATTGGGAGCATGTGGGCCAACAACAGAACTTTGATTAAGGATGAATTTGAAACGCTCTGTCCAATGAGCAAATGAAAGAAATTCTTCAATTTAACATACCTGATAAATTCATCTTTAGCCGCCCACCCATAAAATGTATATTCATAAAGAAGATCACTAAACTAAGAAATGTAAAAGCCCCAAAAGCTGAAGAATGAATTCGCTAGGTGCTGCATCTACCAACAGTTAAATATTTATAGATGTTTTTCTGCTTACAGGTTTGTTCTGAGCTCTGGAGGCTTGCTGTGTGTCATTTCGCTGGTTGCGGTCTTCCTCCTTTGTCCTCCTAGCCTGTCCCTGCTGGTGAAGGCCTTCATCTCTTTGTCTGTGCTGCCCCTTCACAGCAGCCTGGCTCTGGGATCCTGCTCCCCAGCCTGACTTAGTGGGCTAAAACACACAACCACACCCACCATCACTTCAAACTCCTACTAACAAGAGCTTTACAATCAGTGAAAAGTCAGAATCGTTTTCATTATCTAGGATTACACATCACTGACCCAATACTCAACAGTTGCTTGACATGCAACATGAGTAACCAAAAAATCAAAACAAATCTCAAAAGACAGGAGGGTTGCAGAAATAAAGTTACTCATGATACACAAACATACCTAAATCCTTATTTTTACACGATGATGGTAAGGAGCACAATTCTAATCTTGAAAAAGGAAGCACTTAAATACATCTAACAACCCTATAAACAAATGCAAGCGCTAAATCATCAAGAAAAATGTACTTCTTCAATAGTTGGTTTTAAATTTTATACAGCCAAAATACTGTCACAGAAATCTGAAGCGTGTCGGTGCTTGGTAGATGCTGGAACATAAATGCAATAATCATAAAACTGAACCTCAGTTCACCAAACTGCGGTTTCTGCAAATGTTTAAATTCCAAGCAAGGAACTTCTGTTCTACAACACTAAGGAGACAAAATACAACTGAACTGAAAATGAAAGAAGAGAGCAGGAGCCGCCCAGCTGGCTCACCGAGTTCTGCCAGAGCGCGGGGGGATTCTGTGGTGCTCCAGAGCCCTGCAGTGACTGCCACACACTCGAGAACTCGTCCTCCTTGGCATGGCTCTGAGGACAGGAACCAACAGTCATTTATTCACACGACGCCATTACACACCAGGGGACATTCATTCAAAACAAAATAACAGAGCAGGAAACATTATACAAACATTCACCAACAAAATGCACCCAGCAACAACTATAATATAATAACAAAATTATTTTTTGGGGGTGCTCACTCTGCGGTCCATGTGGGTCCTAATGCCTCAGTATAGTGACGGGGACGCTATACTGTAAACAGGCGCCGTCCTTCGGATGAGACGTAAAACCAAGGTCCTGACTCTCTGTGGTCATTAAAAATCCCAGGGCGTTTCTCATAAAGAGTAGGGGTGTAACCCCAGCATCCTGGCCAAATTTCCCATTGGCCCTTACCAATCATGGCCTCCTAATAATCCCCATCTATGAATTGGCTTCATTACTCTCTGCTCTCCTCCCCACTGATAGCTGATGTGTGGTGAGCGTTCTGGCGCACTATGGCTGCCGTCGCATCATCCAGGTGGGGGCTGCACATTGGTGGTGATGGAGGGGAGTCCCCATTACCTGTAAAGCGCTTTGAGTGGAGTGTCCAGAAAAGCGCTATATAAATGTAAGCAATTATTATTATTATTATTATTATTATTATTATTATTATAATAAAATGTGAATTGTGAGTTTTTAGAACGTAAATCACACTATGGCATATGTCCAATTTTTCCGCCTCTACCAATGCATTCACCTGCACCCAGTCAAAAGAGCACAGGGGTTACAAGGTAAAACACAATGGCCAGGGATTTTTTTTTCTTTTAAATTAAGGGGATAAATTCTAAACCAAGCATCCATAATTAAAGGGAAAACAAACTATATGTATATTGACTTGAAGTGGACTACCTTCTGAGTGTTTTTCTGATTGAACGTCTTCTGAGAATGCCAGTTCCCCTGATTGTCCGCCCTGAGATTGTACACCTGCCTCCCGTTCAGTTGCTAACAAGAAATGGAAAAATGATGTGAAGACAAAAAGCCAAAGACCACTGCCTTTTACATCTCTTCACCATGTACGACAGTTTTCAATTACAATTTACATCAATTTCCCTTCGGGATCAATAAAGTCTTATCTATCTTTCCTTACCTGCGTGGGTACAAAAGGAGAGCAGGGGGAGTGATTGAGGCCTCCGATCTGCACTTTGTGAGGGTTAAGTGAAGAAGCAGGAAAGTAGGAGTTTTGGTGGGAAGCAGATGCTGGCTGGGGTTTCACAATGGCAGTCAGTTTCTGAGCACCATATTCCAGGCGAATGCCATGTGTCAGGTTGATTAAGGCACTTGGTGGAAGCCTATAGCCCTTTCCTGAAGAGCATCTAGGGGTATGACAAAAGAGAGCAAGATTTTACACAGGAACAATCACAATCATTTCACCCTAAACACCACAAGAATTAATTTTCAACAGTCAGAGGTCATAGGTTTAAGACCACTGTATCAGAATTTACAATGTTCATCTAATATCCAACTTACGGCCTCCCCTTTAGCCTCAATCACCTTTATTTTTGGACATTAACACAGTATTCATTTCTGAGGAACAAACCTTATTGTTAGGCCTCCTACAAATTCTTCATCAAAGACCACTTCATACAGGATTTCATCTTCTCTATCAGCTGTAGATGGATACAAAAACATTAAGAACTTAAGAAAAACATACATTTAAAAAATGTCCATCCTGACTTGCATTTTGCTTTCCCACAAAGATGGAACTTAAATTGCTCATCTGCACTTCCACCTCCTCATTTCATGATACATACAGGAGATAAAAAGTTCATTTATGCTGTGGTCTGCTATTCAAATGACTTTCTCCTATCCATCCAAAAAATCAAAATACAGTCAATTTCAAATGTTAGCCCTGCTAACATCAACCTCTTCTTACTGTTCTTTATATTTAAATGTCCTGACTGGCATATAAGCAGAAACACAAACTCCTGATATCATCACTATGGATATTGTCCCATCAATACCAATCAATTTTCTTGAGTCACAAGATTTAAGGACAAAGAAACAAAGTTATTACATTTTGCACCAGTCATCATTCAGAAATATTCATAAAAAGCAGGAATTCCGCATTCTGAAAGCTTCCCAGAATGTCACAATTCATGATGTATAGTAAGACAAGGTCTTAAGAAACAACTTGCTAAATTAAAAGAACACTTTAAAATCGATTAACTCATCTGAACCATGACTGATTATCACCTGAAAATTTCAGGCACTACTTCTCATTAAAGTCCCACAGATGTGGGTTATATTTACAATTGGATAGTAAAAAAAAGCCTGAAACAGGTGTTTTTCTAGGTTATTTGATAACTCCTGCAGAGGGCAGGAGTCAACCATGCCTCCTTAATGTCACCATTTCTGCAGTCCCCTTTAAGTGATAGTAAGACGGTTTCATAGGAATTGAATTAAAGGTGATAGGAAATGTATATAACAAGCATTTTGGAGAGCATCTCTTTACCTCCTTTGATTCCAATGACAGTTCCTCTAAGTCCGAGGGGGACAGAGAAGTTCTCCCTGACATTGACAACGCGGTCAAACAGATGATAATCTGCATCTTTGTCAGGAATGATTCCATGTTGCTGCTCCAATGGCTGCCAGAGAACAGAAAAGCCTTGGTCACACTGGAGACACGTATTGAGAGCAACAGGCCATAAAGAACTGTCGCTGCCCTCATGGACACACAGCAAACATACTGGGGACACACTGCTTATACTGTATGTCACCAGGCTGAGAGCTCTTATTAAAGAAATAATAAAAACCATTATGATGAAAAATGATTAAAAAATGATGAAAGGTTAATTTGATTTACACTCAAGAAGATTTGGACTCATTTTTAGAATAGGGAGATAGGTTCCCATTCACTTTGTAGCATCCTGAATTATAGAGAAATTTAACTGAATGAGATTTATTGTTTGGCTTAGAAGGCACATTTTTCTCTTCCTGTTGGTCTGTGTAGGTGTAGGATTTCAATACTTGGTAGCAGGCTAGGGATCTCTGGTTGGTCAGGATATAGGCCCCGGAGACACCTTGTTTGTAAATAATGTAACTTGTATTTTGCATGTTTATGTTGCCTGTTATTTCGTGTGTTTGTTGTCATACTGACCGCTAGCGTATATTCTTGGAGAAATCTTTACAACTTGAGGTTATGAGTTTTTTTGCTTATTGACTAGCCTGCTTGCATATTTCATAAAACCTTAGTTGTAATAATATACCTTAAATGTCAGATTTTATTTGATAATTTTATTACAGCAGCTAAGTGATTTGATTTAAACGTTTTCCACTAATTCTGAGCATTAAAAAGACATTTTGCATTAGCCAGTTGCTTGCAAGTCACAACCCTGGCGATTGTGGCTATACTGCATGTGTGGTTAAGGCATGAGAATCTTCACAATGAAATCGAAGGCACGAATGCCCCATTATAGATTAAGCATGTGTGAGCCTTGTCAGTACCTGGATGGGAGACCTCCTGGGAAAAACTAAGGTTGCTGCTAGAAGTGGCGTTAGTGGGGCCAATATGGGGCGCTCAGACAGTGGTCTATGCGGGTCCTAATGCCCCAGTATAGTGATGGGGACACTATACTGTAAAAAGGCGCCGTCCTTCGGATGAGACGTAAAACCGAGGTTCTGACTCCCAGGGTGTTTCTCGAAAAGAGTAGGAGTGTAACCCAAGTGTCCTGACCAAATTTCCCATTGGCCCTTACCAATCATTGCCTCCTAATAATCCCCATCTATAAATTGGCCTCATCACTCTGTTCTCCTCCCCACTAATAGCTGATGTGTGGTGAGCGTTCTGGCACACCAGGGCACCAATGCACCATCCAGGTGGGGCTGCACACTGGTGGTGGTGGAGAAGATCCCCATTACCTCTAAAGCGCTTTGATTGTAGTGTTCAGAAAAGTGCTATATAAGTGTAACCAGTTATTATTAATTAAAGGCAAAAAAAGGGGAATTAGCACTTGGGCATGCTGTGATTCATGGACTTTTGAACATTTATTCTTCAGATAAAATGAAAAACTATCCACACACAAAATTGCCTTGAATAATCGATTGAAGAGTAAAACTTACTCTGTACAAAAGATGTGGCTTCACAGTGACTCGTACTTTCTTGGTGCTCCTTTTTTGCTGCAAAACAGAAAATGTAGTGAGAATGGGGGGAAAACATTTTCACATGAAAACTGTGACCCTAATTTTGCTAAAACATTTTCTAACTCACTAAGTAAGTGATGGTATATTAGCACTTTGAAGTGCAGCACTCTGGTTAATTATGCTGTGTTAAGTCAACTGTTCTGCATTACCTTGCACTTGTCCACCTCCTCTTCAATCTTCTCCACAATCGCAGTGTCCAGGATCTGGAGATCACAGGAAGCACGCGAAGAGGAGCTCACTGGATGAGTCTTCAGCCAGGATGTTATTTCCTGAACTTTCTCAGCTCTGGTTTTGAAATTTGAAAGATGTAAGGTAATTACAGCAGCCATATCACCCTGCAACTCACAACTGGCAACCCACTGAAGCTAAGCAGGTGTGAGCCTGGTCAGTACCTGGATGGGAGACCTCATGGGAAAAACTAAGGTTGCTGCTGGAAGAGGTGTTAGTGCAACACCTAACCAGGGGGCGCTCACCCTGCGGTCCATGTGGGTCCTAATGCCCAGTATAGTGACGGGGACACTATACTGTAAACAGGCGCCGTCCTTCGGATGAGGTAATTAAAAATCCCAGGGTGTTTCTCGAAAAGAGTAGGGGTGTAACCCCGGCATCCTAACCAAAATTCCCATTGGCCCTTACCAATCATGGCCTCCTAATAATCCCCATCTATGAATTGGCTTCATTACTCTGCTCTCCTCCCCACTGATAGCTGATGTGTGGTGAGCGTTCTGGCGCACAATGGCTGCCGTCGCATCATCCAGGTGGATGCTGCACATTGGTGGTGGTGGAGGGGAGTCCCCATTACCTGTAAAGCGCTTTGAGTGGAGTGTCCAGAAAAGTGCTATATAAGTGTAAGCAATAAATTAATTAAAATTAATTCCATTTAGTTATCCACACCATAGTGATTCTGATGACTTTTTAGCTTGCAGCTTCTGTTCTTTTTGCATTTGATGTTTCTTGCATTAGCTCTGGAATTTCATGTCCTTTCACGTGCCCTGAATTTGGACTCAGTAATTAACCAACATAGCTCACTGCTACAAACCTCTACCAGACCAGATAGATGAACAACGTTTTACTATGCTGCACAATCAAGCCATCATATTACGCCTACTGCAAGCTGACTCCATTAAAGGTTTGGCAAACAAAAGGAGGACAGATGCAGAATTGTCTGATAACCTGCACGATCACAAATTACGTGGCAAGCAGAAACTTGAGAATACTTGGCCAGTTACAAACCCAGCCAAGACAAACAGCACATGGCCACTTCTGCAGTGCTACCTAGGGAAGCATGGTTAGTAGGTTAACCAATACTCTGGAACCTCTGAACTACAGGACCCAGCTCAAGCAGAAATGTAGGAAAGAACGGTAACTTCTAACCATACCCATTTTCATCTTCTCCAGGCCAGACATCATCTTCATAAAAGACATCTTCATGGCTATTTCTTGAAACATAGCTGAAAATCTCAGAAAACCTAAAATGCACATAAAAAGCAGAGACATGTTTTTCAATAATAAAAGTGCAGGACTTCTAAAATCAAATGTTAAAATCCTGAAAGTACATTTAATTGTCGCAATAGAATTTAACTGGTTACAAACCTTTCCAGATACTCTGCAAGAAGTTCTTCCACAGCAACAGAATACAGCCATTCATTCCCAGATTTTTTTGTGTACCCCGGCACCTCTTCATTTTTCTTATTGAATTTCAGATTGAGCCCTACATTGACTTTCTGCTCTCCATGTGGGCTAAAGAAAAAGTATAAGCACAATAATTGATCAAATATAATGCTGAATACATCACATTTCTCAATGTTAAGGAGAAATGTCATAACCAGGGGTTCATGCAATCTTAATTATAAGCTTCTCCAATGAGTATCGGCAAAAACAGATTGGCTTTCTTGGCTGTTGTTGCCAAATGTCTTTATCTTACATCACAACACACGATCGAGGGGTCAGTTGTGGTTCTCAAATAATTTTGTCACATATCAGCTTGATAACAAATGTTGCTACAGAAAAAGGGGTTTTGCATTGCCCGTCTCATCTCATGCACCGTTTCGGTTGTGGAGCCTTCACCTGAAGTACTTTATAAACCCCGTGTATAAAGATAAAAGGTAGAAAAATTAATAGCTTACTTTTGTTTGGAACCTCTTCCAATAAATATACTTCCCGAAAACCTAGAGACAAGGTATGTGGTTATTCCGAGTCGACTAGCCAAAACATAGCCAGGGCTGTACTTCACTGAGTATTTCTGAGAAAAAAAAGAACAACAAAACAAAGAGAAAAATATTAAAAAAGGAATCTGCTTCACAGATTTAAAATTACCACCTCTGCACATCTTTGAAGATTAGTACTAACTGGTCTCTTAGCTTTTGTACTCAGCATTAGAACCTTGTTCAAATTGCACTTACGTGCTGATTGTGTATTAAGGCATCCAGCTGAGGTTCACAGGGAACAGTGAAGAGAACCCTGAACCGACCTTCACTGATGACATCGGAGGAATCCAGTACCTGTAAGTGATCATACAAAGGGACTGATCTATCACAACAGTGCAGGTGAATTTATTATACAGGCACGGCTACCCACAAAAACAAGTTTGAAGCTCTGCTGTTGAACTTCTCTCCAAAGTACCTTCATTGTAATTAGAGCCATTTATGAATGCTCTGGGGATCCAAACAAAGGTCAAAGATGACCATTTTACAAGTACAAAAATACTGGGGATATTAAAATACATAACTTTTATGTTCAATGGGATCTGCCAGTTAAGGATTTTTTTCAAATCTATTTCAAACTGAAAGGATGCCTGCAATACCAACCTCGCCCACTGAGCCATAGTAGGGATTTCCCAGCATGAATACTGTAGTTCCAGGAGTGAAAAGCTCTTCCAATGTTTTAAAACAAGAGACAGAGGAATCGAAGGTTTTAAGATCCTGTTGAATAAAAAATACAAAGTAAATATATTTAAAAACCTTTTCCCCACAAGAATTCACAACTAAAATGTTTTTTTGATTACCAATTTGACAATTTAAAAGAACTAAATCTCTTCAGTCATGGACAGACAAGAAGTGAAGTCTTCCAAATCCTGAAATATGTGGTCAAAATTCACCCCGTGTATTTTTTCAGCACCAACAGTGAAAAACTAACCCCAGGATACAAGTGGAAACTAGAGATTTTACAATTGAGAATATGTGGCAAACGGGTATGGGAGTCTCAAACAAGCTACCCAGCCACATCCATGCAGTGGATACTATCGAAACCCTCAAGAAATGGATGAATGACTTCAGTGATTCAATTAGATTCAAGCAACCAGAAGGGATGGAAAGGCTTCCTCTTGTTTACAATCACATGTTCCTTCAATATTTTTAAGTCAAATTTTATTGGAATTTTATTCCATTGCATTCTTTCAAGATTTAAACAATTTCTTAAAATTGAGACATTACCTGAACAATTGTTTGATAAGCAAATGGAATTATCTGCTTGGCCCACTGTTTCTCCAGGTGAACTCCACCTTTCTGATCTAAAACATATTTGCGTCCAGTCATTAACTGGCCGTAGAGCAACACAGCAGTCTCATTTATAATGATGCCCTTTCTTCTGTTGTAGCTGTGGATGAAAGCAATAGGATTTCATTTAACCCATCAAAAATACACAGAATTCATGGTAAATATAAAAGCTTTTAGATATTTCTTCTGATTACAGTTATTACAGAAAATAATCAGTCTTGATGGTAGTATGAATACATTACGTACAACTCTACAATGCTTTGTACTTCTTTCAGCCATATGCTTTGTTCTTTGTCACTCAAGTAAACCACTTTTGTTGGTGGCACCGTTTTGCCTGAATAAAGTTTCTGTACACCAGGGGGCTCTTCCAAATAAAATCTGAAATAAAGAAGTTGGATTCAGAGAAAAAAGTGTCATTTGTTTGAAAGGTACAGACACAACTGTACTCAAATTTCTTGGCTAACACTGAACATCTGCTACCCAATATACAGTAGGTACGAAAGTCTATCAAACGTGAAGAGCTTTTTTACCTTTAAATCAGTATTTTATTTATAAAAGACTCTTCCAATATAAACCTTCTACTTCACAGAGAAAAAAAGTAAGTTGCAGATGCCTAATTCTTTATAAAGGAGCTCCTGACCTAGAAGGACGCACACAAAAGTGGTCTCAATTCTTTTCAAAACATTCAGGTTTGAAGTTCAGATCTTCCAACGCTTTCCAAGTAATCTTACTTTGTTTCTCCATCTGACACGGCAACAATCCGAGCTTCTTCCAAATGAGGCCAGTTCACAAAGACTGATTTGTCCAGCACCGATGATGCAACATCAGCACATTCCTAAGGGGTTAAATGGACACAACAAAGCTCACTTAAAACTGACGCCTTGGATCCTAAGAAAATAAAGAGTGCACAGATGAATGGGGACATATCTCTTAAGCGTCTTCCATTCTGTAGTTTTGATTTTGTTTTCGTTCCCCAGACAAGAGTCTACCCTTCGCAGGACACTGGACAGTCCTCCAGCACTGTGTCATCTCTAAACACTCACGGGCTCAACATTATCCTCCGGGATGATCTCCAGAATCATGTTTTCCCCTCGACTGCTCTGCTGAAACACTTGCACACCATTCTTCTTTTTGTAAAACTGAGGAAATAAGTAAAACATTGTCCATTAATCTTAATGCGTACACATATACAGCACATATAAACTGCACATACATTTTCGGCAGATCTTGCACTGGATTTTTTTGATTGGCCATTCCAATGACATTTCCTTTTATAATCTCCCATTTCAGCGTCACAAATCATTCATCAACATGGTTCATCAACATCCAGCAGATTTCAGCCAAGCCCTCCGTCACTTCCTGTGCAGTCTTGGTTATAAGTCATCTAATGACCCCAACAGCTTTCTTTACTGCTTTAGCCAGTAAGGCCATTTAGCCTTTGCAAACTCACCTTGTGTCTGATGTGCTTCAGTGTGGGGAAGCCACAGAAATACAGAGCACCAGGGTCCACTTTACGACGCGTGTAGCTGGGATCTACACGCCAGGCATCCATGGAAATTAATTCATGCCTGGAAACAAACATTTATATTTATTTAAAAGTACAGCAGACCTGAGTACAGGAAACAAAGGTAAGGGTTCCAATAAATCGCAACAAAAAAAACTCATCCTGAGCAAGAAACACAAACTGTGGGCTCCTTTGGTTCAGTTAGCAAATACTAGCTAATTCAACTCAGTGGTGATTGGTACTCAGGTTCATACCAATAAATGTCAACAAAGAAGAAAAACTGGAAAACTACATCAAGACACAGCACGAGATTAGCTTTACTTTTTCAAAAATTGATTAAAGCAATAATTAAGTTTAATTTTATTACTAGGTTTTCTATTACCATCATAAACTCATCAGATTTTTTTCCCCACAGTTGGGTAAAAAACACCCTGGAGTATCTATCTGCTCTATGGCACAGTTTTTATGTCTCTTAAACAATGCAATGACCTGTCGATTCAAAAAGTATCTTATCTATATACTTCTGAATAAGAAATGAATTACCTGACGTGGCATTTTACGATGTCAGGAAATTTGCCAGGTAACGGTGAAGGGTATTGGAAATCCGTGTCTTTGTCATACCAGTACACAGCACACTCGCTGTGGCGATTTCTCTCCTGCTCACTTTTTGTCAGGAACGCGTTATAGGGCTCCATTGCTGACAGCAAACGTTTCTGGAAAACATTGCATTTGTTTTGTTATTCTATCGTAGTAGAGCAGCATTCGGCACGAAGATGAGCACAAACTAGGCCAACCGCCTTAAGAACAAAGCTGTTGTGTTACAGGCTGACAGACACAGTTACCATCTTCAAAAAATATCTGCGTACTTGCTGGATCTCAACATGAAGAAGTTTTACAAAATTACATTATTTGTATCTGAACTTCATCTAATACATTCGTAGGAAAAAATGTCACAGCTAAAAAAATAAAAATATACAAAAACAACGTTCAAAAAGTAATGAAACTACAATATAAGAGGCAGTTAACACTTTTAGGGTGCTTACATTCATTACAGAAACATGGCTAATTTGAAAGTTTATTTCTTAAGAGGTACACAGGTCTCTATTTTTCTTGGTCAGAGGACAAATGAGTTGAATCGGGCCTGATCACTATAAACATGAATTTACAGCCCAAAAACAAACTTATTGTTCCCAGTAAATCAATGCAGAAACTCTACTGAATTCTACTACAAATAAATGATCTGTAGCGGGAAAGAGATCCCCCGATACTTTTTGCCAACAGTTCAGCAGAGGTCAAAAGTGTGCATGAATCCCGAGAGGTTAACAGGAGGTCCAAGAGCCTCAGGTTGTCATGCATGACATGACTGCCTATATCAAGACCTAAGAGCTGGTGAAAAGGAACATCTAGATGAATGAGGTTACCCAGAGGTTGGCATCTGGCTTTGGAATAGTTTCAGAAATGATTCACACATATGTTCAAGATACAGGTGACTGCCAAAATAAAGGAAACGCCAACAGAAAGTGGCATTAGGCCACCACGTACCACCAGACCAGCTTCACCTCTTCACAGCTTCAGATATAGATTATACAAGTGTCTGGAACTCTATTGGAGAAATTCCATCTTTTGGTGTTTGGTTAGTTGTGGTGGGAAATGCTGCTCAAGCGCCACTTTAGAATCCTCTAAGTGCTCGAATAGGTTGAGATCTGGTGACTGGAACTGCCATGGCACATGGTTTACACTGTCTTCATACTCATCGAACCATTCAGTGACCACTCTTGCCCTGTGAACGGGGACATGGTCTTCCTGGAAGATTCCACTTCCACCAGGATAGACATTCTACACCACAGGATGAACATGATCACTCAGAATGGCTTTGTATTTATTGGCATGTGCCTTGCCCTGTGATCAGCTGAGTGGACCTAAACTGCGGCAGGAAAATGCTCCCCACACCACACAGAGCCGCCAGAACCCTTCGCTGCAGTCAACAAGCACTCGAGCCTGTAGGCTTCTTCTGGCATACCTTGTGGAGAGCAGGATGAAGGACAACTCATATGACCATATGACTTTTTTTCCACTGCTTAGTAGGCCACTGCCTGTGTTCTTTGCACCTGTGTACTGGTAAAAGTGTATTTTTAGGTGTAATAAGGAGTTTATGCACTGCAACCCAACCACAGCATACAGTGGTGCTAGAAAGCCTGTGAACTTTCTGAATTTCTGCATAAATTCAACCTAAAATGTGATCAGATCTTCATCTTAGTCAAAACAAATAGATAAAGAGAACCCAATAAAACAAATAACACACAAAAGAATGTACTTTTTCATTCATTTATTGATCCAACATTAAATGTATTTGTTGGAAAAAGTATGTGAACCTCTAGAATTATCAGTTCAGTTAAGGGGATAATTAGAGTCAGGAGTGTCAATCAATGTGATGACAATCAGGTGTGAGCTTGGGTGGCTCTGCCCTATTAAAAAAACATAAACCTGAGTCTTCACTACCAAAGTCTGGTCTTCACCACACAGGTTTGTGAATGCATGCCATGCTTCGATCAAAGGAGATTTCTGAGGACCTCAGAAAAAGACTTGTCTATGCTCATCAGGCTGGAAAAGGTTACAAAAAGACTTTGGACTTCACCAATCCACTGTCAGGCAGATAGTGTACAAATGAAGAAAATTATACACCATTGTAACTCCCCAGGAGTGGTCGTCCAACAAAATCACTCCAAGAGCAAGGCATATAATATTCCAGGAGATCACAAAGAACCCCAGGGTAATGTCTAAGGATCTGTAGGTTTCTCTTAAACTGGCTAGCGAGTCCACCGTCAGGCAAACACTGAACAAGAATAGTGTGCATGGGAGGATAGCAAGGAGGAAGCCACTACTCTCCAAGAAGAACATTGCTGCCTGTTTAAAGTTTGTTAAAGACCACTTGGATAAGCCAGAAGACTACTGGAAGAATGTTCTGTGGACAGATGAGTTGAAAATATAACTTTTTGGCTTAAATAAGAAACTTTATGTTTGGCAAAAACCAAACACTGCATTCCAACATAAGAACCTCACCCCATCTGTGAAACACGGTGGTGGCAGTATCATGGTTTGGGGCTGTTTCGCAGCCACGGGACCAGGAAGGCTTGCCATCATCGACGGAACTATGAATTCTGGATTGTACCAGCAAATTCTAGAGGACAATGTCAGTGCATCCATCCGTGAACTGAAGTTCAACAGAAGTTGGGTCTTGCAGCAAGACAACGACCCTTAACACACAAGTCAGGCTACCAAAGAATGGTTGAAGCAGAGGACATTTTGCGTTTTGGAATGGCCGAGTCAAAGTCCAGACCTTAATCCAATAGAAATATTGTGGCAGGACCTGAAGCAGGGAGTTCATGCAAGATAGCCCATCAACATCACCGAGTCGAAGCAGCTCTGTAAGGAGGAATGGGCCAAAATTCCTCCAAGCCGATGTGCAGGACTGATCAACAGTTACCGGAAACGTTTGGTTGAAGTCACTGCTGCTCAAGGGGGTCACACCAGTTATTGCAAGCATAGGTTCACATCACTTTTCCATCAAAAAAGACATTTAAAGTTGGATCATTTTGATCAATAAATGAATGAAAAAGTATATCCTTTTGTGTGTTGTTTGATTTATTGGGTTCTCGTTTTCTATTTGTTTTCCAAAGGGTTCACAAACTTTCTAGCACCACTGTACCTCTCTGCGAAGTACTCGACAGACTGTACTTGATGCAACTGCCTGTTCATGCCTTAGATTGACATTTACAGGCAAATGATTCAGACTTACTCATCTGTTTTGACTTGCATCTTGAACCAATGCACAGGCATCACGGTCAAGGATTATGCACTTTTGGCCACAGTTAACCATACTTTAATTATGTCTTTCCCTCGGACCTCCATGCCAACATCACTTTAGCTGCAGTTCCTCATGAAACATCAGCAAGCTGAGTTTTGTCACTGAAGCTCCTGCCAAATGTCCCGCAAAAATCACTCCTCTCTCAAATTCACAGAGATATTTTCTTCCAGCCATGATAGCCAAAATAATGGGCAATCCGGCCTGCCCAGCATTTTTATACATGATCTAAGCATAATGGGATGTTGCTTAATAAACTCACAAACCACACCTGGGTGGAACCACCTGCTTTCAATATACTCTGTACCCCTCATTTACTCAAGTTTTTCCTTTATTTTGGCAGCTACCTGTTTGCGCTCATAGACCTAGGCGGTCAGGTTTTACCCTAGTGAAATGACATCAGCTCCAAAAACCATTAGTGAAGATCCATGCCGTCAATTTTCATGGTTTACAGCTCATATAAATTCACTGCCATGTGCATGAGACCAAAATAATGCTCATGCTAGTCCCATCACCCACTGGACTCTAAAAATCTAAGAGTGTTTTTCATATTCAAAATGAGTGCTGGTGATTCAGTACATGCCACCAAACTTCTAGATGGGGATACACCAGCTTATGACCATGCACCTGGGGCCCTTGTTGCTCAAAGATGTACAATTACAATTTTAATCTGATGAATCGCCCACCCAACAGACCTGCCCTGGTACCAAATTATAACCATTTCCAAGATACAAAAGCACACCCGGGCAATATGAAGCCTAAAGATAATGAGAGCCTTGAGACTCCAACGAGGCTAGAGATGCATTTTTAATTAAAACTGACAGCTGTATGCTTAGAAATAAGCGTGTTCTGCGATGCAATGTGTTTTTTTTAAGTTAAGTAAAGCCTTATTTAGGAATACATTTACCTCATCGATGAATGGAATCAGAACAACGGCCTCCCATTCTTGTTGTTTACCATTCAGGTCAGTTTTGAAATCAAGTGGATAATATTCTATAATTGCAGATCCTTCTGATGTCATTAAATGCTGCAAAAGGGAAGAATAACTTTTTTTATACATCATTCACAGATATGTTTTTTTACAGCATTAAGAACACATCTGTGGAATTGCACCAAGTTACAGCTGTAATCCAAGTTTAAAAAAATCACAAACCCGGTAGCACTCTGGCAGCAGGTCTTTACTGGCAGCTGGAAGGACAGCGAGCAACTGTTCAAATGGCATAAAAGGCTTTGCCATCTCAAACCGCATTTCCAATTTGCTGATGTTACGGATATCAGACAGGAAAGGAGCATAGTGGTAAGGATAGTACCTAAAATAAGGAGGAGACAGAAGTAAGAGCATGCATAAATGAAGTGCAACATGGTTTATTAGAAACTAATCAGTCATTTATGCCCGCTAAAAGCAGACGTCCTTTACTAATTCAAGTTTAAATCAATTGGTGCATATACCAATCTTTTCCCTTGGCACTCTGAAGGAAAAACACGTGCTCCACAATTCTGACTTCAGAAGTGTCCAAACAACAATACGTCTCACAAACTGCCAGTGAAACTCCAATTCATTTTCAGCTTCTTCCTCATCAGCCAATTGATTGCCTATGAGCTTGAGTGATGCCCTGCCTCCAACAGCCTCCTAAGTACTACACACACTATTCAGCAATTGCACTGCACCTTCTCTGGTGATATTCACACCCAAAACAATGAGAAACAGAAAACTTCTGTATTAACAAATCTATGCATATACTTTAATCAAATATTGCAATAATGTTTTATTCTAATCTAATTACTATTTAGGTCATTTCCTCATTTTCTGAAGATTCACTTTGTGTTTTTTTAAAAATTCTAATTGCAATAGAGACCCCCTCAATAAAAGCTTTCATTTGTATCCTCGTTCTTTTGCATAGGACGTATTACTCAGGCATCTGCTGAAAGGATGAAGCTCTCATCGAGAAGACCACATTGATTTATAATCTTAAAAATGTATAAAAATAGAATGCTGAGAAGGTTACATGATTACTGAAGCCTTACCAACTCCAAGACTGAACTCCATGGTAATAGTAGTGCAAGATCCATTGTATTGCTCTGACATAACACTCTGCCTGACCAGCCAGGAATTCACTAGGAAAGAAAAACAGTGTTGACAGCCGCTCACATCTTGCATCTACACATGACCCTCAAACGACTTTAATTTTTCAAAAACAAAAGCAGCTCCAATTAAGTATGCAGTGACAGATAGCTGAAAATCTTTTCCAGAAATAATTTATGTTAAAACGTCTTATCAGCAATTTAAAGCCACAATGATCACGTTTACAATTATTTAAGCAGGAGCTCCCTCACAAAGCGATCATTGTAGCACAAAGCAAACATGACTTACTCCGAAACTACTTCCACTTCCATTTTGGTCATGTAATACGTTCTTTTGTACTGTCTGAATTCTGTCTCAAACATGTCATCATCTTCACCATCCTCTTCAACGCAATCTAAGGTTAAAGCAACAGGAGGACATGCTAAAAGATGTTTATTTATATTAGGCACAAAGTGTAATTCGATTATGTGTCTTGTCACGGGGATTTACCTTTGGTAGGGAGCCCTTCAGTGTCTTTATTCTCATCCAGAGCAGCTAAACACAGGGAGTCCTCCAGCATCTTAACACGTATAATACAAGAACTTGTGAGCATACAGTCAGTGATAATTGCAAACAAACACCCTGAAAAATGCAGGTAACATTTAAGACCTTCAATTTTACAATTCACTTTACAAATTTGTACATATTTATTTACAACTGTTTATATAAATGGTCACGATTTATCATATTTTTTCATTCTATTCTCAGAAAACTCCGACTATAGCAATATAAAAAAGTAATAGAAACTAGGAATTTCTAGGTTTTCTCACCAATTATGTTAACTGCATAACCAGACATATTTCTATTAAAGACAAAAGTACTTTAATATAAAGTAATGGGACCAAAATTAAACTTTGGCCATCAAAGAAGAGAGAACCACTGGTATGTAGTAGTTTTTCAGAAATGAAATTCAACTGCCAAATCAGTCAAGAGTTAGAAATGGGTCTAAACTGCTATGTTCTTGGTATCATGTAGTTCTATGTACCAACCCAAGTTGGAATTGCCAACAGTGTCTCGATGCACGACCTCATTCCTTGTGCCCAAAGGGAAGAATAAGGCACTGCGAGCAGGCCCCTCTGGCAAGAGCAGATACTGAGCCAATGATACACTACAAAATCAGGAGGCCCAGCTCTGGTTGGAGGAGAGGCATGTCCCCTCATGAAAGTGAGGGACATCATGGAGGTCACCGGGAACTGAGAAGGATTAGTGTGGTCAGAAGTCTACCTGGGAAGTGCCATTCTGGGCATCCTAGTCACAGTCGTGATGTAATTTTTTGATGAAGGTTTGTTCTTGTTAAAACACCGTGGGTCACAGTCACGGAAACAGTGCACACCAGGGCCAGGCTTAAATGGGAAAATGAACATATAAGATAACTGCAGTTGAATTAGGAATATTCTCCTACCTTGTTTCTCTTTCCTTCACGACTCTTGGCTTCTTCTGCCGCTATACCTGCTGCCTCGTTTAGGTACTTATTCCCCACCTTGGTCTCAAACCACTTCAGATCCACAAAAACTTCACTGAAATGTTCACGGTCAAACTGATTATAGGAGAAGAAGAACATAAGGTTACAGGAGAAATCAATTTAAACTTGCTCTGTTGGTTGTTAATAGCTAACCAGGCTCAGCATCCTAACCCACTCAGCAGTACTACCCCAACAATATCCTATTCCAATCTAAAGTGTGTTTTCAAAAAGATTTGGCTACACTCCTCCTTGCTCACAATAAAAGCCTAGAAAACACAATGTTTTCAAGAAAACTACACATTTATTTTTTACATTGGTTTACACAGATATTTCCCAATGCAGTTATCAATATATGCAAATAAATCTCGTAAAACACTCAAGATTCATTTTCAACGGTCATTTTTCCCCCCTTAATTTAAGAATTTCACTTCAAGAACATTTTGATGATAATGTTCATGGCACAAAATAATTTTGGTGGATAGCTTTGTCTCAAATTAAATGATGTGTTACCTCAGATAGCTTTTCAAGGTACTTCTCAAAGTTGGCAAGGTTTAGGTTTCCATTTTCATTAATGTAGCCTGATGAGAAACAAAAAAGTCAGATAACCTGACAAAAACATTCCTTTGTTTTCGGCTATAGGTAAAAAACAATACTGTTTCAACACACATACTGTTCATGAGGCAAATGGATCAATCTTATCGAAACAGTAACAAAATAGTCCATTTGTTTTGATTCAGTTATTAAGGGTATTTTTTCCAAGGTTGTTAAGGCCCTGTTGAAAGCTGAAAAGAACAGACTGTGCAAGGGACACAGAAGATACGCGGCCAACTTTCAAAACAAATTTCATAGTAGACTCAGTAACTTCAGTCATTATCAAGTAATGAAACATCAGCATGCAAAAATGAAAGCGTCTGCTTACAGAATAAATGAAGATAAATGCTTTATTCTATGACAATCTGCTTCAGCAAATTGGGTTAGAAAGACTTTCGATTACATCTGGTCGTTCATATATGCTTACCTCCTAGTTTTGGCAAAACGCTAATGTAGGTTCTATAGAGCAGAGGCAGTGCATCATGGTTGATGTGCAAGTGAGGTAGATGAGGTATAAAATCATTGCCCACCAAGAAACCCATCAATATCCAGTCATCAATTATCCGCTCAAGGTTGTACTCAAAAGATATTTTGTCCTTCAAAAGAGTGCATAAACCAATATTAAAGGAGGTCTGAAGAATTTAGCACAACAGAAAATAAAAGAAGGTATAGTAGCACAAAACTTCAAAGGTTGCCACAATAGATTGCATCAGATACTTTGGTATTTAAGAACATTCATAACATTTAATTCCACGTTCTTATGTAGTTTGTCACATTCAGAAACTTCACACAGATACACACAATGAATAAGACCTGTTTTTCACCAGTTCAAACTTAACGATAAACTAAGAATAGTTTTTCACAATCATATCATTAATGCAGAGATGCATAAGCCAGCAGCCATATCACCCTGCAACTCACAACTGGTAACCCACTGAAGCTAAGCAGGTGTGAGCCTGGTCAGTACCTGGATGGGAGACCTCCTGGGAAAAACTAAGGTTGCTGCTGGAAGAGGTGTCAGTGGGACCACCAGGGGGCGCTCACCCTGCGGTCCATGTGGGTCCTAATTCCCCAGTATAGCGATGGGGACACTATACCTTAAACAGGCGCCGTTCTTCGGATGAGACGTAAAACCGAGGTCCTGACTCTCTGTGGTCATTATAAAATCCCAGGGCGTTTCTCGAAAAGAGTAGAGGTGTAACCCCGGCGTCCTGGCCAAATTTCCCATTGGCCCTTACCAATCCCTTACCATTGGCCCTTACCAATCATGGCCTCCTGATAATTGGCAACATTACTCTGCTCTCCTCCCCACTGAGAGCTGATGTGTGGTGAGTGTTCTGGAGCACTATGGCTGCCGTCGCACACTCGTGGTGGTGGAGGGGAGTCCCCATTACCTGTAAAGTGCTTTGAGTGGAGTGTCCAGAAAAGCGCTATATAAGTGTAATTAATTATAATAAGAGAAAGCACTGCAACAGTTTACAACTTTATTCGAATTGTATAACTAACTGTGGTCTCAAAGCCTGTGACTTGTGCAGGCCACTGTTTTTTTCTAAAGCAAAGCCACGTATTTCTTTTAATTTCCCAAAAGGAATTACAAGGCTCCAGACTGGAACCTGTGACACCATCTATCTTATATTAAAAATTGATTTTACAATGGCAACCACAGACACACATTTTAAGACGTAAAGCTCAGTTGAAATATTCTAAAACTGAAAAGGGATAACAGCGTATGAGAACAGTGACAGCATGCAAGAGATAATGTAAACATCTCTCTGATACAGTTGGGTCTGCAACCACATCTGTCATTTTCCTATTCCTAACCCCTGTTCCAAGAGGAGGATACAAACAGTAAATTCACATGCCATAGCACATGAAAGGTACTGACGTAACTGATATATTAGCAGTGTTATTAGATATATTATCTTGAACTTGGAAAATGTTCAAGATAAATCCTTGCCTTTTCGCCCCAAAAGATCCCAAAGCATTTTACACATCATGAGGTGATACATTTCACGCACCACAGATGTGCACCATCTACCTCTCTGATGCAAGGAAGCATCGCTACATTCCAGACCAGTTGAGGAATTAAGAAATTACTTCACCAGTTAAATTAAATGGAGGCCTTCAGGTAGGCCAGACTGGAGTAAACGACTCACCCCTGTGAACAGTGCCATGGGATTTTATTTAAAGTAGCCAGGACTTTGGTTTAACGTCTCATCAAAAGGACAACTGATTAATATAATTGTAAACTGGTTTGGAATATTCTGGCCAAATGGATGGATTTAGACCCTGCCTTGTTTACCCTCCATACTTATGAGACCAGAATACAGAGTGGCAAGACTGCTGTCAAAGATATCCTTAAATAAACTTTTGCAATTCCAGTTTCCAATAAAAAAAATAAATGAAGCTCTTCTAAATATGGTATGGAAATGCATCACAACGAGCAACCAATATTTTAAAATAATATACTGTGTATATTTCCAAGGTGAAAATAATGAGTTTATTATTACTTACCCGCAGCTCTGAAAATTCATAGTCGATGTACTCTCTCATCAGGGACAAGTGCAACAAGTGAAATGTTGTCTCTTCAGGTGTACTTATTCTGTATAAAACAAAACACGCATAAGTGTCAAAAAGAGAAGGAGCAACATGAAATTCAAATATTAAATGGCACTGACTTATGCACTTGCCTTTTCTGTGACTTTTTACCACCAAAACGAACTTCTTCTCTCAAAAGAGAGAAGTGAGGTTCATGGCTTGTCAACCCAAGCATTATCTACATGGAAGAAGGAAAAAGAAAATGGTATAAATATTTAGCCAGCAGGTAAGAAAAAGTTACTTTAATTCTACTGGAAACATTTATAATTATTTTGCTCTGACATTTCATAACAGCTCTTAGGTTTACATTTTGGGAAGACCTTATACTACAATCTCAGTCTGTTATTGAGGGAGGTTTAGTGACAACTAAAGGTACTCATGATAGTTTTATTAGCATCCTAAAATTATTTAATAAGCACTTTTATAACGAAAGTTGTTCAATCCCGTAGTTCAATTTTTTTTTAAAGGCAACACCTTTAAATGCTTAAAAGTCATGTACAATCAAATGAAAATGCATGCATTTTTCAAACTAAAAAATACATACCAGATCAGCATCCAAACCATAAAGACAGTGCCTGGTATTGGGGTCATGGTCTGGCCTGGCATTTTCTGACCGAATGAATTCCATGATTTTGTGTTCTCCTTCTCCAGGGGTCTGTACAGTAAATAAATAGCAGATTTGTGATCATAATACCTAGCATGGAAAACTCTCGAGACTGCAGAGGTACACCGGAACATAAATCACATCACGTATCGAATTACTCTGTTTCTCTATTTAATTATATACCTCATGACCGGAGAGGTAAACTCGCACCCTCTGCCATGATTTTTCTGTGGATATTTTGTTATGCACAAAATACTCCAGCTGCTCCTGGAGTCTGGCCATAAATTCTGTTCCTAAAAAAAAAAAGAGAAAAGGCATTTGAGGGGTACAGTACAAACATGTCAGAAAACAAGGCAAAAGATGAGCGAGGTGTCAACATAGCCCCAGCTGTGTAGTAGCTACCTGGAGTAATGCAGTTGGAGTCAAATCTAGCCTCTGTAGGAAGAACTTCTCCTTTCTCTAGGGCCTTCTTAATTTTATCTTCAGCTTCTTTTGCTGACCTTCAAATAAAACAAAAAAATAAAAACACTGCCCATAAAGTATCAACCTCCCAGATAGACTACCTTTGAATCCGTGGTACACGAAACAAACCGTGTTGTTACCTAAAGCGCCTTCCGCGCTGTTGGTTCATTTTTGCGCGAGGAGCCACTCCATCCACGGCCATGAAGAAGACCTTTCTCGGCTTAATGATACGAAACAGCACTTCCAGATAGTGAAAAATGTCGGCAAATATTTTCTCTTCTGAGATTCGGAAGTGCACGTCTTCATCATTGGGGTGGGAGCACTGATGAATAATGCCATTCATGTCCAAGTACAGGTTGTCAAATTCAGGAATCTGAAGCAAGGGACAGAAACAGACTGCCTTTAGCCTCTACCGGGCAATAAAGCAACATTAAGTCGGTCGCCTGCGCCTCAAAGTGAACTGCAACAATGTCGCTGTTTCGGCTGTAAAGTCTACGAGAGTGCGCTCTTAAATGAAGCTTTAAATATAAAAACTAATTTACAATATTTCCCAAAGCAAAATAAACCAACGTGTTAGCCGCCCTGGATAGAAGCTAAAAATAATAAATACATAGAAAAGGCGACCTCTGTAACGAGAGAGATAAGAATATCGTTTAGATGTATTGACTACAAATGCAACTTATGAGGATTATTACTGGTTCTGTTCGCAGCAACAGGAGAAAATTACATATTGAGCATGTTTTTACAAATCAAGAATAACTGCTGTTGTCAGGGAGATACTAAAACCAAAATGTCTTATATTTATTGTATCTACTGTATTCAATTGCAGATGTTTCCGCTCATAAAACAACTTTAAAAAACAATTGCTTCTTAATGACAACAGTCATTTATGCGGTCTAAACTAAACAGAAAATGAAAACTCATACTGAAGCTCAATTATTTTATAGAAAAAATAAACAGACAGAGCTATGCAATTAAATCAGAATCAGAAGGAAGGGTTGTATGGTGTAACTCGTAAGGCCTATATATTCTTACCTGATGTTCCTTAACAACTTCACTCAAACAAGGGTATCTCTCCGAAATCCATCGGTAAAATTTCGGTACACCCATCCTTACCACAACCTCGTCCCGAGAGATTAAAAAAAAATGAATTGCAGTGTTGCAGTAAAAGTTTATATTCCTACGGAGGCCAGTTTTTATTTTTGCTTCTATGCCAGCGGGGAAGTGCGGACGGTCAATTCGAAATTGCTGTGACGTAAGACTGATATGGATACAGTACAATGCTAAAATAACAATTCATCAATTTCCACTAAAAGACTTGTAACGAAATTTCATTTTTTTCCTAATCTTTCGCCAAGATTAAATAAAGCAGGAGCTTTTTGTTCAAACGTTAAATTGTTTCCCTTTCTTATTATTTGTCCGACAAATAATCAGTCCCGGACTGCTTCGACTCACAGTAAAGGTTCCTATGGACTTTAAAACTGTCAATTACTGCCGTTGTGAGATTGTTAAATCTGCGGCGGCGGAGGAATAATAAATAAAAGTAATAAACCCAGTGCTAAATAAAATAAATATTAAGGTCATATTTAATCAAACACGGTGGATTAACAGTCCTTAAAACCGCAGACGACAATACAGTGGCTAGGATTGTCCACATTAGGACAAATAAAACTGCTGATGCGTGTCAGACGATGGGGTAAAGTAAGGCATTCAACAGAGGATAAAATCTAGAACCCCTTAGAATTCGGGTGTTAGAATGACAAAGGGCAACACCTGCACTATTCCGGAAAAGACGGCTCAACCTCGCCATCTCGTCAAAAAGATTGTGTGATACTGTTCGGTTTACTGAAAGTGAACTTTATTACACATACTTTGACCAATTGGGCTAGTATTTTGCCCGCACCAGTTCAACACAACGATGCCGAGTGATTAGCGATTTATTAACTGTATTTTTCGTGATTGTATGTTCGTGATTGAAGTTTTGCCATGTTCAACAAAGTGGATGTCAGTTGAATGGTAACTTTTTAAGTGTTTCTGTTAAAGGAACGCGGATGTCAGTTGAATGATGATTTTTTAGAGAATGTTCCTGTTAAATGAATTAAAATTATAACACTAGTAACATCTTAGTAATGCATTTTGAGATAAAAATTTAAGATGCCTTTCTAGTATTTCATTTTTCGACCTTCACTGGAGAATAGAAAATCTGTTACATAACTGGAATAAGAAGGCCAGAATTAAACTGCACTTAGTCAAACGTCGTGTCTGTATAATAACAGAACTTATCCAGGAGATACGGGATATTTCATGAAGTCCTTCAAAAAGTGATGAGGGGGAAATTCATTCAGGAAGGCTTTGGAGGGACTATTGTTATAAGAAAGTTTTGGTAATTTGTGTGGAGGACTAGATTACACTAATTTAAAAAAGAACAGGTTTTCAGTAAATAAAATCAAAAGATAATGTTACTTTTCTGCTAAAAGATTTTTTAAACATGTACATCTCTCAAGAAGTTCACCACGAGAATCCAAGACAGTGTTTACAACTTGTTGAGATTTTTCAATGTCTCTCTGAGCTACAGTATGTCTCAAACCCAGGCAATACTTCAAAAGAAAGAGCTAAAGATCTTAGTTAAGAAATCAGATCTGAAATTAAGGGAGGTGCTTTGAAAATTTTTATAGAACTCTTTTATTATTGTGGTTATAATGTAACACGTGAATTTACATAACAGAAATAATGTCAATAATTTCCAAACAGATTTGAACACCGCAAAGAAATGAACACGCCAGTAGAAACATAAATGTTTTTAATAAAAGAAAGTGAGGAATGAATTTGCCCTGAATAATAAGTGCTTATTTGAGACACCAAACATGGTCACAGGTAGGGAGCCCAGCCCAGGTACATGAGACACAGCAGTTTCTCATTTGTGGCTTCATCGATGAGGTAGTGAACATGGCCTTCAATGGATAGAGGCAAACCCATCACCTTGTTCCTGTTCTTGATAACCCCCTGCAGCCTCTGCTCTATATCAAGGACATGGGTCTTCGCCTACAGAAAACAAAGAGCAAATGTCAACAGTGCAGGTATTTCCAAGATGCTACCACTCGACAATTCTGTCAGAGAAAGTTCAGGTATTGCTGTGTACAGGAAATACAATAGACAATTCAGTGATTGCGTTTGACACCTGTCAAATTCATTCACCCTGGCTTGAAACAGGAATTCAGAATACAACATCACATCACAGTTGTCTGTGAAACGGCATACCTTTTCATTAAGGATTTCTCCGGATTCATTGACGTGGGCTTTTGTACCTCCCTTAACAGGTTTACTCCACTCCACCAACGGATCATGAAGGAAGGTCTTCAAGACACTAAGAAGTTGGAAAGAAACGAGCACAAAGTTCAAATACTGTACTTCATGAATGGAGATTACTCAATGTGTGTAAACCCACAGAGGGAGGAGGTTCCTACCTCATTAACGGCTCCCTCTGATCCCGCATTAGTCGGAGGGTGACCTCGCAGGCTTGGCGGAACAGACCCTCAGTTCCCATGGGGCCCATGGCGTGAACCATATTCTGTGTCAGTCGGAAAGGCACTACTTCTGGGACTTCAAATGTTTCACCCTATCACGGAAAAGAAAAGGCTCAAAATTCCCTGCATGCACAAAATGAGCACCTAAAACACGGTTATTCATTGATGTCATTCCTTTTTTCCTTATTGTATAGGGGTTCCCAACCTCCCAATAAGGACAAGCAACATTAGCAGTAAATCAGATTGAAACAAAGAATATAAATTATTCCCTGAAATATATTTGCTGAAAGAAACTGGGCTTAATAACACCTTAAAAACCTTTATAACAAACCTATGCAAAGGACAAAAGTTTGTCTTTAAGGCCTTTGAAGGGTTTAAGAATAGAGGAATATGGCTCAGGTGTCACCACTTGATTGTAACAGAATTCCAATTGGAACATACTTCACAAATGAGGGGAGACCATATAGCTCGGTTGGTTTTCTATCACTAGGGGGTTTGAGGATGTTTTGGTGAAAGAAACTTCGGTACTATCTTTGACAGCCCATCTGGGTAGTTTGTTGCAGATGTCTAGCGTATCCACTCCATTTTAAAAGCAATTCCCTTATTTTGTCTGTGCAGCATTCAGAGGTTGAAGTCATGAGCCAAGTCTTACAAGGCAGGTGCCAGATTGGGTGGGTATATGATAAAAACACACCTGAGGTAATATGCGCACACACCTTATTAAAGAGACAGTTGAAGTCCACATGCACACATTCTCCTGTTAAAGAGTCAAACAGGATGTTTTCTCCATGTCGATCCCCAAGTCCCAGGATGTAGCCCACCATTGACATCACAGCAATGGAGCGGCAATATGCAGATCTACTGCTGTACCTGTAACGAGACACCGTTCCAGGAACTTGCGTTACATTAAAGTGATACGGTTTCCCTCAAATTGTTTGAACAATTTAAACAGATGGAATGGTACAAACCATGAAGTAGGATCAGGGAACGTTCTAAGGAACCACTCATAAAAGACTGGAGGGTGTCGGGGAACGAGAACATTTTTGTGCAGTTTCAATTTTTCCATAAAGGGGGCAGATTTTGGCAACATGTACTTGCGTAACTCCTTTCCACTTAAGTAAATGCCTGAGGAAAAGCAGATCATTAAAATATTTAAGTGAGAAAGAAGAAAATAAGTTAAGGTGAAAGTCTATCATCATTCACATGGGTAGTAATAAACTGCAAAATACAGTATGTCATAATATGAAGACCATAAAGATTTTCAAGTCTAAATGTCAATGGTGGTTTACTCATTAGTTTCTCTTCTCAATACATATTTCAGAATTTCCCCTTTAAAAATGTTTAAAATGAGATAATTTTCCTGATACACCCAAATGCCTTTTTTTCAATTCTAGCTTCAGAATCAAATATTTTCTCTTCCCATTTAGTCCCATCTAACTATATAACAATGTAAATATGCAACCATCTAACCATGCACCATGTAATAGCATGACTTTTTAAAATAGTGTTATGTTACACAGATCTAATCATATAAACAAACATCACAGTGTTATGTACAGGTTTTTGATGCAAACTGACTTCTGAAATTATAAGTGTATTCCATGAATTGGCACAATTATAGTCTACATTTATTTTAAATCACTTACAGTATGTGTCAGTTTCCACAATCTAAATTTAAGCATCACTTTTGATTTGCATTACTTCTGAAATAACACATGACTGAGCACGTCCTCACTAATGCCTTTTGATTTAGACTTTTTGCGCTTGTTTTTGTCCTTGTTTAATACCACTAATAGACAATTAGTGAATAAATTTTAGTGAATTTAATTTAAGTTTGTGTACATCCACAAATAACACCTACTTTATTTGTAGGTGTACTGTATATTTACTGCCTTCTTATGAATACTGACTTCTTCAGCAAACAACAGCTTTTCATATGATTCAAATTTCAAATTGCAACAGTTTAGAAATGAATGACATGCACCTTTTTCTTTGTACAATTTGTTGAGGATGTGCCTCAGCCCTGCTGTATTGTTCACCCACTCAATAATCCCACATTCCTCGTTCAAGGGGATGACAGCATAGGTCCTGATGTGCAGCTCTCTCCTCCTGGACTCTGCATCTTTCCTCAGACACTGTAACACAGGGGTCGTGTTTTGAAAAAATCAGCTTACATTTCCCAGCCTTAAACACACATTTTCTGCTTAGAGAAAATTGATCAACAGCTTTAGAAACAAGCATGCTTACTTCTATACCTCTTTGACAAATTCTATCTATAATACAGTTCACGCAGGATAATATGCAAGCCAATTCTTATCATCAGTGTTACAAACTTTAAATGCTGAACACAGAGAAATTTGCAGTGAAATTTGTATAAAAAGTGCATGTATTTATATATTTTTCTGGCCTCCTTTGTTATCAGTGTTAACAATGAGAAAGTAAATCAAACCAGTTATTTAATCAAGAAGCTCTTGACTGAAGTGAAATATTACAGACACTACTAGTCCAATAACAAAGGCTGACTGAATCAATTTTGCCAAATCCTGCCCAACCTTGTTAATGAGGCAATTGAACTCCATAAGCCTGCAGTCCTTCCTCAGATCATCTTTGGGTTTGCACATCATTGTGTAGAACTTCCCATCTGAGCCTTTCAGCGAGATCTTCTTTGGCTTCTGGAGAGAGGCCAGGATCTCGACCTACGGGGAGCAGAAACATTTGTACACCCCATTTAAAAAAATTGCAACATTAAAAGCATAAATGAGGGTGGCACAGTGGCACAGCGTATAGTATTGATGCCTAATAGCACTGGATCCTGGGTTCAGTTCCTGCGGTGCTATCTGTGTGGAGTTTGTATATTCACGTGGGATTCGTCTGGGTGCTCTGTTTTCCTTCCATGATCTAAAGACCTACTGGTATAATTGGCTTCTGGAAAAATGAACCCAGGTGTGAGTGTGTGCATGTTTGTGTCAGTGTGTGCCCTGTAATGGACCAGCATCTGTCCAGGGTGTATCCCTCTTTGCACCTGTTGCTCACTGGGATAGGCTCCAGCTCCTATGTGACCCTGAATTGGATGAAGCAGCTGGAAAATAGATGGATGGAAACGTGTAAATGAATTTAGGACCAGCATAGCCACAGGAGAAGGGGGAGAAAGCCACTTCACTGAATTCGTCTGTGGTTTAAGAAAACTGGACTGGAGCGCAGGTGGTCCCGACTCTCTCCTACCCTTCTACCCTTACCGTATCATCGAAGCCTGCAAGGTACACCCAGTGGCCGGGGAAAGGGTCATGCTCTGCGTTGGCCCCAGCAGTCGATGGCAGAGTGGGCATCATCACAGACTGTAGCGGAATAAGGATCTCGCTGAACGTGGGCTCCTCCACCAGCCTCTTCAGCATTTTGAAGTGGATGCCCATGCTGAGGGTGGTGCTGTTACCATCAACCTGAAACACAGCAGAAGGACATCTTCTTCATTCTGACCCACCTCACACATGGGGGGGGGGGGGGGGGGAGCCACGAGATGCTGAATAGTCATCACTGGATAAAAGCATACGGACAGCAGATGACAACTGGGGAAAAACATAGTGGTCTGCTTGTTCACTTTACACAGTAGTAGTTATTCACAAGACCCAGACAAAAGCAGTAGTAATTATCAACATTTGTACTCGGACTGCTAACACTGTTGTACGACTACAGTGAGGAAGACCAGACAGGATTCTAAATGATAAAAGGACGATACCGGTTTGTTGCTTAGCTCCACCAGTTTGTCAGTCAGCTTAGTGGCATCTTCTATAAATTTCTCCAGGGAGTCCTTCAAGACAATCGCCTTTCTGAAGATTTCTTTGCATCTGGTGACACGCATTGGAAAAGAAGACTGCGAAAGAGAAACGGGGACGTTTATGTGAAACACAGTGAAACAATGTGGGCTTTGATTTGTTTTTGACCACTTCACTAACCTTAGAAACCGCAGTCATCATCCACATGGCCTGCTGTGGGTAAGCCAGAAACACTTTGACAATGATGTCCAACAGCACCGTGAAGACGTCGTTATTGGAGTGGCAGATGCGGGAAATCAGCTGAGAGAAGGCGGTCAGAAACTGGTACGGTGCCAGTTTCTTGGTGTGTTCTGTGATCACCGAGTTAATCTGTGCGAGTTCGGAGCACATTTGGTTGCGGTCGGCACGGCCAGCTGCTCAAAAGAAACCAAACACCTTGTCAAATATATTAAAAAAATACATTACAGGTCTGTAGCTACCCAGTAACTGTTACAGCGTACAGCTTTAGAGTAAGAGTAACAATCTTACCTTTCACCCATTCGGAAACCTTTGCACCGAAGTCTAGCCATAGGGAAAGCATTCTTGGCATTGCTTGGTAGATGTACTGATTCCCGAACTGCAAAGCCCTGCAACACAGCAGTTAGATTGGAGAAAGCAATGCATGAATTTATTTTCTGTTGCAGTGTATGTTTGTTATCCATAGTAATTTTCCTCATTAAGCAGAGACTTTTGTTTTGTTCTCGGCATGAAGAATGGGATATTCTGGGACAAAGTCAGACCGCCCTGAATACGTCCGTAATAACCTCTATACATAAAGAGGAAGGAAAATTCTTCAGTTGTATTTACCTGTAGAACGTTATTTTCTGAAAAGACTGTCAGTCCCAATGCAGGGAGGATCCAAGGTACTCTTTAAAAGCTAGCTACTTACTTGCCAAAAAAGGTGACAATGTAACGAATCACATTTCCTTGCTTCTCCATTTTGTTGTCTGTAATCATTGGCATCAGTTTATCGTAGTATTTCGCCAGATAGAAATTCCCATCTTCCCATTCTGGCAAAAGAGTGGTAACATCCTAGAACAGGTAGAATAAATATCACTACACAACTGACTGTTTCCTTATTCCTTTTCTGCAAAGCTAGAAACAAGGCAAAAGAGCAACAATCAACTTAGCATAAGAATGGGAATCACAAGCAGTATCATATGTTGTATATAAAAGCGGCTTCACAAAATGAAATTACTCTTTAGCTATTAATAGCTACTTCAGATTATTAATGTTGTATTTCATCCATAAGAATGAATACTAAAAGGATGTCAGCCAGTAAAAATTAAATAAATTTAAACTGATGTCATCTGCAAATGTTGCCAACACCAAAGGTTCAAACCTTTGCTTGTAATCTGTTATGAATTACTGAAGATCAGAATCTACAATTTGCTGTTACTTTGAGATGCTTCCCAGCATTTTCTATTACCTTAAATACTTTCATAATTGCATTGCTTTCGAAGTTGGCCGTTTCCTCCATGAACCGTCCCACCAGAAGCATTGCCTTGCCCTTGATCTGTGTGCTTTTTGAATCAAGCGCTGATTCATCGTCACCTTCAGGAAAACACTGCTGTACTCCCTTCTGCAAAACGATCAGGGCTAGATGGACATCACCCTACAATGAAATATAAACTTGCTAAAGAATCTGTAACCTGGACGCCAGTCCATCTCAGAGCACACACAGTAACAGACATGCACGCACTCACAGCAGGGCCAGTTTTCCCAGAAGCCAATTTTTACCTACCAGGATGTTTTTGGACTGAGTTTTGAGAGGAAACCACAAGTCCACAAGTTAATGACTAATAATCCAGTACCTGGCGTTAGGTTTTCATTGTGGAAAACATAATCTCTTCCTAACATGAACCTTTCATCATGTATGTGGTTGATAACCCAGAAATAAATTATTTCTTAAATAATGGAGCAAACTGTTCTTTTCTGAAGATGTGTAAGTCAGGTAATATTCAGTTTACCTTGGACCAATGACATTTTGCTTTCTCCATGTAGAACTCTGATAGTCTAGAGTGTTCAGCATTGAGGAGAGCATTGTAGGCCGTCTGGTGACGCCCTGCTTTCCTGGCCACTCGGGCGCTCTGTAGCCAGCACTCTCCTACCAGTTCCTCATAACCGCGCCTGTAAAAAAAAGGGTACATACTGTACTGCCATTGAGTTAATTTAATCACATTATATTGCATTGGCATACCACATACACTGCAATGGGAAAGCATTAATATAAAAACACCAGTGTTGTGTAATTTATTTTAAGAGAAACAGAGATTAGAGGCAGTGTGCAGGATAGTATTAGCGCAAAACGTACTGCTTATTGAAGCTGAGCAGGGCTCGACGCAGAGCAATGATTGGCTCCTTGGCCCGGAAGGAATTCTGGGTCATCTCCAGACGGGCCTGCCAGTTGAGTGTGTGATCCTTCTGCTTGGAACTGTCTTTCTGCTGCTCCATGAAAGCATGCTCCAGTTCACACAGCATATGTAACCTGTTTATGAAAAAAAAGTCTACCTAAATTAACTCTTTGCTTCTGTTCTTTGATGTTACAAAGGACTGTCTCCAACCACTTTTTTTCAAACACCAAAATCACTCTAGCAATCAGTTTATTAAACAGTTTCATAATGTTCTAAAATGTTTAAATGTCACCTGAGCCACAGTACCTAATAATATACTCGTATCCCCTCTGATACGTCCCGCATTCAAAGCTTGCTGCAGACAATGGAACAACCTGCTCTCTTCTGACTATTTTGAGCTTTTCATAAAATGTTTCAGCATCCTGTTTTTTGGCTGCAAGCAACAACTGACCAAATCTCACACTCCAAGTGCTGGATTTCTGATCTGGAAAGAAAAAATACAACTAATCAGAACAACTGATTATAGAACTGATAAAACATGACAACATATTACAGCACGGTTTATGCATCCCTGTAGTCCATGATGATATTTTTTTTTAGCTTATAAGTTACTTGCAAATATCAGTCTTGGCTCATCTTACCTGAAGCCAGATAATCCTCCAGCAAATCCCACTGTGTTAGTTTCCAGGCTGCTTCAACTCTGTATTGGTTCAGCTCAGACTTCCACTGAGGTCTAAAAGCAAAAGTCAAATTTTTCTGCAATAGTTCATTTTTCAATGTGTACAGTTTCTTACTTCAAGGCATGCAATGCTCTTGGTTACACATGTTAAATTGCAGTCGGTAAAAACAAGATTTGTTACCAAGGACATAATGTCACATTACAATGTGAATAAATGACTTATTTTTATGGTTACCTGTTAGCAAGCACTCCATTGACTTGAGTAATAGCTGTAGATAGCTGCCCCAGTCCAAGCATAGACTTCATTACCCCATGATAATGAACTATCTGCAAAAAAGGAACAGAACTTAGTAAAAACATTTTAAATGGTGTCTTTTGAGCTGTTTTTTATACAAATTATACAAATCAAAAACATTTTGTCTAAACTGTATCATGCTTTATGACTGTCTTTGACACTTAATCCTGTTGCTTTAGCTCAGCCATAAGCACCATCATCATTAAACATGCCTATCCCAAATTTCACACAATTCTGTTGCTGTATGTGCTGAAAAAGCAACCAGCAGAAGGATAAACACAAGAAAAGAAAGTAATTTGATACACAACCCTTGAGAAGACATTTACTGGATTATTTCATGATCAAACTGGTCCAACTACAAAATGCAAAACTATTCTTGCAGGTAGATAAAACAAACTATAAATACAGTACATGATGGGAAACTGAGCTAGAAGAATCTCTTAGCTCTTTGTGTAGGAAAAGTAAATGATGTGTCAACACAATGAGGCAAAGTAATTAAAAAGATAAACAAAATGTTAAGTTAAAATCATATTTAATCAAGAGACGTTACGTTAAAAATCTATAAAGTGTCACATTTAGAATATTATGTATAATTTTGGTCACCCATGTTATGAAAAAGATTTTACTGCTCCGCCATCAGTCCAGAGAACAGCAAACGGATAAATTCCAGGGCTTAATCAAATGTCCTACACTGACAGGCTGAAAGAGCCGAACCTTTTTAGTCCTGAACAGAGAAGATTACAGGGGACTAGATTCAAGTATTCCAACCCTCAAGGACACTGTTAAAATACCCCATCCAGCGAATTTCTTCAGAATAAACAATTAAAAAGGAGCCGGAGGGCACAAGTGGAAACTACATGCAAATGCATTTAAAACTGTGAACAAGAGGCTCTTCTTTACCGAAAGTGTCATGGGAGTAAACTACCCAGCCACAAGTCAATAACCCAGTCACCTTTTAAAAAAAAGCTGTATGAGATCTTTGGATCAATCAACTACTCACGACCAACCAGTCTAGATGGGCTGATTGGTCTCCTCTCGTTTTGAAGTGTTCTTCTGTTCTATTCTGAGGCAGTGCAGGAAGAAACAGTTCCTACCTGGTCCGGCTCCAGCTGAATTGCTCTGTCGTAGCAGGCAGTGGCATCATGCAGGAGCCCGATGCTCTCGTGCTCGAGAATCTGCTCTCTCAGAGAAGGCTCCTCTTTCCGAAGGGCATTCACTCCTCTCACCCCGTCAGGCTCATGCATAGCTGCATAGAGTGTCTGACCAATGGCCCAGCAGAAGAAAAGAACGTGAATTAATGTGAATTAACCCGATACCCTAGAACTGTTAAAGATTCACAAGGACTATATGCTCAGAACAATTACCTGCTAGCAATCAAATAAGCACTATGGCCTAGGTGGCCTCCTATCATTTGTGAGCTTTACAAAGCAAGATCCTGAACTGGCAAAAAGATCAAACTTACTTAGATGTAAAAAATCCCCAACATGTCCATGTTTGTGATATACAGTGGTCACATAATTCATTCTATTGTATTTTACCTGCAGGAAGGTAAGATGATTGTGTATATTTTCCTTCTTCTCGATGATGAAGGATTCGAAGTACATGACAGCCCGAGTGTAGGCTTTTGAGCGGAAAGCAGCTTTAGCCAGGACGTCCTGAGGTATACGGTTTAAGAAGGAAACCACATTCTCATACTCTCGGTTCTCTGTGTCAGACACTGGAGGAGGGTGTAAAAAGAGATGTTCAGGGTAATCTGATAACCAGCTTTGTAGGAATTTTCAAGGCTTTGAACAGCTGACCATAAATGTCAGGATACAGTTTGGGGGTAAACATCAGAGTGATCAGTGTTGGAAAAAGAAATAAAAAGTTTTAGATTTGTACCACGAATGTTTATCAGAAGAGAAAAGCACAGATACTTTCACAATGTCTTCTCCCTGTTGTTTTTTCCAAGGATAAAAAATTAACAAATAAATACACATGAAAGAAGCTTCCAAAGATTAGGATCGTCGCAAGAGCAGGAAGGACAGAAGTGGACTCACCACTTAGCTGTCCATGGTCTCTGCTGGAATGTCCAGCAGACTTTTTGGGGTTCAGAGCCTGGGACTTGTGTCTGGCCCATTGTGTGAGGTGGTCAAGCATGGAGAACACTGTCTGAGTGCTCAGCTGACTTAACCCCGAATCATTCTCCTGCAGCTGGGCAATGCGAGAATCACCTTCATCCAGAACTGCCATTATTTCATCATACACCTTAAAAAACACAGAGAAGAAGTCACCAAGTGCAGATACCTGTATTAGATGTATTCTGAGGCCAGACAGGGAAAGTGCAAAGCAGAACACCATTTCAGGCGAGAAAATTCAGAAAGTTTAAGAGAAAGATAAGAGATGCTATGATTTTAATGCAAGTCTGCTCAAGGTTTCTGCTAAACCAGTAAAGGCAACAGACTTCAAGTTGAGACTGAACTACATGGCCTAGATTGGAGTTCAAGTATGGGTCATGTCGTTAGCTGACCAGTGCGATTCCCGAAGAAGAACCATACAATTGGCAACGTACTGCAAAGGTAGGGTTGTGATTAGTCAGCCAGAGTACTTGGGACTGTCCTGCAAAGCACAGCTCCTGTGATTTGCTGTGTGCCTATTGGCTTCCAGAGATTTTAATTAGAAAGTGGCATCCTCTCCAATCTGTGCTTCCTCTCCTGTGAGGTACTGTACAACATGTCAAATAATCAATGGACATGCACATGATCATTTTGTGCCTTGCATGTGTGCAATACCCTGTGTTACTTCTGTCCCTATGAGATGTCAAAGCAAGGTGGCCTTTGACAGTAAGAAAGGGAGGCAGTGCTTTCAAGAACCTTGAAGAGCTAGACACATGGTCTCTCGTCATACCTCCTGCTGCTCCTCCTGCGAGCACTGCAGAAGCACGTACACCAATATGTGTGGAAGGAGGTATATGGTCATTGTGTAGTCATACTTGATCACATAACCGCAACAACTGAAAATCTTGCTTGCACGTCCATGCTTGATCTGCAAGCAAAAACAGTCCATAGTTAATTGCAAAAAATCTGTCAATTACGATATTAGACAAAATGAATATAGCACCATACATGTTAAGATACCAATTTATTTTTCACAGAAATCTCCACATGTAATCACTAGCACAAATAAAATGTAGATGTTCTAAAAGCAAGGGTCACAAAGTGAAAAATACCTAGTAGCCACTGATCCAAGTTTTAAACCTGGAATTTTATGTTGCGCAGACAAAGACTGGCTGCAAATTTTGTAAATACAAACTCCAGTCTGGGATTCAGCTGGATGCTCCTACTGAGACTAAAAACTCCACATGGATGTTTTAGGGGCAAGGCCTTAGTCTTTCATTCATCCATTTTCACATGTTAAACACAGATGAAAGTGTGCCAATTGTGTCCAGATTCACAGCACAGCAGATCTATACATTCATAATGTAGAATAAGGAATCCTTTGCAACTCCACAGCCACCTGGTGATGTTATAGGCACGAGGAAAATGAAAACCAATGGCTGCAAAAGATGAATGTATTTTCCTCTTAGATTACACATAGCTTGAGGCAATGTTATGAATAACCACACACAGTGGACTCACTGGCATCAGACACTGATGACTTTCTGTAATGATTCTCAGAGAAAACAAAATCTCAACCATCAAAGGGAAAGATTTGGTGTCATTTGTGGTAGTTTCATGGCCTTTATTATTATTTTTATTACATTGAAGATCTTATTTGAATATTTATGTGCATAACTGAAAAAAAAAATAATTCGAGTTTCAAATCATGATCTACACAATCCGTCCTTAATATATTAACTTATGAACGCATTCAACCAGCAAACCCTGTATGTTGCCTCACCTTTGATATCAGATAATCTGCCCATGTCGCAGACCACTGTGCAAAGCTGTTCCCACGCTTACTTAAGTAGATAGGCTTGTCCAATTTGAATTTCAGCTCCTTCTCACAACCTTTATATCTGCAAATTCAAACAATTTACAAATAGGAAGTGCAGTTCAGTCCTTCTATACAGACACATGAGTCAGTCAGACCAATATCTAAAAACAGCAACGTTGTAAAGACCTGGTGTTGAGATGTGGTTCCAATATTTCTTGAACCTGCTCTGGAAAACGCCTCCAGAGTCTTCTTCCTGGACTGTCACTTGCACCTTCTTGGCATTCATATATGGCAAGGAGCTCCTGCAAAAACATTTCCAATACTTGAGAAGGAATGAAAACTCTGGACTGGAGAGTCCCGATACAGCCATTGCAGTCTTTGCTTTAATCTCACTTGAGCTTTTGACTGCTGAGATCTTAAAAAATCCTGGCAAGGTGAAACAAAGGCCACTGTAACTCTCTGGTTGTAAACTGCATAATGTAAAATAATTTGACAACCAAGAAGTTATTGTTGTGTTTCTTTTTCTTCCATGAATTACCTGCATAGCGTAGGCTGCTGCGTCCTGGGCCTCAGATTCACCTGATTTTGCAAGAAAGAAACCAGTCAGGTCTCTCAGCAGCTCAAAAGCAAAATTGGGATCATCCACTCCACTCTGCAACAGTGAAAACATAATAGGTAAATGCTGTGATAAACACTAACTTTGCACTGTTAAACATGAAAATAACACAGTCTTCTAAGAGTCTTACAATTTATGTTGTCATGTAATATCTATTATTTACTTTGCTATGGTCTTTTAAAAAAATTAAATAAACGCATTTCTCCCCTCAGATCTAAGAGTTAAAAATGACATTTTGCACTCTGGTACAGCATTACAGTACCACGAAGGTGGAGCCCTTGCGCTGCGTCTCGGCGGTAGACAGGTCCAGGCGCCCGGGGTCGATGGCTCCGAGCTCCCCCAGGCACTCCCCGCACAGCAGCTGGGCCTGCGGGCAGACATCCTGGCAGCTCCTCAGCAGCACCGTCACCAGCGAGGAGATGATGGGCTCCACCGTCTCGCTGTCCATCACGTACTTCAGCAGCTTCTCCTGTTGGGCAACGCCAGCGCGGCGAACAGCGGCGGGTCAGGCTCCGCTCGTTTGACAAGCTGATTTTAACGCAGTGAAGAGGAAGCACTGTTTCACACAGGTTTACCCGACTTACACAAATTATATAATAATGTTTCTTTATTAGCCCCTATACAATTTCTTGCATTAGGAATTCATCTTTTCGCATACCCCAGCTTTTCTCCATGGAGACACAGACACACAGACAGGGGGTCAGAGCGCAGGGTCTGCCGTTGTACGGCGCCCCTGGAGCTGTTGGGGTTAAGGGCCTTGCTCAGGGGCCCAACGGAGTAGGATTCCTCTGCTGGCCGCGGGATTTGAACCGGCAACCTTCCAGTCACAGGCCCCATTACACTCACCATATTTTAGGGGGGGGCACAAAATTAAACTCAGCTGGCCATTACCTGGTTCTTGTACATCATCTCCTTCAGACTGGTGAGAGCGTGAATGCGCACATCAACATTTTCATGCTGGATGGCTCTCATAGAGAGTTTAAGAGCAGTCTGCAAGTCTGTACTCTTTAAGGTTTGCTGAAAAAAGATGCAGTAACACATTCATTTTCTGTACTGTGCTGTAAAAGAAACTTTAACTGAAGTATTACGGTTTTATCCAAATAGCTACCTATATAGGTGACAATTACTAACCTCCCTGTAGTCCTGTAGAACTTTATGGATCTCTTTCAATTCAGGATGGTCGGGCAAAAAATAGATCTCATGCAGAAAATCTTGTACCTCATCCCTGTTGGAGCAAAAAGGTGAAAGGTACAAGGAGCAGCATTCTCAGGGTGATAAACATTGTAAGTCTTATAAATGTAGAAATGTAACAGAAAATCAAAATGATTCCCTTCTCAACTTTTTGAGCAGTTTCCTGACTTCATATACTTTTGCATGTCAGGAATTCTGCTATATTGGACGGAAGAATATATATAAATTGATAGAAAATGTACTATGATGCATTATCTCAAACAGGTAAAGCTGAAACTGCATGCTAAGATTATTTTAAAGTGCACACTCTCACAAAAAATAGGTGTCCACACAATTGACTCCATATGACGTACCTGTTTTCAACAATAAGATAATGAAGTATTACAGCTGCCTCTTTGGGCTGAATGGGGATGAGAGGCAGCAGAGCCACAATCACGTGGCTGAGAAGAGGTCCCAAATAGGACTTTTCCAAGCAGTGGACAAAGCAGTCCCAGGACCTCAGAAGGGAAACAACAAAATATGATAAAACACATTTCCTACTACGAAAAAGCACTAAGAATTCATTTTTAATTAGTGCCTGTGACTTGTAAATAACAGGACAAGAGATGAATAATGGAGCATTAGATCTTTTCTTTGCATGTTTCAGTGGAGGGTTGATACAGCACACAAAATTACTATTAACCACATCAAATACAATGTACACTAATATACTCTTTGGTGTCAAGAGTAAGCTTAAGAAAGTAATATTGTGTAGTAGTGTAAGCTTAAGAAACAATAATAACATTTTACAGATTTAAATATCACAAAGTCTTACTGGCAACAGAGCTCTGGAAAATCATCTTTGTATCTCAGGCCTGTCCTCAGAGTGGTCATCATCTTCACCCTCACTGAGCCAATGTGCTTGGGCCCCATCAGCTTCATCAATGCCACCAAACTCTTTAAAGCCTGGACAAGTGACCACACGCATTTTTTTAGAAGGAGCTACAATTCAGCGCTCACATATATTAAGGCTCCAGAGCACAGAAGTCATTATGTTCCAAGAAAACTATTTTTATTAATATATAATTTGGCTAGACATAGGCTAACACCCTTACTCTTTTCAAGAAATTACCTGGAATTTTGAATGACCACAGAGAGTCAGGACCATGTCTCATCAAAGGACAGTGCCTTTCTACAGCATAGTGTCCCCATCACTATACTGGGGTATTAGGACCCACACAGATGGCGGGTTGAGTGCCCCCTACTGGCCCCACTAATATCTCTTCCAGCAGCAACCTTTCACAGGCTAACACCTGCTTTGCATCAGTGGGTTGCACTCTCTGAAGAGACTGTACCTGAACATTTCCCCATTAATATACTTGCCAAGCTGTATATGTACTGTATTTGTACAGTAATTAGAAAATACATTAACATTTTAGAGTACAGTGTCTCTATATACAGTATGTATTCACAATAGTGTCACCTCTATAGCGTATACAGTATGTATTTACAATATTTTTCTTTCTTTAGTTGCACTTAAAATTTTCACTTTTATTAGGTCTTATAGGCTGTTGCAGATGAAATCTGAAACTGGAAACACATTAAATTTCCACAAATTCTAAACATCCACCCTGACCAGTGTACAGCTGTACGTACCATCTTCTTCTTCACATTCTCCCCCAGATTGGACCTCAGTAGCTGTCTGTTGAAGAAGGCCAGGATGCCCAACAGCTTGGGCTGTAAATAGTCTGCCTGCACAGGAGACAGATTAACACATTAAAAAAAGACCATAAAAGAAACGTGAAGTCCCAACAGACTGAGAAAGTCTGAGAAATGCCAAAGCAAAAACTACCTGTGCAGTGCTTGTGTATTGGACTGTATTTTATTGCTGTCCTGTTTTTTTTTTCTGTTCTCTTTCACTTCATTTCTTTGTGGGAGGGGGAGGTCGTGAGAACAATTCAATCCCTTTGTGCTGACGAAGGACAAAAGCAAGTTGACCTCTGCCCCAAGATAAAATATGAAGTGCTAACCAGTAATCAGGGATTCATCTAATCTTAATAATAAAACTCCTCAAGTTTATTCCGAAAATGCTCCTTTAAACGACGTACGGGTGTGTAAACTGCATTTTGCTTACTTGAGAAATGCTGTAAAGCATGTTCACAGGTTAGACGATGGCTATTAAAACGTCTGGCTGCGGTTCCATGTAAACTTTAAGAGCCTGCAGGGTTTCGCAGCCCCTTTCACCCTCAGGTTTACCATAAGCTCCGCTGTGGTAATATCCCGTGGTCCCTGGTAGGGGTCATCACTGGAGGCGAAGGAGGCCAGGATAGCCAGTCCATTGAAGACCTGCTGGTAGTGGTCCCCGAGCCGCAGCAGCAACTCGTTGTGCAGACCCTGGAAATCCTGTCTCAGCAGACTTCCCAGCTCTATCTCCGTCTCGTTCTTCAACACAAGGAGGAGCAGCGCTGTGACTGCCAGCCACTTTCACTTACAGTCTGATGCGATTTAAATTGTCTGATTTAAACACGTTACGTAACAGTAAAACCCAAACCAACATTAGCCATATTTCCATGAAGGCGGAGGCATTTGAAAAATCCAATGGACTTCAATGCTAGAGGCACCATTCAAAATGAGAAAACTCAGTTAAAAATCAGCTGAGCGGATGCAGTTACCTTGAGATAGTGGAAAGCCCTTTCCAGCTCGTCCTTAGCACAGGAACAGACCAGGTGGGAGAAGATGAACTTGAAGTTGTTGATGAGGATCTCCCTGCGGTTGACCTTCAGCTGCTTGGCGATGGTGCGGATCAGCGCGGAGGCCGTCAGGCTGGCTTTGGCAGCCAGGTAAGGCAGCAGCTCCTGCACTGTGTCCTGCAAGAACAGAGCTGCCTCAGATCGCCAGTATACAAGAAATACAAACCGGTGCCGCAGACATACTGCAAAGAAAGGAAAACCATCTACAGCTACTTTAATTTAAAAAAAAACACTATTTTCCACGGATTAAAACTTTAATCTGAGAATAACTTCTTCGTTGCATAACATTCTCTAACATACTAATGAAACTCTTTGTAGAATAAGTGTGTAATCAGAATAAAACCCTGTATATTATATAAGTTTAGTGGGTCACTCCCTAACAAGTTCCTTACAGAGCAGCTCCTGGGAAAGTGGATTAGCCAACTACTTAGAATGTTCAGTAAATGTATTAAAACATGTTCAATCATGTCAAACTAGAAAAGGGTCACCAGTAACCAAAGAATAACAAGCCACTATTCACTTACACTGAGGAAGTGATTGAGATCAGGGAAGTCAAACACATGGGCCACCTGAGAGAGGATGTCAAGAGCTAGCTCTCTCTGACGGGAGGCCTCTTGCTGCAGAGACTCGCTGCTCTGGTCCGGTGTGCTGCTGAGAGCTGTTGCATGTCTGGAGTGCAGAGACTCCACCAGGAACTGCCAACATAGGAGAGGAAAGATATTGTTGTGTCGTTAAAATCCACTGCAGGGGTCTCCAACCCTGAGGCTGGTGTGAACCAATTCAATTATTCTAGTCGTCCTACATCACCTGCTATTTAATGATTAGGAACACTTACTTAAGCAATTAATCAACTATTGTTTCAATGAAGTGAACATTGATCTTTGAGGGGTGATATTCTGGTTTTTGTTCTAACTGATCTCTAAATTACTTAACTGAACATACCACCTGTTTAATCGATCATGGCTAGCTTATTCCAGGCTTTTAGAAATTGATCACTTAAAGGCTATCTATTGAACTGAAGTGGGACTCACCAGGACCAGGGATGGAGACCCCTGCTCCAATCAGAAAAATGTTTTCAAAAGAAACAGCTTTCAGGAAAGCATAACACGGCAATCAATCATTCAGTAACATGAAGTGCTCTGTTTTAGTATCTGCAAAACCCATCTCCAAATAAACCTTGGTTTCCATCATGTTGCAGTAGTAAAGAAGCAATAAAGTAGCTACATTCAACACTTGATTGTGAGCTCATATGTTCTCAAGACCTTACCTTGCAGACAGGGTTTTGGTATTGCCTGAAGAACAGCTTGAGCTTCAAGCCCTTGGAGGCAGCTAGGGCTCTGATCTCAGTGTATGCCATCAGCGAGATGAGAGTGGACTTGGACAAGAGGCAATGCAGGAGATGCAGTAAAGCAAAAGATACAAGATCTCCTTTGGCAGCTCTGCAACACACCAACAGAATAACGTAGCGTGTTTAAAATTCCACAGACCACCGGCATGTTTAAATCTGATGTCTTCTTACCCAGTTGTCTGAGCAAATGGTCAATCACATTGTGAACAAAACTGAGAATCCTGCAAGGATGTGGGGTGGTTTATATTGGCAAACCGTGCTTTTAACAGCTTTCGAACTCTTCTGTTTTGAAAAATTAAAATGGGGGAAACCAAGCTGCCAGCCCACCTCTTCGATTCACTCACTTAAAACGAAATATATCTGAATACTACACTCAATTAGTAGTGCTCTCCTTTAACAAAGGGAAACAAATAAAAAATACCTTCCGATTTCTCCCGTGGTGAATATCAGTGTTTTCTTCAAATCATTATTTCTTGAAGTTTTGGAATTTGTATAAGCTTCTTTTATTTGGGATACAAGCAGCTAAAATTAAAACATATTGAAGTCAGTCATGAACATTAATGAGCTGATAACGAGCAATGTCATGCAATGTTGTCCAGCCAACCCACATACACCAGTTTCTTGTTTTACTTTTAAAGAAAGCAGGTCTTCAATTACAAATAAATGTCTTCTCACAACCCAACATATTTAAGATTACTTTAAGGCCATGAAAGTTTCTTTTTAACTGCTGTCAAATAAAGTACATTTTTAAGTACATTAGGCCCAACTAGATCATACTATGCGATACACAGCAGGGGTCTGTATTCTCCTGCTTTTCCAATTTGTATAACCTTTCAGTAATGTTTAAAAATCAATATTTTAAAACCGTTCAAAAAGCCAAATGAATTTACCTCTTTGAGACAGCCTTCGCTGGACCAGGATTCCAACATGTATTTGATTTTTTTAGCAAACATCATCCTAACCTCTTCCTCTGGATCCTGTATAAGGTTGACAAGAGCGCTTAGAAGGGCCTTTGTGTCCGGATCGCAGTTTCCGAGGTTCACATGCCTGCACAGGTGGGGAATGTTTTCTGTAAAAGCTGAATGGGGGGGGAAAAAAATTGACCCACACCGCCAGAAAACATACTAGCACAGGAGAAGAAAAGAAAACAGAATTCCGAGTAAATATAACTTTAAAAGCTACTGTACCAATTCATCTAAAACATACCTAACGAGTCATAACTTTTACTAGAAAAACTAACAGACCACTGAAATCAACTGCTCCAGAAATCATCAGCCCTCAGAGTGGGGGCAGTGTTGTCCATGAAGAGCATTTATTGGCAACACCTTTTGAGGTAACTCCAGTAAATGGGTGAACAAGTAGAGGATGCACACATGAATATTTTTAACAGCCCGGAAACATTTTGTAATAAACTGAGAAACAGCTATATTCCACAAACCTAGTTTCACTGTACTGTCCATCTCAGGCTTCAGAAGTGCTGGGAATGGAGTGAAAATGGAAGCGCTGATTGTGGTCACGTTCCTGGAATGGGCCGAGTTCATAGTAATGCAGGTGCAGAGGAGGGTCTGGCCAGTGGGTTCCTTATGCGGGATCCTGAGCTGTGATGCTTCTGAAAGACAGCATGCCAGATGGCCAGTGATTCCAGCCAGTTCTTTCTTCACCAGTACGGAGTTATCCTGGAGTTTACTTCTGCACTAGAAACAAATCAGAAATGATTAATTGGAAACAAACACACAGTTTTGGCTTGTCAAATCAGGATAATCACTGCAATTTCACCCTAAAGTGTTTTTATTTTTAAAAAACAAGGCATTGCATGATATCTAGATCTAGTGCTTTTGAAATGATAATACATACAGCAAAACCTCATGTATGAGGCTATATGACTTCATGCCCAGGTGATGGAGCAGGAAAGGAAATCCTTTCACTGCACTGGCACGGACATCATCACTTTTACTTTGCAGGGCCCAGCGGTACACTGATGACCTCCAGTCACTGCATGTCTTCTTCGGCAGTAAAGACAACAGATACACACAATGTGCCTGTGCCTGAAATGCTGTAAAAAAAGTTCAAAATTAATTAAATACTTGTAAAGAATATTTACACCTAGGGTATTTTCAACAGGAGCTTAACCAGATAAGGTTGTTGATTGGAGAGCCTGTGGAGATAAGATAAAATGAGATAAGATCACTTTATTGGCCATATACAATTTCTTGTACTAGGAATTTGTCTTTTCGCATACCCCAGCTTGCTCTCCATGAGACATACAGACAGGGAGAGAAGCTTGGGGTCAGAGCGCAGGGTCAGCCATTTATGGCCATTTATACAGCGCCCCCGGAACAGTTGGGGTTAAAGGCCTTGCTCGGGGGCCCAATGGAGTAGGATTCCTCTGCTGGCCACGGGATACGAACCGGCAACCTTCTAGCCACAGGCGCAGATCCTTAGCCACAGAGCCACAGCCCTTATTAAGACCTCGTCCAGAGTTCTCTTGTTTGAGTTTGGATTACATCATTCAGCATGGTTCTACAAGTGATGGGATACAGTTTTCTGCAGATGGGTCACCTAGAGTGTCCTGGCTTGCCATGTTGCCAGCGAGAGATGTAGACTGCCCTGTAGCTCCGCTAAGTGATACTAACTCTCCCACGGCATGGTTTTGCTGAATGGAAAATGAATGGTATATAGCTCTGACTGGGCACATTTCAGATGAGAAGCTTACAGTCTTCGTCCCTTCCTTTAGGACACACAGATAGCAGTGGAAAGCTGAGCTAAATAGCTAAGTAATAAAATGCGATCCCAAATCTCGAGTAAATTGAGACAGAATTTGGCATTTCAAAATTAAAAAAAGAAAGGTCTATATCAAGATTCATTTAAAAAAATCCATTAATTGAACTACTTTACACAGTGTTTATTCAGGCAACAAAATTCAACTCGTAACTGCATTAACAAAAAAAACTGACATTCTTTCAGAGCATTACGAAATCCCTTAATTCTTGAGAAAAAATCACAAAACAAAATTACCCACTGCACTCACAAAAACTGCTGGACAGCTTCTGACTTAAGCCAATGAGGTTGGAGGAAAAGCCCGCTGATTGAAATACAGGCTGTGTGGAGTACTCCCATATCCATGGCAATGACAGCAGAGCGCAGAGGCTCTTATAAAGACCCCCGTCACCCTGGCTGCTCACTACAATACAAGAACAAAGGATGGAAACGTTATTTCATTGTATTTAGAGCAGGCATTTTGAGAGCAGAGAATGAAGAGAATTACAGCTAAAAGTCTGGGCGCCCTCATAGGCTCTAAAATGACTTTCCTTTGTTTGAAGATAGTAAAAAAAAACATTGTAGTAAAAGTATGAAAATCCCTCTCTTGCACTAATACATCTTCCTCATCTTTCAGCGGTAATAGGCCAAACTGGGCTCTGTTACAGTACCATTCATGTAGAGGATGGCGTCAATGATCTGCACAACTCTGTCTGCTGCCAGCCCCAGTTCGTCTGAACTGCTGGCACCTCCCAGCATGGCCCTGCAAGCCTCTACAACCTGGAACATCATCTTAGGATGGACCCAGATCAGTTGTGCTTTAGATGATGGATTGAGAGTCCCCGACGTCGCACTGCTGTAGCCGTTGGCCTTCACACCTCTGTAAAACACGGACACATATGCAGATAGTTACTGAGCCAGTTAGTTAGTAGTAGTTAGTATTCGCTGATGTTACATTAAACTTTTAAGTAATTCAGGTAAATAACTGATACAGACACATAAACGAAATAGGGAGATCTTTCATTTTGTCAATTCAAATTTGTATCGCACCCCTATCTCTGACTCCAAAGGAGTTTTACACAGAAACCTGATATTGGACTGGGGCCCAGCCATCAAATCATAGCACAGGGGCACAAGACAATGTGCTCTTCACAAATCACCTCAAGTTTCATTGCATGCTTTTGCATGGAAGGTCTAGGAAATGGACTCCTGCTACCTCCCCCAGCTGCAAGCCGATTTACAAGTGTCCAGTGTACCTGACTGCGGTGTGAGAGAAGCAGTGACAAGAGCAAAGGGCAGCCAGATGTAGTATGACAGCTACGCCCTCCAAGGTGCTGAGTGGGTCGGGTCTGGACTGGTCCTTCAGTAAGGATACCATTGCCACCAGCTTGCTGTCAATGGCAGCCCAGATCTCGCTCTTCCCCTTCATCTCCACCAGGTCACAGCTGAGCACAGACACAAACATCAGAACACGGCAAGTGGTACTAAAAGCAGCAAGACAATCAGATCCTCATCCACGTGAGATTACAGTATGTCACTAATACATGCATTCCTCAAATACATGACTCCTGAATAGTGTAGTCCTTGCCTTAGCAAGCTGTAGTTTTCGAGTTTATTAAACGGCACATTGATTCAATGACTTGGAAGGACCCATACATCAGTCTATGTTTCACTCATCTAATACCCCACTGATTACTATAAGCTAAACCGTGCCAAACCCACCACCACAGGACCACTGCTTGCATTTCAAACAACGCCTGTTGGACCAGTGGGTTCCAGCATTGTTCAAGAGGACACTTCTGGTTTTCAGTCCCAGAGAGCTCCCATTAAACAAACTTGGATCAGAGATACAGTAATTATATCAAAACAGAGACTGCTAGCCTATTCTGTACTTAGCTTCAAGCCAACAGAAAGTTTATAAATGCTGTATTAGTAGAACAAATGAGTGTTTTACACAAAACAATATCTATAATCACATTAAGTACAATACCAACAGACTATGGGATACAAATTCTGAATTTTTGTATTCATGATGGGCTTATTAGATTCCATACTTGAATCAGGCATTTGTAATAATGGATAAAAACCTTAACACTACTGTATCTCACTGTGTCCTTTTGATTCTAATGATTCTTGCAGGTTGCGAAAGGATACTTTCAATTATTTTCATCACAGATAAACCCTGAAGTAGCCAAAATCTGAATGTCTGCTTTTTTTCACCGCAGATTAAGAAACCAAAAAAACAACTGATGGAGATTCACAGTTGTGGGTATTTACCATAAAAGGGCTTCTTTCTGAAGGACTGACAATAGGATGTAATTATCAAAGTAAATAAAAGCAACACTAAAACAGTGGAGCTGTCTTACACCAGTGAATTGTGGGGATTTTTAGCAGGTAGTGGAGAAAATGATAAGCATGGCCTCTTGGCTGGTTTCTCACTGCCGCTTTGACAATTTTCATCCGAGTCAGAAGAGGCGTACTGGTTTTCCAAAACAGTGTTCATTTCCTCCATCTTCAATGCGACATACAAATAGCTCACCAGGAACTGAACAAAGTACACAACAGAAAATAAGAATTAATATGCTTTATTTTGTCAAATACCAAATAACCCCCTCCCTAACATCTGTTTAACCCTCCTATGGGAAAAAAAACAGTTTGAGCTGTCTACCTCTATCTGAAAACTCCTTCATCAACTACAGGGCGGTTTTCACTACCCCCTAGGTTTTTGGTACATAGGCAGGGATGTAAGGAAATTGTAATTCAGAATTAGGACTGAAAACATATTTCTCTTACTTTGAATTACCCTGTACATTATTTGTAGATTCATTTAATGTAAAAACTCTGAATACAACAACATTTCAAGCAGTGAAGGCATAGTTTAAAAAAGAAAACCAAGTTGCCAAAGTTAGGGAATTGTGCTTTTTCCTGCTTTAAAAAATGTGAAAAACAAGTCACCATTCACAGCTTTACATATTAATGATAAATGATGGACATTTTAAAGTACTGAATTTAATTTACTTGGAATAACGCACCTATGTATTCTAACGTAGTTCAGGTGGGTAGCTGTGTCAGCATGTGTAGGCTGCAAAGGAACAAGTTATAGGTTTATTCCATGCTGAAAAAAAGAAGAAAGAGAACACAACGTTTCGGCCGTGGAGCCTTCTTCAGGTGTGCCTTCTTCAGCACACCTGAAGAAGGCTCCACGGCCGAAACGTGTTCTCTTTCTTCTTTTTTTCAGCATGGAATAAACCTATAACTTGTTCCTATGTATTCTAACACCCAAAACCAAAAATGTGCACATGCAAAGTGTGACATTTTAATTTGCAGAAATATATAAGCAGGATCAAAAAGTCAAATTACAAACAGTGCCTCACTAACCTCCTGGTGCCTCCGAGCTCCAATCATCTCGATCAGGGCTTTGCAGATGCCATGAACGCGTTCTTTTCTGATCTGCTCTGCCGACTCGTATCCAGGGGGAACAAACTCCAGAACGAACCGAAATATTTCGAGGAGGGCCGTCTGGATTTCCTCCGACTCAAACCTTTCCAGCAGCCCGTTCACAACGAGCTCGTGGAGCTTCTCCAACACCACGTTCAGGTAAACCCGCTCGAGCTTTCGGTGCGTCTCCGGTTCGTGTACAAACACTAACCGGGTCAGCCTGGCAAACTGCTTCTCAAACAGCTTCAAGGCCGATTTGTCAGCCGTACTGAAGGAATGCAGCACCTGGAGAAAAGCCGCGAAGAAAAAATGTGCGTTTTCTTCGGGGAAACCACCGAGCTCCACAACGCGAGAGATCAGTTCCATGGCTCTCCCCTTTAATTTAGGGCTTCCATACTGCATAACAGAGCAGCTCAGCTCCCAAATAATGCTGACCTCTCTTCTAAAAAAAAAGCCATGAAGGACGTCTGCCAGAACGGTGAGCACGGTGCCTTCGAGCATTTCAGCAGAAATCACTGATGACAGCTGAAAGACTGTAGGCGTCAAATAGGTGGCGCAACCTTCTGGGATCACTGAAAATCTCTCAATAGCAAAAGGCCACATAGGAGGCTTTCTGCCGCAAGTACTTCGTGCATTTCGCTTATTCAAACAGATCAGATCCTGGAGAAGCGCTAAAAGTTCCTTTGACAACATTCCGAATATAACAGGGCATTTAACTTTAAACAGCTGCAGTAAGGAACAGATGACGCTGGCTATCTTCTGATGCAAGGTCTCACACTTAGGGGCTGCAGCAATCCTCAGAAGTCGAGTAATAATCCACTTACTGAAATCTTTAAAACAAAAAGAGAACACTGACTGAAACCACAGAAATCACCGAACTGTAGTTTCATTTAACACAAAAATAGCTGCAGCTAAACTTTACTGTCACGTGTTTTCATTTACAGACATACTGGAAGTACAGGAACTCAAATCTGGCTGTCTGAACCCTGGAATTCACAGGATGTCTTAATCACTTCTTAATTAAGTAAATGAGTGTTCAATATATCCAGAAGCAGCAAATCAAAGAAGTGCAGTTTAACCAGCACTGTTAACTGCCATTAATAAGTAAGTGACTTTATTGGGTGGAGATAGAGGGGACCAACGATGATGTCTGTGACAATACATTCCAAGGTTCATTCTTTTTGACATTAGAGTTAATATATTCATTCATCAAAACACAAAACTCACCAGTGGAACTGTTTTCCATATCCTTGAATTGGCAGGCAGGGTTTCCAAACATCAGTGGGGATGACTTTATGATGTGTTGTATGAAGTCAAGCAACATCATGCAGGCGGTCTGTGGAACATTCTTTTTTGTCAATTCTAAGGCAACTGAAAGAAGAAAGTTTGTAAGATTACTCATTAAATTGTATTGTTTCCTTCTTCTATTAATTTATTGGCTAATGATGCTGCAGGGATCTTATGTTTTGAGCACTGTAACGTGTTCCTCAGGATTTAAACTCTAATGTGCAAAAATGAGTGCAGTGCAGGAGGTTTAAAGAACTGAGCTTCAGAGCAAAGACAATGTTTGTGTGACTTGACCTCTGAATTATTGGAATAAAAGAGTTATTGTTACAATTAAACTAACAGTATCTGCTGATTACTTTAAAGATTCATTAAAGGCTTTTTTGCGATTTTACATTTTTTATACCTCAATCCGAAATAAAAGTCAACTGACAAATCTCATTATCTAATGCAGACAGGATGTATTTCTGCAACAACAATTTAGAAGAGGGTATTTTTGGGATTAGCACCTCATCTTAGGTCCTCAACATGATTTTAGACTGGAGTGACTTCGTTTGGAATTTGCATGTTCTCCACAAACCCACACTGCTTTTTGCCAGCGGCTCCAGTTTCCTCTCATCTTCCAAAGACCTGCTGCTTTGTTGTCACAGGGTACACAAGCACAGGAACGATTCAAATGCACCATTTTAGGTAGGTGCCTCTAAATTGTCCCCAAGTATGTGGACTGTACAACTATCTGGCGACCTATCCAAGAGTTAGATCCGGCTTTGCTTCAGAGACAGCTGACACTAGCCAGGAACGAGAAATATTTTCTGAAAAACTTCAATAACTATATTTTCGATTTTTAACACTTTCAGGATTTTAAAACGGAAAGCTACGTGCGTGTTGTTTAACCTAATGAGGAGGCAAACACATTTTCCACTTACCCAGATTTACGTCTGTCAATATCCTGTCAATAAACTGGCAGAGTATTTGTCTGGGTTTCTGGACAACACTGTTGTACTCCTCCGGGGGAGCGCTACAGACAAAAAGAAGCATAATTTATTAGCTAAAATACGTGGCTCGTTAAAAAGGATTGTCATATAATGCAGTGTATAAACTAAAAACCAGGTAGTTCACGAAGTTAAAGTTATTTTGTTAGACGTCAGATCTCACAGAATGAACTATATTTCCAAGATGAGTTAAGAACACTTACCTCCCAAGTTCCTGCAAAGCAGGAATCATGGCTGCCATTTCTAAGCCTTGGTCCATCTTTGTGTTTTTTTAATAATGTACATTCAAAGTGGACGTAGATATATTGTGTGCACTCTTTTGTACATTAAGTCAGCAGCATTTCATGACCACACGCATATCTCAAAACTTTCGCTCCCTCGCTGTAACGCAGCGGTACGGCATCCAGCGAGGGACAAATGTCTTGCCAGCAAGAGCAGAAGTGAACTTGAAGTAGTCGTCTGGGACACAAAGCGTGTGAGTTCCGTGTGAGCTCGCATAAGCTTAAACCTAAGACTGTGCAATTTTTGGCTTGTTTTAAGCAACTTTAAATCATGACTGGCAAGTGGAAAAATGTTAGCCTGCTAAAAAGTAACGGACTGATCTGTTTTATTTCGAAGGCACCGAGAGAGCTGTGGCATTTTGTTTTATCATTAAACGTCATACTACCACAAAATTCTTACTTTCACTGATACCTCATTTGTATACTGTACAGTTCTTTACTAATATGATCCACAGACATGACAGATAAAAAATAACATTTTATATTTAAGAGAATGCATACAAAATACTACAGTAGGTTTTATAGGCTGAATCATTTGCATACCTGTATACAGTATGAGTACAAACATTTCCAACTAAATGTAACACACATTCCTACAAACAAGTCTTGTTATGTGTTTCTCATCAAACATTTATAACCCTAATGTCCTTAGGGTGACACTTTAAACCAAGGTCCTGACTAATTCTGGTCAACACAATGTACTGTTAGTAGGAGCTGGAGTGTTAAAACTGGGGCTCAAGCTAAATTCCTCTCTGGGCTTCCTCATTCTAATTTACTCCAACAAGTGCAGCTAGTCTGGGCAGAATGGCTGCTGTACTGTACATCACCCAGGTTCTGGGTGGTGGGAAGTCGTAAGAGTCTTATACACATTATCCAGCCGCGTTGCTGAAGCCGACACCCTAGCTTCTTTCATAAACTGCTGGATCAGATCCCTGACTAACCACGGACTGAATGGCCTCTTCTTATTTGTAACCTATCTTGTGTCCTTAGGTCAGTCCTGTAATTCAGTCGTCGATGAGGACGTGGAAATCAATGAATAACAGATCAGTGGGTGGTTAGTGTCACACAACGTCCTCATGTTTTGTTCCTTATGTCTCTTACGTGTCTAATATGCTTCAGGAAACATGACAAGTGCAGCAGAGAACTGACATAGACCTGTGAGTTTTGCTGATATTTAAGTGTACTGTCAGAGTCATGTATTTTTTAAAATGCAAATAACTGAGGCAAAGACTGTGTATATAACCAGTAGGAGTGGTGTATGATCATAACTTTGATGTAGAGTTCCTGGTTGTAATTAATTAACATTTCTGCACGCTTTGATAAAAAGTAGGTTGTTAGAATAGATTGCCTACACAACTGAAAGAAAAGTTTACCTTATAACGATACTGATTTTGATGACAGGATAACTACTAACCTTTGAAACCCTTTAGCATGTACTTCACATTCTGTTTAGTATTGCACTAATCAAGCAATATAAAATGACTGAGATTGTCTAACATTTTCTCTTAATATCTTAACAGTCCACTTGTTTTACTTTGTTTTGAGGGTCAGTTGTCTTTGTGTTTGCCCAGGCCCATATGTGAATACAGTCATATCACTTTTCAGTTACTTGGTTTCTCAACTGGCCAACAGGTGTCTTTTCTTTCAGACATTTGCAGTACTGTTTATTGCTGAATCTGAGGGAGGAGGTGTCGTCTTCTTAACAAACATTTAGGCTTCTGCAGAATATGCAGAGATAGAATGATCCTTCAAATTATGGATTTTGTCATTGTCAGCTGTCCATGCCCTATCTCAGTATGCAATGGAGCACATTTATTGATCATTTAAGCCACTTAATTTTACCTTTTGCTGCATGTTAGAAACCCACGTGGATTATGAAAGTGTTCCTGTACAGACAGTGAAAGAGCATTTTCTATTTTTTACCCCCAGTCCTTTCCATTATAATCAGTGAGAGACAGGGTATATACCTGTTGTTTGGACACGTGTACAGCGCATAAAGTATACACATGTTTCTGTTTAGTAGGTTAGTTAGGAAGAATCCACAGAGAAATGGTTAAGTCTCTACAAAGATGTTTAAAAAGTGGTCACTAATAAATCAAGAAGGAAATCTTAAATGCTTCGGTGCAAATCTTTGGAGTTATCAAATAGAAAATGTTGTGGTTTGGAAAATAACATGTATACTTCACATTTTAATGTTACTCTTTATTAGTTTATGCATTTCTGTAGACAATTCCATTAACTGACATCAATGCAATGTCTACCACACCTTTGTTAATTTAAAATACATCTGATAGTGCTTTCTTGTTCTGAGGGAAATTAAGTATCACATCATTATTAAACACCAACTGTTAAGGCAACTTCACCTAAGACGAGGTGCACTATGCAAATATACTGAATTGTACATTTAGTTTTTTCAATCGCTGGCGATAAGTCCTAATAGTGGATCAGAGATAAATAATTTGGCATTGCATCAACCAATTCAACAGGTAACTAAGTGCTAGCTGATATTACAAAATGCTTTATTGCTGACCAGAGAGTAGAAATATTAAGCACAAATATAAAAATATTATTAGCTCAGAAGTTTTTTTTGTTGTTTTATGGCCTATGGTGTAAAATGGATTATTTTACTTATGAAATTCATGACTTGATCCTGTAAGATTAGTGATATAGCCATGTGATGGCTTACAAGGGTGATATACAGTAGCAGCAGCACTCATCCTGTGGTCTGTGTGGGTCCTGATACCCCAGTATAGTTATGGGGACTATATTTTGCCTGCCTTTTACACTCTACTGTAAAATGGCACTCTCCTTTGGATAAAACATAAAACCAAGGTCCTAACTCCCTGTGGTGGTTAAAAATCCTAGACACTTTTCAAAAAAAGTAGGAGTGTTACCCTGGCCAAATTTTCCCCCGGATTTTACTAATCATGGCCTCCCAATGATCCTCATCTTATTGGGAGGATTGGATCCACCAGGATCATCCTGGTGGCGATACACATTGGTGGTGGAGGGGAGTCCCCATTACCTGTAAATTGCTTGCAGTGAAGTGTCCAGAAAAAAAGGGTAAGGATTAATATTAGTAGTAGTAATAGGAGTAGTAGTAGTGGGAGAAGAGACTTGATTTCTGATACATACATGATGTGTTTCAATTGGCTGGAATAATACAGTGCAGTGTGCCTGTCCGATGTTGATCTTCTCTTGAAAACCACAGAAAGGTGGCTCTGTGAGAGGCTCATGGGCAGGTCTTCATGCCAGGTGTCAATCTGTCAGACTCTGTCCACAGTTACAGTAAGTCTGAGCACTTTTATATATACAGTGGGTGTGGGTTGTGTATCCATGGAATGTGTTCAGCATAAGCTTGTGGACTAAACAAAGTGGCTAGTCTGTGAAAACTATTTTACCTACATTAATTGTGCTTGGGAAGGAAGAGAATTCCTGTATTCCTATAATAGGAATTCCTATAATAGGAAATTACAGTATGTTCCAAACAGATTAATTGAAAACAGTGACAAATGGTGTTGTGTTTTATGTTTCATTCAAGAAATATAATTATGTAGTACTACTTTATATTAGGGGATGCAAATAATACTTCATATGCACATACAAAGGTGATGCAAATGCGTATGGAAGTATTTTGTATTTATTATATTTTATTTATGTATGCATTTATGTATTTGTATTTATTCATTCTATTTTATTTGGATTTGGATGCGTTTTGAGGTATTTGGATTCAAAACATGCCATGTACAGTAAATATTTCTGGTGAATTTATGTGTTAATGGCTCCATCAGGGCCACAAATGGCCAAAGGCAGAGGAAACATTTGGTGTGCATTGTGTGATTATACTGTATTCTGAAGGGAAGCCGTAGGTAACTGATCTGCTCCACAACCAATTAATAATGCATGCTGTCTATAAAGTTTACTACCAGCATCAAATAGCCAAAACCTTCAGTACTTCTTTTCAAAAAGTGAACTTGCTCAGGATTAAATAACAGAGCACATGCACAGCTACTTTGGTGTTTAGCAAGAGCCAGAAAGAAAAAGCTTGTTCATTGAATTAGATGATTTCAAAGGGATTGCTAACGAGGAGGTTGTGGCATCTATGCTGCGCCTGTACAAGCTAGAGTTGCCAAGATAAGATGCCATATTCCAGTCCTTTGTTCCTGAAACACAAGCAAGACCTCAATGCTCTTTAAAGACCTATTCACGGACTTTAACTTTTTGGTAAGCAGATTTTTTTGTAAGCACTTAAAAGAAAAACATGTACTGAACGATGTTATCTGGTTTTCCATGTTCTTTCTTCCTTTTATCTGTCACCTTACAAACCTAAAAATCCACCAACAAAGACAAAATTCTAATCTGTATCAAGTGGTGAATTGCACAAAGTTGTAATTAAAGCTGCTAAAGCCGATTTCTAACAGCGATATCCTTAGCTGAACTTTGGTGTTTAAAATTTGCCTTGTACAGGTCACATCATACAGTATGAACTAACCTATCTGTGTGTAATTGTTTTGCTGATAAAATAAGAGAGTAAAGTGGCCAGCTGAAGTTTCAATAATTACTTTCCTTTTGCATCATAAGCCTATATTAGCAATTGTTTGACCACAAGGCTCTTTGTGTGTGTGTTCATAATTGTTTGCGTTCTCTTAAAATGTTCCTATGGTAGTTAATTCTGTTTCACTTTCTCCATTTTGCATTAGATTTATTGTTTGTGACTTCTGTTAATTGTCCTTAAATGTCCTATTTTTTCAGATCTTATTCTGTGCATTGGTTGTGCTGTAATTCATGCTATTTAATTTGAACTGTATTCCCAAAGCAGTGTGGTGCATTGTTCACACAACAAGTGTGTGTTTGTCTTTCTTTAGTGTCGTATAAGGTTACATTTTTTTTCTTTAAATAGAACAATGGTGGACAAGTAGTGCTTCTACTTATGAATTATGGATTATGAAGAGAAATGTTTTTTATTTTAGTTTCTCTTCATTTTCACTCAAAGCAGAAGTGGAAAACTTTTATGCTCAGATCAAGAGCACATTACAGCAGGGGTACAGCTCTGGTCCCAGAGAAGCCAGTGCAGCTGCCTGTAGCAAAAGTAAGAAGGGGTTGGTTCCCCACATCGTGAAAACGCATACAGAGCCATCTTATTGTGTCAAGTAGGTTTAATAGTATAAATGGATTTTAAATCAACATATGTGGAACAATTTAATTGTCACTGGCTCATCATGTGATGAGAGCTTGTTTAGAAATAAATTTGAATATCTTTCAGTATCCGTGGATTTTGATAGATTAGTTGCTCAATAATATATACAGTACTGTAGTTATAGGGGTTGTCTTTCTTTAGAAATAGCTGATTTGGGGTGATCTATAAAACCTCCTGGATTAGAGCTATGGATTCCGGTTCACACATCACCACAATAACTTGAGACTTGAATGTTGGATTTAAGTTTCTTGGAAAACACTTACTACTTTGATGGAACTCTAACAATAAACCTAGCCAAGAATAGAGTTTGACCCTAGGGCTGGCCTGTCTTTAGCTGGAAACTTTGGTGTGATCCTGTTCTGAGCTTCTGTCTCTAGTTTGGCCTAACATGTTCTATAGCTAAATACAGTAACTAAGAATACTCTTAATACAAGTGCAGACAAAAACTCTGCAGGCTCCAGATACCACTCAAGTTGCATAAGATATCCTACTTTAAACATCTCAATTGAAAGTTTTTTTTTAACTGATTGTATGCTCTTCCAAAAAATATTTTCTTTGGTGCTAATACATCACATAAGTTTCTAAACATAACTAAACAGAAGGAAATAATTAAACAACAACATCCATTCTCAGTTATGTATGTAAAAATGGTCAGTAAATGGCACATGTACTGTATATGCTTTTGTCATATTTAGTGTTTACCTGAATTAAAATACACATAGAGGAAATGAAGAAGCACCAAAAATGAGCCAGATATCTCCTTTTTTCTCTTAGTTAATCTTTCCAGTTTCAGAATCCAGCACCATCTAGTGCTCGTCTAGAAGACAATACACCTCTGCAGTAGTGGAGGTGAGATATTGTAAATCATGATTCTCTAAAACAGCCATTCTTTTTCTGAACTGTTTTTCCAGTAAGGAGCTGAGCCCATCCCAGCAAGCAACAGGCACAAAGTGGGATACGCCCTGGATAGGACGCCAGTCCATCACAGGGCACGTAGGGACACAAACACCAGGGCCAAATTTCCCAGAAGCCAATTAAACTACCAGCATGTCTTTGGATTGTGGGAGGAACCCAGAGCACCTGGAGGAAACCCACACAAGCACAGGGAGAACATACAAACTCCACGCACATAGCAGCCCGGGTGCGCAATTAGTCCAAGGGCCCCAGCGCTCTGAGACAGAGCTGATAACCACTACGTCACAATACCTCCCGAATCTCTGGAACAGTTATATTAAAATTTAAATGAACAAGTGTAGTCTCATTCTTGGGCATTTCATGTCAGGAAAGTTTGTGTTTTTCTGTCTATTAATCAGCTTACTTTACTACTGTGGGTAAGAGTGTAGACTCTTTATTTGCTTCTGCACACTGCCAGAACACATGATTTCAATGTGCAGTAAATGGTGCCCTTTAAAGCTGTACCGTGGCAGACCCTGCTGACTTAGCGTTAAAAGTTAACTCTTATGACTCCTGCGCTGTTAATGGTGTGTCAGTGCCACACCTCCAAGGTCCAGCGGGACAAAGTTGCTCCGCCTCTCCTGCCTGGCACCGTACCTTCCTGATCAGCAGGCTGATTTAGCGCAGCTCTCTCAGGAGTCGCTAATCCCTCGCCCACTGATTCCTTGCTTTGCTCTGTGTAATCTGGACTTTCTTGTCTCTGGATGTCAATTGGGACCACCAAACAGAACTAGAAGGAAGAAATCATCCCTCACTGTGTAGGAAAGTGGTGTTGCCTGCCTTGGCTTTCTCTGAATACCAAGGGTATGTATGAAAGTTGTGCTTCTGCTGATCATTTCACACACCGTTTCACCTGAAGCTCTGTTCTTGCTGTGTAGATGTTATGGGCTATCAGCATCCATAAATCAGGGGAATAACCGAGATTTCATGATTGATTAGGTCAAGGCAAGTGAACGAACCATGAAACGTCTTCCAGGCTGCATTCCCTGAAAGATTAGCATTATTGTGTCCTTTGTAACGTCAGTTTCAGTTAGTGTTCTACTGTATGGCAAACAAAATTGAAGTTCAGCAGTAAGATAAGACAGTGGATTGGCACCAAAAAAGTGAATCAAAGTACATTTTTATGGCTCTCTTTCTCTTTCTCTTTCTCTTTCAAGTAGAAAGTCATCTGAAACTTCTGTTTTCTGTAAGCAAGTGTAAATTCTACATGCAGTTTAACTCAATACACTAACTCAGGAACTCAGGAAACTGTGGAAATAAACAATTCAGGTCCCCTTTGTGATAGTTGACTAATTTATTTTATAATCTTTACAATTTTTTTTAAATGTTAATCTCAGTGGATAAACAGCATAATAATTTATTGTCTGTAAGAAAAGCAAACAAGAACATAATCTGATTTGTTTGGCAAAACCTATTGCAGTCACTCCCTATGAGATGTGTTTTTCAATTCATGTGCCAAAGACAATTTTTTCCACCACAAACTTCCATCTCCATTTCACATTGTGGTTGTTTATTGAACTCATTGCAATTTTCTGCTTCAGGATTATTAAACGGTGAGGGAAACACTTGGGCTGCTGGAAGATGGAGAACAATGTAACACAAATCTCACGGGAGGACCTGGAGGAATTAAGAGAAGCTTTCAATAAGATAGGTGTGTTAGCTACTGTATTAGAATACTGAAAGCCAGAATACTGGATAAAAAACACAGGCTTGTCAGTACCTTATAATTTTCACTGTTCATTTGCAGTAATATCTTTGTGCATCACATAATTGCTGAATTTACTGCTGTTCAGGAGAGGATATCGAACCTTCCTTAGCACAGTTGCACAGATGTATTTCTTAGTTTGCTTTTCTTGAATCTAAATAGCCATCTATTCATTGGTGAAGAACACCAGCTGTTGCACCGTAACCAATGTATTTTTTTGCTGCCTTTGTCTTTGACTTCAAACATGTCAATATATGCAACCTAATGTGCTATATTTCCTCCACAGACATTGATAACAGCGGCTATGTCAGTGACTTTGAACTCCAGGAGTTGTTCAAAGAAGCCAGGTTCTCTCTTCCAGGGTTTAAAGTTCGAGAAATTGTGGAGAAAATGATGGGGGCTGGGGACCACAATAAGGATGATAGGTTATCTTTTGAAGAGTTTGTATCGGTAATCTCTTTTTAATTGTTCTCCATTTTGTAGTGCAGTGTCTTCTGTTGTATTCCTTGTAGCTTTCTTACTCAAAGCTATTGTGGTGCATGGTGCTACAGTATGTATAAGATTAATAGATTGCCAGCAGCCATATCACCCTGCAACTCACAACTGGCAACCCACTGAAGCTAAGCAGGTGTGAGCCTGGTCAGTACCTGGATGGAAGACCTCCTGGGAAAAACTAAGGTTGCTGCTGGAAGAGGTGTTAGTGGGGCCAGCAGGGGGCACTCACCCTGCGGTCTGTGTGGGTCCTAATGCCCCAGGATAGTGACGGGGACACTGTACTGTAAACAGGCGCCGTCCTTCAGATGAGACGTAAAACCGAGGTCCTGACTCTCTGTGGTCATTAAAAATCCCAGGGCGCTTCTCGAAAAGAGTAGGAGTGTAACCCCCGTGTCCTGGCCAAATTTCCAATTGGCCTTACCAATCATGGCCTCCTAATAATCCCCCTCTATGAATTGGCTACATTACGCTGCTTAGGGAGTTTTAAACTTAAAATTTGACAGGCCTTCTGATTCTGTGTTTCTTTTCATTTTCAAACTAATTTTCTTGCTGAAACAAAGTTCTAGAACATGACTGTGAGAAGTAAGACTCTCCTCTCTTAGTCCACTGCAGTGCTCAGAGGCTGTGAGTAACATAAGAAACATAAGAACTGTTACAAATGGGAAGAGGCCATATAGCCCATCTAAACTCCTCAGTAGTTAGTAGCTAATTGATCTAAGATTCTCATTGTGCTGCTTAGTGGAAGACATAATGCAGTGATTCCCTGTGAGGTGGGTTTTTTTTCAAATTACAGTATGTGCCAAAAATATGTTTTTTCCCACTAGCATCAGAACACAACACAGAATGCACAATCTTAAGTTTACTGAGGTAGCACTACCAATGTCTTTCACATAGTATCTTGGAAATGTGTCTACAAGACTTCTTCTGATATGTGCTCAACATTTAGGCAAAAGAAAATGGTAAAATCCTGTCTAATATGTTGATAATGTGAAACCTAAGTAAAAATTGCCCAAATATCTATTGCATTGACTTTTGTCATTCTTGTTTTTCACACAGATCTACCAGGAGCTTAAAAGCAAAGAGGTCAGAGAGTCATTTCGTAAAGCCATTAACAAAAAGGATGGAATTAGGTCATTTGGAGGGACCTCTGGTATATCCAGTGAAGGAACACAACACTCGTATTCTGGTAATGACGAGTGAAGAGTGCAAATTTGCTTATGTCTACGTGTGGGTGTTTGAGTTAAATGCAAGGTCAAGCATGAAGAAGTGTTTCTGGAGTAGCCTGTAATTGAGAGCTGAGGTGAAAAAAGTCATTAGGTTGCACTGTGTCATTTGTTACCATTGGAATAATGATGTCCCTTGGGTCTGCTTGTACACTGAATTCAAAGTCATTTTCCTCTGTAGTGTTCTCCTGTGGATTTTTCCAATAGGTTAATTTCATGGTGTGTGATACTTTGTTTTCATATTATCCAGTATTTACAGCATGACCATGCTGATTTTTACTCATGGTCTTTTTTCTTTTAGATGAAGAAAAAGTTGCCTTTGTGAATTGGATTAACAAAGCTTTGGCAGATGATCCAGATTGCAAACATTTATTGCCTATGGCCCCAGAAAATGAGAGTCTTTTTAAGTCTGTGAGGGATGGCATACTTCTTTGGTAATTATACCAGAAATGTTCATACTAAAATAACTTACAGTATAAACCATGTGTAACATAATGAGCACTGGAAACTTACACTTCAAATACGCATGCTGTTTATGAGAGAGATTAGTCTTCCTTGTGTTCCATCTTCTTGTACCTTAAAATCCATTGAAAAAATTAAAGATGATTTATGACCACTTCCTGGTGGCATCTCTAAAAATATTATAATTCCATGGTATTAAATTCTCTGTACATTAGGGTCAGCGGAGACCGAATTCTTTGTCCAATTGCATTGTACTAAATTATAGAACCTTCTTGACTATCTTAATCTTTTTCTCATATCAGATATAATATCAAGGTTTATCATTTATACTTTGCACTGCACTTAAGTATTATGGTGTTCTCCTTTTAGCAAAATGATAAACTTTTCTCAACCTGATACCATTGATGAGAGGGTTATAAATATGAAGAAACTAACAACGTTTACCATTACTGTAAGTATTCAGTTTCACAATCTTGGATAATATAATTTTATCCTAACAATTGAACACACATTAATCTTTTAAATATGTCACTTTTTAAATATGTACAGTTTTACAAATGTACAGTATCTGTTAAATAAGGCATAAACAGATACAGTGACTGCATTCTACTGTATTTCAACTTAATTAATATATAAACTGTGCAAATTGATGTGTTTGCTCATTCTCCATTCTCCATACCTTTACTGATATCATTTCATCTTTTTCTGCTATTAATATATCATTCATTGTCCCACACCAACCAGATTGTGCTCTAGTTTCATCTGGGCAGTGAATTAGAGAACCCCCATTTGTGTTACAGGAAAATTTGGTACTCGCTTTGAATTCAGCTTCTGCCATTGGCTGTACTGTGGTCAATATTGATGCCCAGGACCTGATGGCAGGAAAACCTCACTTGGCGCTGGGTCTTCTGTGGCAGATCATCAAAATTGGCCTGTTTGCTGACATCGAGATATCCAGAAATGAAGGTGAGGCCAGTTTTTTCCTGGCTCATTCACAGTAATTAGGAACACAACTACTCTCGATCAGACCTTCTGAATACCAGACAGAAGAGGCAGCTTGGGAAAATTACCATATGTTTATCAGCAGGTCTCATTAGTCACTTGCTAATGACTAATGTGGGGGGTGACATCACCAGACCCATTGCCTGTCCGCTCAGTGCCCCATCGCTGCCCGACGGGGGCCCTACAATAGCACGCCACTATGTGTGTTTAGAAGGGATGTCATTGAGTAAAAACTCTAATATTGTGGTCCAGTCATGTTGGACGTGGCAATCTGTCTCATCCATACCTCTGCTTGTCCCCAGCTCTCATTGCTCTGCTGGGGGAGGGAGAGGAGCTGGACCAATTGCTGTCCATGTCCCCAGAGGAGCTGCTCCTGCGCTGGTTCAACTACCACCTGGCCAACGCTGGCTGGGAACCCATCAGAAACTTCAGCGATGATATCAAGGTGCTGCCTGAAGGCTTTTGAACTGATTCCATTTCCAGCTCTTTAATTGTCTAGGACTGGCAAGGACTCACGCTTTGTTTCTTCTTTTTCACTTTTTCTAAGAAAAAAAATACATAAAAAGTCTGTTTTGTATTCTTGAACTCCTCTGTTGTTCTCCTCTTATGTGTGTTGGATTTTGTCGCCTTCAGCTTGTGCTTTTGTCTCTCTCTAGCCATCTTTCTGTCTGTTAGGAAAAAATTGTCCCCCCTCCACCACTGAAAATATATACTTACTTAGCACTTAACCAGGAGTGATCTGGGGCTTTGGAATCAACTAACCTGATTTAATGTACCTTATCAGTCTTGTCCTTCCTTTCAGATTCAGCACATTGCACTCAGCAACTAGGTTCACTTAAGTGTAAGTTGTTTCACATAACAGTACCGTGTTAGTTAGTGTGAAATATATTATTCTTTAGAAATTGTCAGTTTGCTATAAAAATGCTTCTCCCATTTAGTCATCAGCAGAGCCAACCTGTGGTTTATCTTGTCTTTTGTCAACTAGTGTGCGTGTGTATTTTAGGATTCCAAAGCCTACTTTCACCTACTGAATCAAATAGCACCCAAAGGAAACCATGACGATGAAATCAGGATTGATATTGACATGTCGGGATTTAATGTAAGTGAAGGAAGAATATTTTTCATATGTATCGACAATGTATCGCAGTGAAATATGTAATCTCCTAATAAACTAAACCAAAGAAAGAAAACAGGAGACTATAATAATTCAGGAGACTAATGACTTAGGTGATTTGACACCAGTCCTTGGTGCAGAGAGTACTCTTTGCCTTTGTTGTTTCAGTTCTGTGCTGGAACATACATGATACTACAATAAATTCACCTTGGTCAAGTTCCACAAGTATTAACTCCTCAATTCTCTTAATCAATCCACTTAATGCCTCCACTGGATAAATGTAATATTTTAGGAAGATGTAAAGAAGCTCTCATTGTGATACTGTCATTTGCTAGACTTGGGAGAGTGTTTAGTCTAGGTGAAGGAGGTGGAAGGAATAGTAGAAGATAGTGCAGTGATTAGGGAGCTCTCTGATGCAGCAGATACTGCTAATGACAAGCAGATTGACTGAGAACTGTTATGTATATAACAAAACAGGGTGCCTTTTTGGACTATAGGTGCAGGTGTGATTCTCTTTAATTAGTTCCCCTGTATCTGAAACAAGTACCCTGTCTGTTCCAGAATATACAGCTGCTTAGGGAGCAAATCTTGCCAGGGGATATAACGACATGTCCCACCACACACTATGTCCATTTTCTGAAGTTCACAGTGAACAATGTGTGTGGTGGATGTGTACTGTATCTTTATCACTTTTTCTTCTGCCAGTGCACAGTAAATAGATGGGTGGCTGGATACTGTACATTGTAAAGAAGCCTTTACTATTGATAAGTAATGGTTGATATGCTCAACAATCTTAGAACGTAACATATGACTAATAAGACATTTAAGACAATAACTTTAACAAACAGCATTATGCAAAATCACTTTTAAAAAAAAGACAATAGGCCAGCCAAGCATCCATATCATTTTACGGAAAGAATCGGAAATAAAGTTTCAGGGGGAAAACCATACATGTCATGTCATTTGCCAAACCACTTTAAACCACACGGTGTTGCGGGAAGCCAGAACTTAACCAGCAAGCAACAAGCTCAAGGCAGGGTACGCCCTGGAAAGAGCGCCAGTCCATCACAGGGCAAGTGCAAGCCAATCATACATGGGGACAATTTTGGAGGCCACAGTAAAGGGGGAAATTTGGCCTTTGACAACGGGATAACTCCCTGCTCTTATCGAGAAAGAAAACCATACATATGAAACAGAATTCACATATATTTATTAAGAGTATTTTTATCACATAATTGTAATGTATTTGGAAAAAAATATACACAACTTGAATCTGAAACCGTTTGCATATGTAAAAAAATCTCCTCCCTCCTTTCTCCCTTACCCTGTCAACACGCAGTTCAAATGCCTAAAAAAAAATAAAAATAATAATTGCTTACACTTATATAGCGCTTTTCTGGACACTCCACTCAAAGCGCTTTACAGGTAATGGGGACCCCCCTCCACCACCACCAATGTTCAGCATCCACAGTAAATAATCTGAAAGATTGATTGGAAGGCAGGTTCACTGCCACATTCTGACAGGGTCACCTGCTGTAACTCTTTTCTTCCCTTCAGGAGAGAGATGAGACTCAGAGGGCAGAGCTCATGCTTCAGCAGGCAGCCAGGCTGGACTGCAGACAGTTCGTCACCCCAGCAGATGTCATTAATGGGAACCAAAAGCTTAACATGGCCTTTGTGGCCAACCTGTTCAACACCCACCCTGCTCTAAACAAGCCACTCAACAGCGGCATCGATTATACTTTGTTGGAAGGTAGGGGGATCCAACCATTCACACTACAATGGTCTATTTCTGCTAACTTTTGTTTCTCAGACGTTTCCTGTCATAACACAGCAAACCACAAGAGGTCACACACCACTAGATTAACCTGCACATTAAACCCTCCTTTACAGTACTGTATGTAAACGTAAAGAAAACCAAGAGCATTTTGCTGCAAAGGATAGATTTCTTTCTGCTCAGATTCTTGTTCTTAAATGATTACCACCTGATTGAGCTGTCTTGTGTGCTTGAATGCTGCATGCCCCTTGGAGTTTCATACAGCCCCTCTGATTGGGAAAATCATTCCTGATAAAATAAAGGGATGCAGATTACTTTTGGCAGGCTATTAAAACTGGACTGTTTAACTTGACTGCTGTTAAGATTATGTGCATGAAAAGTACTATGCGATTAGATACTGCATGTTGTTGCAAAGTAATTTTGTGTAAGGAAACTAAGTCTTTACAGCTTTTTCAAAGTCTTCATAGCTTTTAAAGTCCTGAGTCTAGCTGTAGTGGTATGTTGTCATAGACCATATGTTTTAGAATGTCTTTTCAAGTGGAGCTCAGTGATATTGGTTTTCATGTTTGCAGAAGTAGAGAGTTTGTCCAATAGCTCAAATGTATTTGTTTGTCTTTGTTTTTTACCTTGTGCTTTACATCTCCAGAGCTGACCCCTCCCATTGTAGGTACTGTGTTTAGTCGTGGTCTGAACTGATCTTCTCTTCTACTCCTCTTTTCCTTTTCCATTACTATTTTCACAGAGTGAAACCCCATTGGTAGCACAGAGGTAATTCCAAACTGTTAAGGTTTAGGGTTAATATCATGTAAGCATCTAATATTATTTCCAATTTGTCAGGAAAACGTACTCTTTGCTCACTGATGGGATATTTCTGATTGGATACTCTGTATACTCTAAGCTTTTACACTTAAGTGTTATTATGTTGGCACTATATAATATACTTAGAGCTATTTTGCAGCTCAAGATGTCAAATAAATATGGTAGTAGATAAACATGCTGTACTGACTGCTAAATAGAGCTTACTGTGTCACATCTATCTTACAGCAGAGGCTGAGACATTTTAGGTTGTTGTTAATGAATCTTAAACTTCCATCATCACTGAGTGGCTCTTCAGTAAAAGATTTGCAAACATCACATTCAGTATACACGGACCTGCCAAAAATGTAAGAGAAGGCTTGTGTATGTGTAGTGCTGTATAATCATTACACTGCCATGGGAAACATCAGAGGTTGCCTTGAAATGCTCCCTAATAATGCTCACACAGACCATTTTGCTAAATAATTATGATTTTACTTTACCGTGACTATATCAATATACAAAATACCAAAAGTTGATGACCATACTGTATATCTTTCCCTTTAGCATGTTAACATGAGATTTCTGAAGCCTGGTGTATGATTTTAGTTTGAAGAAAGTCCTGTTTTCTTTTAGGTTTGTACTAAGCATGAAACAAGGACGTGTTGTATTTTCTGTGTGAGTTGTGGAAACAAGCCGGCCTCTTCTACAACTCAGTTATATCTTGCTCTTGCAGATATTCCACTGCTGTTCTTAATTGGTTTGTACCAGCAAGGGTAAAGGCTCATTAAATATCAATTGAGGCTGTAGTTCTGCTAATCTGCAAAGAGTTCACCATACAGAGAACTTCACGTGTGGGGTTTTAATAAATAGCCAAGGACTATTTGAAGCTTTGAAGCACTATTCTTTAAAAGTCCTTGTCAAGACAGGACTGTTCTTTATGCTTGTGCACATTCATCTCTCAAACAGTTAGCAAAGGTACTGTAGGTCAAGGCATGTCATCCCACAAGTGTGCTTTGCAATCTACTTCAGATACTTTATTTCATCAGCCAGTCACGTATACTCACATGGGTATAATAATTTTGATTGCATGCCCTGGAACAATTTGTTGCTTTAATAAGGATATTGATTTCTGGTCTGATTTTATTTGATGATGTTCCCGGCATCAATTGTGTGTCAACCACAATCTCTTTATCACACCCTGGCATGGGTTTTAAAAAGACGACTATGTGATACTGTAATTCAGAATTCAAGTAAACTGCAAATCACAACAGCATAACAAGTCCTAATACAAACTAAAAATATGTATTTCTGTAATAGATATGCTAAATGCGGAATTACAAATGAAAGGTGTACACTTATTAGCTCATTTTTTTATTAGCACAATTAAGGTAAAAGAATTACAGAATTTAGATACTTATTATAATTTGAAAGACACGTGGGCATGTAAAATAGAAACTGAAGTCTTTCTTAAAAAAGACATCTGCATTTGTTTTAGATTTGTTTTAATGTCTTACTTTGTACTTACAATTTTAGAATGTGCTTGTGTGCTCTATACTGTAAATTATTAACGTGGTCAGGTGTTGAAACATTGTCATCTAGAGGTGAAAATTATAATCAGGATTCCCCAACCTATTTTTATGGTTACTTTCTTTGGCTCTCTAAGTGAGGGCACATCACATCCTTTTGTAATTTGTAATGCCCATCCCTGCATCATGGTATACAGCTGCATACTGAAAGATTGTTTTCTTAACACCAGTGGAGGTCAAACACAGAGAACTGGAGGTCTAAAATAACAGCTGTTTCAGAGAGCATATCAAGTTAAACCACAAATCTTACCTTTATTTAATTCCTACGGGCCTTAGTTATAATACATCTTCTTTAATGAAACCTTGCTTTAGTAGTGTTAAGTTCACATGACTAGAACATCAAATATCTGCAAAACATACTCCATCTAAAAGCAATGGATTGAAGACTCAAAGCAAGCAGTGGACAGTAGCTGTCCTGGAGAAAAATGCATGTAACAGATCTATGTATGTTACACTCCAGGTTTCTTGCTGTAGCTACATTTGGTGAACCTTCCCAGTTGAGACACATATGAATTTGCTTTGAAGCTCTACAAAAGTAGTACCATTTTCCAACCCAATAAAAACACACAACATACATTTGAAGAGAAAGAAAATAAAGGCAGTGACTGAAAATGAGGCAGGACGTGCTAAATTGTTCAGAAACAAGGCCAATACAGTTAAACTCATTTTCAGTCTTGTGGAAAAAAAGAACATTCCCTCTTTCCTATAGTACAATGAATATCAAAGTACTATTATCAAATATTTCAGTGGGTGAAGCATAACAAGTTTTCACCTGGTATAATACACAAATACACAGTTTGTCAATTCAAAGGCTAAGAAGGCCAAAATGTAACAGAATTTGCTAGCAGGAACAACCGACTTTGATTTGCTCTTGCCTAGCATTCTTCGAGCATTCAGTCTTTCTTTACTCGATGAGCCCACTCCATTCTGAATGTAATACTTGGTGTGTGTCATCGCAGGGGAGACGAGAGAGGAAAGAACATTCCGGAACTGGATGAATTCCTTAGGGGTGAACCCCCATGTCAACCACCTGTATCGGTATGTTACTGCTCTTCTTACAAGCATGAATAAGTCACGCATTTATTCATATACAGTATATAGCAGAGGTGTTGACCACTTAATTATCTAACTGCCCATTGCTGTGTCTGCAATGTTTCCTGACACATCGCAGCGATCTCACGGATGCCTTAGTGATCCTCCAGCTCTATGAAAAAATCGAGATTCCTGTGGACCAGCGCAAAGTGAACAGGCCTCCTTACCCTGCGATAGGAAGCAATATGAGAAAGGTGGGCACAGAACTAAGCTAAGTGAGCCATTACCTCTTAACTGCTTTCCATACCTTTTCTCTCCAGATCTGCAGGTTTTTAAAATTACAGCTGTTTCAGGGATCACACCAAGATCATTTACTAATCTTCCTATGGGCCTTGGGCCTTCCTTTGGGTCTAATGCATCATGTGGTTAATACAACTTTTACATATTTTAACTCCTTTCCTTGATACTGATTGTGTGAACAGTATACATTTTGAATGTGTCTATCCTGCACTGGCTGTTACAAACAGTTGATGCTTAAAATATTAATTCTACTTATTTCCTGGTTTGAGTGCAATGGCCGATAAGAGGAGGCCTTCTTATGATATGAGATGTTATTTTTTAATGTTATGTTTGGCAGGAGAAGCACATTAAAAAAGTCTTACAACTCGCCTCCTTGTTCTGAGTTAATGTAGTTAATTCTGTCCAGAATCCAAGACCTGTAACGATTAAATGTTGAAACTGTAGAGCGATTAGAAAAGAAAACATGTTATACAGGCAAAACCATTGATTGTGTTAAATTAGCTTACATGTTTATTTACATACTTTTGCATAGTCATAAGAGCTGTATTGCTACTTAAACATGTGTCCTGTATTATTGACACTGGTGGTTTTTTCATTTTGTGAAATGATTCAGATCTTTATTTTAGTTTCATCTGTTGATATTCTGAAGAATCCATGATCCTAAAATCATCGTTTGGATTAATGTATTTCTTTTGTATTATTTTTTAGCTTGAAAACTGTAACTATGCAGTTGACCTTGGGAAAAGAGAAGCTAAGTTCTCTCTGGTTGGGATTGGGGGAGAAAACATTAATGAAGGCAATAAAACTCATACTTTGGCTTTGGTCTGGCAAATCATGAGAAGGTATTTTTAATCATTCCTTATAAAATGCAGCTTATTAACTCATTGTAATGTCGCACAAAGGAAAAAAAGATCAAATAAACTCATGAGGCGATATGCTAAAAGAGAGCAATAAAAAAATACATATTCAGAATTTGTGTGTAATATGATGTCTCAGACATCAAATTAATGATTTTCAAAAAGATGAAAATTAATAATCTGAGATATTTTGTTTTTCTAACTCATATCTATTGCATTCCCAAATTCAGAATTAAGATATTACTGATATTACTGACTAGAATCAGGCTGGGGAAGTGCAACCAGACACATTTTCATGCTACACTGAAAGGCTAAAAATTGAATATTTTTGGTCTTGAACGGAAAAGATTGCAAGGGAACCTTTTATCAGGGTTTCAAAATCCTCAGATCTCTGACAAACTTAAACTAGTGGACTTCCTCAGAATTCAGAGAGAAACATGAATCACAGGATACAAGTGGAAACTATAGTGATCTCTATTTAAGATGAAAAAGGGAGACAATATTTGCACAAAGAGTTGTGGGAGTCTGGAAGGAGCTATTCAGTCATGTGGATAAAGCAGACAGGCTGGCATCTTTCAGGAAGTGGCTGAATGAGAGCCATCACTTCACTTGAATGACTTCACAGCTAGCAACCAAATGAGCTGGAAGGCTGAAAGGCCTCCTTTCTTTCGAAACATTTCTTATGTCCTTGTGGAGTAGTCAGTTGTTCAGGCTCATGGTTACCACTCCTGTACTGAACAGGGGAGAATGCGTATGTGTAGCCCATCGATCAGAGCTATTAATCTTTTAATACTTTGCAATGTCCAGAGCTGCAAAGGAGAGGCTAAATCCACCAGCATCACTGCAAGTGTTGTTGCAGGGCAAAATGATTCTAGTAGTAAAAGAATTACTCTAAGGACAATAGGAATGGGAATTTTGTCCAGATGTATTTACTGCAGCTGCTTCAAAGACAGCTCAGCTGGCTTTCACCCTCCCGGCTTCAATGGGAGGGATTGAGACCCAGTAGAATTGTCTTCAAACCTGTATCTTTAACAGCGTGTTGGACCAATGCAGGAGACAGATACAGAATGCAAGTTTTCAACACCTTATACACAAGTAAAAAAGTTACATTTCTCAGTATAGATAAGGGGAAACGGCACATAGTCAGTTATTTTCCAGCTTCTCTGACCTTGATTTTCTGACTAATGTTTTGATGCCCAAGATCCCTGCTATCTAGCTTCTTCCAGTGCTCCTTTATTTTTTCTTACCCCCCTGTCATTAATTTGCACCATATCCTCCAGTGTCCTCCTCTGCTCTACCTTCAAGAACCCCTTCACTGGAGGAGAAATGATTGCCTAATAATTCGTAAAACTAGAAAGGAGTCATGTTAGCATTACACAGCAAGCAAAAATAAGGTTTACCACATAATCCAGGTGAATAAAACCAAATTTACATGTGTATTGTATTGTAATTACCAACCAAAATAAATATTTTAGAAGCCAAGATGCAGACCAGTTTAATGGCAATGATTAAACTAGTACATAAAACAGCAGATATAATTCAGTAGTGTTTTGTGTAGAAGTAAGTTGCTGATCTTGGTTCTTAAATGTTAAATTAAATGTAATCATCATTATTATGATTTATTTTTTATTTTAGGTATACTTTGAAAGTTCTTTCTGATCTTGGGGATGGAGCAAAAGTCACAGATGAAATAATCATTAACTGGGTGAATGCAACTTTACAAGAAGGCAAAAAGGAGACCTTTATTACAAGCTTTAAGGTAAATGGATACCTGTGAACCTGGAACCTATCAAATGTATTAAATCAAAAAACATAATTTGCTCGTGATAGTGCTACATTTACCTACCAGTCTAACATAATGAATCATTTGTTTTTAGGACAAGTCCATCAGCACTAGCTTGCCTGTGATAGATTTAATAGACACCATTGCCCCCAGTGCTATCCGGGAGGAAATGGTGAAGAGAGGGAATTTTTCTGATGAAGACAAGCTCAACAATGCAAAGTAAGAGTTGTCACTCACAAGCCTTGCTACGTCCTGTACAACATCTCTGAAAAACAAAACAATTTCTTGAGATTTAACTCCTACCGTGGGCAGAGAGTGAGGGTGTGAATTACCAGTTTATTTATTGTTTCTTTTTGTTAGCAAGGTATCTTTAAGCTTTAAGAACAATAGTATTATTTTTTTCATGTTCATTATTTCTGTTGCCAAACTTTTTACATTCATTGCTTATAAATCCACATTTACATGTTTCCATACTGAGCACTATACATATATATTTTAGGATTGTATTAATATAGAAAAGCTGAATATATACTGCTTATACAGCTGAATTGGTGGTGGTGGAGGGGAGTCCCCATTACCTGTAAAGCGCTTTGAGTGGAGTGTCCAGAAGTGTAAGCAATTATTATTATTTCTATTATTATTATTATAATACTGTACCATGAGCAGTATATCTTTGGCTATGTTTTTTTCTTTGTGTGCCCTGAAATGATTTCTCCAATTTTTTTTAAATTCTGCTTTTCCTCGTCGTCTCTTAATTCACTAGATGGTTTTACTCTTTTGGCACAGGTATGCAATTTCTGTTTCTCGGAAGATTGGAGCCCAAGTGTACGCGCTGCCAGATGACTTGGTGGAAGTGAAGCCAACGATGGTGATGACGGTGTTTGCCTGTTTGATGGGGAGAGGCCTGAAGAGTGTCAGAAAGTGAACTGAACGTGCTTTACTCTTTTACTGCCACTCGAAGTCCACTCAAGCATAGGGCCTTTACAGTTTCCTTCACTTTATCACAAACAATTAGCATCTCTCCATCGCAATATTAAAAACACTGACCACAGCAAATCCGTTTTCTGTGTTTGAAAAGAAATCCTATTTTCCATTTGTTTTTCAACTGAAATCTTACTTTCTTAATGAGTCAATATAAGGAACTACTGTATATCATGAAACTGCCACTGATAAAAACAATATATTAAATACTGTATATCCTGCTTTTAATTTTTTTTTTCATGTTGCTTTTGCTCATTAATTAGAGCTCATTAAAATTGAATTTACAGAATGATATAATCTCTTACATGTTCTCCTTTTGAAAGCAGACAAATACCCTAATCCAGGAGTGTCAGAATCACATCCTGGAGGTCCAGTGTCTCCTGTTTTTCCTTCCAGCCTGAGTAATCAATTGAACAATTAACATGATTTTTGTCTTAGTCAGATATAAACATGATATTACTAAAGATATTTTACAGTTAATGACTCAAACCACACTTCATTAAATGCACAATTACCTATAAAACACCATGGGGCCTAGTTAGACACATTGCAATTAAGCTGCAAATTTGATTATTATTCCAACAATGTAACTCAGAGCTCAGGTGGAACAAAAACCAGAAAACAAGAAAACACTATGCCCTTAAGGAATTGAGCCTGAGACCTCTGGTTTACAAGACAGTTCACAGTCCTGGACAGGATTTGTTTGTACAGTAAGTAGATCCTTAACTGTCACATTGATATCTGTTTTCCAAATAAAGTAGTTAGGGGATTGTTTATACCATGGATACGCATATTAAATATGCTTGAAAGGGAGGCATTTTTTTCTGTAGCCTCAATTAGTAACTGTAACTGGCGAAATGAACAGCTTCTAATATGATAATATAATCAATTGTTTATAGTTGTAGTTGAAACATATCTATAGAGGCAGTGAGCATTCCCACTCTTTGAGAGCTTCCACATCAAATAGTCTTCTCCAAAGCCCATCCCTTGCTTCATAGTTATCATTAACTCCTCAATTGTACAGGCAACAGATCAAGTGCGGTCACAGATGAAAAGAAAATAGAAAAACCCATACATCTCTTGAGGCCCAGACAGTCACAGGTCCCTCACAGCACTTTGATATGCTTAGACAAATGATGGCTGGCTCCAGTCTTTCTAAGAGTGTCCTAATACTGTCTCACAGGAGGTTATATACAGAAATTCTCCTCAGATCATCAGGTACTACAGATCTTGGAAGAACAGGTGTTAATTATTAATTAGCTCAAGTAATTACCCTCAGAACAAAAAACAGAAAACACTACAATGCCTGAGAATTGGACACATGTAAAACTATCCCTCCCTCCCTCGACTTAAAGAAACAAAATCCTATTATTAAACTACGAGATATTGTATGTTCTACATTATATTCTTACATAATCACACTATCTTTCAACACGGCCAGCTGCGCTTCACTGTTTACATCTTTTACAGAGATTGAGAAGTGCCGTCTTGAAAAAAACATTTTTCTAATAATTAAACCTTGCGTACCACACACAATCTTTGGTTTTGATCTTATTTTATTCAGTGCAGATTAACCAAAGTTATCGTGAGGGTGAATGAAATAATTTTAAAATATTTTCTACATGGCTCCCTATTCTTCGTGTTGTTGTTTTTTTAGTCCACTAACTTCCCTGAGTTCCAGCCTTGAATCGCGTCCGCAATTCAACCCTTTTACCACAAGAATGAAACAAGATGGTTATCATTTCATTATCAAGGCCAGCATCCATACATGTGGTGGTTCTCTGATTTTGAAAATATGTCTAGCCACGAAAATGATATTAGATTTTATAAAACATAATAGATACAAATATTTAAAAACAATTTATAATCGAATCCTTTACACAGATCAGCTGGATCTGTTAGCAGCAGTGACGCTTATCGCCGATATTATATAATAGTCCGTCTCTCAAGATGTTGCACCCTCAACATGAAAAAGCAGGTGAACAATTCACATGCGCAGAACACTGCAGTACCACCATCAGGACCAGTACGTCGCCAGTTCCATAGAGAGAAGTTGCTCGTATCATTTCTTTATCTTGCGCCGTTATATAATAACGTACTCATTTTCAAAGGTAGATTTAAGGTTTTGGTCAAAAACCAAAAAACAGGACCTGCACTGCGAACATCGCCGTGAGGATGAAAACGAATTTCACAAATAAGAACAATTACAAAGCCTGAAGCGTGGATATCTTAATTCTCTTCAAACGGTGTCTTATAACACTGCAACTCCTGATGCTAAATAAGGAGCGTCGTGCTTAAGAGGTGTTTTTCTATATTTTTTTCTTACAACAAAATCTGAAGGGGTTCTTCATTTAATGGACGTTACTGTTTAGTGTGTGATGCACATCAATGTATTGCCGTACTCGTTTTCTGTCATAATGGCTGCTCTGTACCAGAGCACGGATTCTTCCTCTCCGGATAAATATCTCGCACTCAAGGATGTGAGAGAGGTAAAAGAGGAGACGACCCTGGACGAAAAGCTGTTCCTCCTTGCTTGTGAAAAAGGTAGGAAACGTCCTTAACGCAGGTGCGGTTGTTTGAAAGATACTGAACTGTATAAACAAACGACAACTTTAAATTATTAAAATATTAATGATGTGCAGTCAGTGACAAGCCTAAAGCTTTGATTAACAATTTTTACCGCACGGGACTTTTAACATACGGGGTGACACTAAGCAGATCAACCTGCATGGACCATTAAAACACTGCAATGCGTTTAAGGTAATTTTTTATTCCCTTTAATATTTGTCCATCCCGAAGTTCATTGCTTATAAGCTTTTGCTTATTTTTGTAATCATAACATACAAGAGTATGATTTTGCGTTGTTTTAACGACACAACCACTGTGCGATCCTGATGCTAACTATAAAGTCGAGAAGAATCAACAGAAGTAATTTATTTAAAGGCCATATGTAAAATAGTTCAGCTCTTCACTTCGGAAGCTAATGGTTCTTAATAAAGAGCTCAGCCTTTTCTTTTCACAATATCTTTGTACACCTCAAAGGAAAGAAAACAACAACTCCTCCTGTAGTTCTGGGGGTATACTACAGTGATTTACGGTATACTGTATATTGAAGCGGCTGCTATGCATTTTATTATTTATTTATTTCCAAGTGAACTAAAGAATATGATAAAATATTGTGATAAGAATGAACATACTGTATGAAAGTCAGGGTATGTCAATTTTAATCACTGCATCCCATTCTAAAGCAATTAAAGTAGTCTATTTGTAGATGAAAAAGTACCTGAATACATTTAAAGCAACTGCACAATATCTATGTTTAAAGTGCATCTTTGTTTACATCTTTATTGCTAATGTTTCTGCACGTGTGTACAGTATGTGTGCAATTCATCTGCCACGTCCAGCTGGTAAACTACTGTGCTGTAGTGAAATTTACCCTAGGGTTAAATTTTCCATGTTTTCCTCACTTTCCATTTAAAATATAGTTTTTGGATGTCTTCAAATAATTACTTGTACCCATGCATATCCATGACATTCAAATATCAGGGCACATTGGACTGTGCTCCTGGTAAAAATATTTCAAGGTAGGTTTGTCAGCAAACCTGCTAGATGAGTTGACTGACCAAAAAAGTGGCTGTTGCAATAAATATTAGACGTCTCCTCTTTTGGAGCCTTGTGAGTGAGTGAGAGAGAAGGTAGGGCCGACTTTGAGGAATAATAGCTGTTGGGTTGTTCTATAATGTTGTTATTGTAGTCTAGCATATTTATATCTAGGAAGTCCTCAGCCAAATGAAGGATAATGACAGAGGGTTTTACGGTAAAACATAATCAGTTTAGGAAGATTAAATTTGGACACTGACCTCGAAGGGTAATGTCTCAATGCTTGGTACTTGCTGCCTATATAAGGGCAGAGTGGAGCACACACAGTGAAACCAGCATGGTTACTGGTACTTTCACTTATCGTACCAGTGGCAGGACTTCTCAAGCCCCACTGACCCTTCTGTTCTTTCTGTGAAGGTGACTATTACATGGTGAAAAAGCTCCTAGAGGAGAAGAGACATGGCGATTTTAACATAAACTGCGTGGATGTGCTGGGGAGAAACGCGGTGACGATATCCATAGAGAATGAGAACCTGGACATACTGCAGCTGCTTCTGGATCATGGCTGTCAGGTAAAAAGAGAAAAAAATGACAACAGTATGTGTTTATAGCCTGTGGAGACATAGCAAACTATTTAACAGCCTTTCATTTTGAGTAAAAAAAATCTTACTGTGAAGATTGTGGCAGATATCCCCCGAGTGGCCCAGAAAAGGAATTCATAAACAACCTTTTTTAAAGTGCAGATAAGCCTGACCCTGGCGCGTCATATACAGGTCTGGTTTTTGTTCGTCTTAACATTTAAAGTAATGTGACTCTCTTGCCCAGACCTTTATTTCAGAGGGTAGACAAAGAAATGTGATTCAGCAGTCGGACTATGCCACATTTGAAAAGAGACATGTTGGAAACTCAAAGGGAGCTTCTTTTATTTAAGTTCAAGGCTTGGTTGGAAGAGAAGTGTGGATTGGGAAATGGACTCTGAAGTTGGATCTCCTGTCCATTTTCTGGGAAGCTACAGGGAATTTCAATTTCATCCCAGCTGAGCTCTCACGTTACAGTCGATGGTTTCAATTAAGTCAAGATTAAAGTGATTTTTAGCTCCTAATTGAAAATCTGTGTGATGAGTGCCCTCTAGTGGTCAATGGTAAAGGGTCCTGTTCTAAGAGTGGGCTAGGCCCTTGTCCAGAGGTTGCTGGTTCCCACATTAGACAAACGCCACTGAGGAGGAATGATGGATTAGACATTGACCACTCAGCAATTTGCCAGATATATGCAAGGTTAGTCCCATTACTGAAAGCTGCACACGCCACACTTGACTATACACACATGGATGATTTTTTGTGTGATTTTGCTTTGTGCGTGCCCTTTGTTGACAGTAATTTCTTTGTTTTTTTTGTTGTTGTTTCTCTTCTTCTTTTTTTTTGATAGACAACAGATGCACTGCTCGTCGCTATTGACTCAGAAGTGGTGGGAGCCGTCGATATCCTGCTCAATCATAGACCACGGAGGTCCTCCAAACCGTCGATAGCAGTTAGTGCTTTCTGTCCCGTTTTGATCTAAGGGGTTTTAAAAAAAAACATTTGTGATCATTATGCAGTAGAGTTATCATCTTAGCAAGTATGCAATGGAAATTGCAGAAACCCTTAACATGGAAAGCAAGGTATTTTCATTAAAGAATACAGTTTAATCAGTTACCCCAGCATTGAGATCAATTGTTTTTTCTCTATATATATTGTTTTGTTTAAACCATCTGTGTGTGAGCAAGGAAAGGCGCCTGGACAGAGTTGACATTTTCCTATGTTCCTCTCCAGTTGTGAGCAGTCAGAAATAAATCAGCCATCTGGTCTTCATTTGATTCAACTGGAAAGAAAACGGCTCTAATCAGATCATCTGAAATCAGGCCCTATGTCAGAGTTTGTTTGCTACACTGGGCTCCACCTTAACAACTGGAACAGGCAGATCGTACTGTTAGCCGAGTTAAGAGGAGAATACAGATATGAAAGTGTGTAGGGAAACTGCCAAGATATGCTTAGTAATACTATCATACTCAAGGAAGGAAGATTAGGCATAGTTCATTACCGATGTGGGTTGCTCTTAACACTGTTCTGGTATTCTTCATTTCACAGAAACTGATCCACCGTATTCAGAACCCAGAATACTCCACGACAATGGATGTCGCCCCTGTCATTCTAGCAGCTCACCGAAACAACTATGAGATCCTCACCATGCTGCTCAAACAGGACATCTCCCTTCCAAGGCCTCATGCAGTCGGCTGTGAGTGCACGCTGTGCAATGTCAAAAACAAGAAGGACAGTCTCCGCCACTCCAGGTGCGTAGACAGTCCCCGGGACACGGTGTTGTCTGTAGGGGTGGTGGTTTTCAAGCTCGGCACACGCAAAGCTTCAACCCAGTTACCAGTCACAAAATATACACTCAAAAAGTATGTAAAAGGAAGTCTGTTGTATTTCCCATGTGATACAATCACTGGCCCCCCTTACAGCCATGGGCTAGATGATAAGGAGCAAATGCTAATGCAGTAGTTGTTGCAGTACAGCTGGTGTAATCCCTTAAGGAAGTTTGGGTATTTAAGGGTTCCAATAGGACCTGGTGGACGCCTTTTGTTTGCAGGAGACAGCCTTCTTCTTCTACTCAAAGGAAATCTGTCACTAAACAATGGATTTTGTAATTTGCTATCTGGGGGTAGGTCAAAGTTATAATTGGGTCCAGGCTTCGATCTCAAAACCAGTTTATCAATTGATTTCCAATGTCATTTTTCAAAACAGGAAACACACAGCAGAGATACCTCAGTAAAAGCGCCTGTATCTACTGTCTGACTGACTAGTGTTATTTTTAGTCTGTTTTCCTTTCCAGATCAGATTTGCAATAGCCTTCTTAAATAGTAGATTACAGTTATATTGTATGAGGTTTTTGCCAGTTATGACACACTGAAACTAGTTAAATATTGTAATGCAACGGGGGCTCAGGCGGGCGCCCTTGCCGCATCCAGTCGAGATGGGGCCGACCAGATGCGGCAAGGGCGCCCGCCTGAGCCCCCGTTGCGTTACAATATAAAGGAAATTGTGAAAACAATTAACAGAGAATATCCAAAGTAGAGAAGTTTCAATAAACATTGTGTCCTTAAAGGAAATTTGACATTTATTCTTATTATTCCTTGGCTGAAAAGGTGCTTCCTTTCTATAAAATTGTACTGCTCTTCAAAAGTACACAAGTGTCATAAAAACTGAATTAAACCAGAAGGCTTCACAGGATTACAGTAGCTCTTAAGTCTTTGGAAGAATTTGTTTACCTTCCACCAAAAAGGCTTTCCATCAGCACTTCTTTCAGAGCAACAATGGATTCAATTACTAGATACAGTATGTATGCTTTACTTTCAGCTCTATTCCCCTTCACTTCAAAAGGTAAAGTGAATTATTTACTTCTTTATAATAGACTGTGTTTTAACATGCCTTAGATCATTCATAATGATGAAAACCCTTCTGTTGTTAAAACCATGAAAGAAGATGGCTTAATTAAGCATAGGTCTTTTAAATGTGTCTCTAAGTGTTGCTGAAGTGTGTCCTTTAAGGATTTGATTAAATATCAGTCAGGATACTGTCCAGTTAGATAATGAAATCACTTTTCAAGCACAAGGGAAACACAAATGGCCTTGGTAGAGATTAGATCGAACTTCAGTGTTTATCATTTCTTGAATTTAATTACTAGTTAAGTATCATGTTATTGTGTATAGAATATGATTTTTTTCCATTTAAGTTTAGAAGAAATGTTCAGAAGTGCAGGGTTGCAGTAAGGTTTATACTGGTAGAGACAGGCAGAAACCTTTATAAACATCTACCTTTTTTAGCATTGTGTTTTTGAAACCATGTATACACACAGAGTCCATACTCTGAGGCTAAAGGTTTTTCTGAGGGAATCTTATCTTAATTTCCCTGAATAGTGAAGTGGACAGAGAGCATGTGATACTCATCCCGTTGAGAGAATGCCAGACCATTGCAGGGTGACTTCCTGAAAATTTTTGTATCCATCTGTGTCTCTGGGTAGATTGGAGCAATTATAGCTAAGGGAGCAACAACAGTGACCATAGCCAGGACATGACCCCGTGACCTTGCAGTTATGAGCCCAGTACTATGCTACCCCTCAGTACTAAATACACTGAGGAACAAGTGGAGAACAAAGCTGGATAAGTGATTTGTGTGCTCTTAATGTTGACTTTTCTTCAGGTTTGCTAGATATTAGAAAGTTAAAGTGCTACTCTAGTCTGCTCTCACATCTGAGGAGCATAATAGATTGATTACACAGTTGAGGGTGCAAAAAGGTAAAATTTATTGTCCACCATATCCCAAACCAAAAAAGGGTTTCTAGAGAACCTGGAATATGTTTGCAATGCCTGGTTATCTTTTCAGGTCCAAAGGTATTGTTTACTATGGATCTTGAAGTTCTTAAATGAAATTAATCAATATAAGCAAATGTTCATCAGTAACAAACTTTTAACCTCACAGCTATCTTATCTTTAAATATTTAAGAAACATTTTCATTATAGTTAAAAATGGAAATGTTATTGTCATTCATTTGGATCCTTTCAAAATGTATTCTTAGTATGATTAAAGAGAAGGCTTCATTAGTGTTGTAACAGTTTTTAATGACATTTATAAAAGTATCTGTTTCTTAATTAAAGTCATGCTTGTATTATTTATGACATTTTGTTTATGGTTTTATAATGGACCTCATTAGAACTTTATGATTAATAATAATTTTTAGCCCCTCTAAAATAGCAAGACAGAAGGCAGTCTCTTCCTGTAGTAAATCAAACACAAACAGTTTACAAGTATCTTCAGTCTGACTGCTAGAATGGCTTTAAGCCAAATAGTAATAATGGCTTCCACTTACAAAGTATGCTGTTATTCCACAACACAACAGTTATACTCAAAGAATTCAAGCCATTACCAAGGCATAATGTCAGAGCCTGTTTTTAAGAATTTCATTATGAACCTAGAATACAAAATGGAGGACAGTGTGAGTCATCTATCCACTCTGAGTTGCTGTTAACCATAGCAAATATACTGACTTGCAGCGACAGTACCTGATTCACTTGTTGTAATGCTACATTTAGACAAGTGAACAAAGAATTTGTTGCTTTGTGATTTATTCTCACAAACGCTCTGTCACATGAGGTTAGAAGCTGTGGATATCTTATATATTTTTTATCTATGTTTTGCCTTTATTAGGTTTCGTCTGGATATCTATCGTTGCCTGGCAAGCCCTTCTTTGATAATGCTCACTGAGGAAGACCCAATACTGAGAGCCTTCGAGCTAAGTGCTGACCTGAAAGAGCTCAGTCTTGTGGAAGTGGAGTTCAGGTACTTGTGATTACAACAACAGTGGCAGTTTGCTAGGGAAACACTGCAGGATGGCATGAAAGGGAAATGAAAAATATTGAATTTGCACATGGATGGTGGACTTCTAAAAAATTGTAAACTGCATTTTTCATTAGTATGTTAATTTAAGGTTATACTGTGTGGTGACACAGTGGTTAGCATTGCTGCCTCACAGTGATGGGGACAGGATTCAATTTCAGATTTGGGTTGCTATTTGCATGGAGTTTGTACTGTATGTTCTTCCTGTGTTTGCATGGGTTTCCTTCAGATGTACCAGTTTCTTCCCATAGTTCAAAGACAAACTGGTAGGTTAATTGACTTCTTGGAAAATTGTCCATAGTGTGTGTGTGTGTGTGTGTTTATGTCTGTGTGTGCCCTGTAATCTGGACTGGCGATCTGCGCAGGGTGTTTACTGCCTTGCACCCATTGCTTGCGGGTACCAGGGGTTAATCCTTCTGGGGGTAAAAGGTTGGCTGGAGTGTGAGGCTGACCACATCACCTCCACCTCCAGTGTCGGATGGTCACGAAAAATGGTGGGCAAAGGCCCCATGGGCCCTGATTGCCTGAAAAGGGACTTATCTGCTTTTTATGTGCAAGTAGTAACCACAGTTGTATCTTTTTTTTTCTTGATTAAATATACAATATAGGACGTTTCTGGATTTCCTTAAAAATATCTTTCAGCATTGGTCTGTCCTTTAGTGAAAGTGTATTGAGGGAATGTGGAAAACATACATTATGCAAATTTATGTGATGCTGGCAGCATATTAAACAGACATTAACACTGTATTCATGTAGATTTCCCACTTTGAAACTGATGCGGCAGTTATTACATTCAAAAGTCCCAAACCCCCTAACTGAAACACTGCTTGTGACTTCTCTCAAAATCAGTCTGGGCTGACAGGATGTAACCACTAAGGGTTGTCCCTGTGATTTTGGTGACAGGAATGACTATGAGGAGCTGGCGAAGCAGTGTAAGATGTTCGCCAAAGACCTGCTGGCTCAGGCCCGCAACTCTCGAGAACTGGAGGTGATCCTGAACCACACGTCCAGCGACGAGCACGTGGACAAGCGGGGCCTCCTGGAGGAGCGAATGAACCTCAGTCGTCTCAAACTGGCCATCAAGTACAACCAGAAAGAGGTGTGTTCTCCATGAGATAGCCCACCTTGACCTCTGCTGACAGAAAACACAGGCAGAAGGTTACAAGTGTTATCATTGAGATAATTTGGAGATTATCATGGTGTTATGTAAAAGATACATGAAACAACAATGCTTCGCTTCAGAGCAGCACACTGCAGAGCAGTATTGTAGAAGGCAGTACAAGTGCTCAAATAACAGACATGGGAAAAGAAAGGATGATTTCAAACAATGCTAAACCCCACCTGAACCGAGAAATGGGATCTACAGTACGTTGATCAACTAACCATCCACCTATGGAAAAACAGCAAACAGCAGGGCCTAAGTTTAAATACAGAAGATGAAAAAACAATTTGTCACAGGGAAAAAAATAATCTGAGCCAAAATAAATCAGCTGGCTTGCCCTGACTCCGTGGAAGAGTCATTTGCTCTCTGTAAGACAGGATAGTGTGGTATTTTGTTAAAAAACTTAATAGGAAGTATTGCTTCCTGCTCTTAATACCCCAAAGCACTGTAAAAATAAATAAAAAAAGCTGTGTTGAGATTGTTTTTCTTTCATGAGGATCATCTTTGGTGCCTAGTGATAATTTATGGATGACCGTCTTTGTTTCGGTGTGTTGTAGTAATATATCACACTGTTGTAAGCACAGTTCAGTTGCCTGCTGAGAGACAGATGCTGCCATGATCAGGTTTTCTATTCGGTTTATGACTACACACATACAAGAATCTCAGCAAAGCCCTTGCAGTAAGAATATTTACCTTAGTTCATCAGTTCAGAGTGTTCAGTTCATGCTGTCTTTGGTAGTTACGAAGATTTGTTGCTCCGGAAGCACTTTTGGTTTTGCACAGAAGTTTTTGTAACAATGGTTTACTGCTTTTCACTGCTTTTCTTCTCCATAACACTGTAGGATAATGAGAGTATTGATATGTGCACATAATTATTTGGTATGTGAAAATATTCCATTTTTTAAAAGGGTGAGGAAAATCTAAACATTTTACACATAATTTAAGAAACCGTGAAATGGCGCTGCACGTGTTATAAGACATCTCTTCTAGTTCTGTTTATGCAGGAATCTGAATTACTGCAAAGTTATGAGTAGAGAAATTATGTAGCGTTTTCTACAATCCAAGGAATGTTTCTAACAGCCTGCCTCTCACACACTCTCTTCCCTTTTTCCCCTCTGTCGGTCCATCCCCTCCAGTTTGTGGCCCAGTCAAACTGTCAGCAGTTCCTCAACACAGTGTGGTTCGGGCAGACGGCCAGCTATCGCCGCAAACACACGTGCCTGAAGATCCTGACAGTGCTGACTGTGGCTGTGCTCTGGCCCATCCTGTCTGTCTGTTACCTGCTGGTGCCCAGGTCCCGTGTGGGGCAGGTCATCCACACGCCCTTCATGAAGTTCATTATCCATATGGCGTCTTACTTCACCTTCCTGCTCCTTCTCAACCTCTACTCCCTGGTGTACAACGAGGGCAAAAAGAACACCATGGGCCCAGCCCTGGAGATGATCGACTACCTGCTGATTTTGTGGATTATCGGTGAGGCACTGGTTATGCGTCTTTTCTCCAGGGCTGAGGGGTTGAATAGTTTGTGATCAGGGAAGGCTGTATTCTCAAGTGTTGAGTACCCTGCAGAATAGGCAGTCTTAGATATCTTCTACTTTGCAGTCCTCTCTAAGACACCAGTATCCGTTACTGTTTTTTGTTTTCTTAACTTGCGAGTTCCAGTGCATATCCCGAGCTCAATGAAATCCCAAATTGTTTGCATTCCCCTTTGCAAAAACCATAATAGGAAACCAAAACTACCCCACATACCTAGAAGGAGAACTTTTGGTTGCTCATGCCCTGTGCAGCCTCACAGTGGTATGTGCCAGATGGGAGAGATTTCCACTTCAAGGGCTCTTCTTACTAGAGCTGTTGTGGCAGCCTTCCATTCGTGTTAGATGTCAGCTAAAATATAAGGTTCAAGTCCTGTGGTGGTGTTCTGAAAAGGAATGGGAAACTAATGCTTTGGGAGTTTAAAGCATAACTATGCAACATTCTGCCCAGCTGGAGATGCTTATGTATTGTGAACATTCCCACTAGACTCAGTGCATAGTATAGAAACAATAATGTGAAGCTAAACCTGCATGAATATTTCTGGATCAATGTGTGCATTGTTGAAGTGGATATTATTAAACTCAGGTGAATATCTGAATAATTATCTTATTAAAAGGGACTGCACGATAGGAGTCACACTTTATGTCTAAAAGTCTATATATATAAACCTATATATGAATTAGGGTGCAGTACCTCACATAAGGTTCAATAGCAGTGTCTGCATGGACTTACTATGCTATGATTTCACCAAATCAATATATAGTTACAAATGTATGTATATATTCTATATGCTATATATAATAATATATTATATGCTAAAAAAATAACCAGAAAGCATCAGATGATTCTTCGGTTTTCAAAGTTAGTTTTTAATAATATGTAAACATCTAATTTCACAGTTTTGAGTGATGATTACACTGACACATACATTTTCCAAATGGCTGTAACTATGGACCCCAAGGTATCATTAGGGAAATTACTTATAGCAAAGGAAGGAATCAGGAAACGATTGCAAAATTTCCCAAATTAAAGCACCGTTGTGAGAAAGTTGTCTTTCGTCATTCTGTAGTATGTGGAAAATGTGTACTTCTCCCTCAGGAATGGTGTGGTCGGATGTGAAAAGACTGTGGTATGAAGGCCTGGAAGATTTTTTGGAAGAGTCTCGCAATCAGCTCAGCTTTGTCATGAACTCCCTCTATTTGTCAACTTTCGCCCTCAAAGTGGTAGCACACCACAAGGTGAGTTAATCTCAGACTGTCTGAAAGGAGCTCAGGGGATTCATAGACCATTACACCTTCTGATGCTTTACACTCAATGTAAAGCCATGCAGGAGCAGTATTCCACAAAATGCAGCATTCTTGCACTAGATTTTTTGTGAAGTTCACACGTATCTGTTTTTAAAGAAACAGCACTCAATGGCTACAATAACAGCTTTTACATTTGAACATTTCTAATGAAAAATTAGGAAAGTTGTAGGAATGCGCAGCAGCTGAAAAATGTATGGAAGAATATATAATAATTGTTATTGTTTGGAAAATGGATAGATGGATGTTATAAGGAAATGGATTAAATGTTATATACATTTCTGAATAAAAGTCTTAAAAAGTACAATAGGTAATTCCAGATAAAGAGAGTATAATATAATTGATTGGCAATTCCAATATCGGTAAATAAAAATGTGTTTAACAAAAGCAGAAAGTAAAAGAAAGGATAGATATTCCATGAATAAAAGGTAGCATAGTAAAGAGCAGTTTTCAAAAACCCCTCCAGTACAAGCAAAAAACAAGGTGCCACATTTTGTTATGACCTTTCTTACTCAGATATATATGCACAGGAACACAGCTGGGTAGAATATCTGCTGTGATAGAGAATTAAGAATAAAATCAGCACACTCTGTAAATGTACTTCTCTTTATTAGGCAGTTTAGATGTTTTGCCGAAGTGCCAGATATGCCAAAACCTGTTTTGGCTTAGTCAACACGCAACATTGTTCTGTTGATTTGAGAAAATAAAATAAGTCAAGTCATATTGATTGTAAGGCTGATTATTTGCTGGAAACATATCCAGTTTTTCCTGAGGAAATCTCAGGAATTTCTGCATTTTTTAAAGGCCTCCCATCTTTTCTCTTAGTTCAAAAACATACAAAACACAGAAGACAGGAAGAACTGGGATGCCTTCCACCCTATTCTGGTGGCAGAAGGACTGTTTGCCTTTGCCAATGTCCTGAGTTACCTTCGCCTCTTCTTCATGTATACAACCAGCTCAATCCTAGGGCCCTTACAGGTAAGGCATTTCCAAATCACAACATGTACGTTATACTCTAACTGGGATAATAAAAACCGTATAATGTAAAAAAAGCTTTTAGAAAAGAATTGTTTATAAACTTGTCACGCCATGATGTTGATAAACTGTAAGTCTTTCTGTCTTCAGCTCTTATAGACAACACATTACACTTGTTGACCTTTCATGAAGGTTTTACTCAAGAATTGATTGAAATGTAACATAATATGTAGAGCAGAAAATAACTATTATTTTGGCGGTCTGAATCTCGTTTGTTTTGAAGTGGAGAGTTGTGTGCCAGGTATATTAATGTACACAGTCCCTTGCTAGAATAACACTGTCTGGCTTCTTTGGACAGATAACAGATTTACAGGGCAGAGACCCAGAAAGGCAATTATTTAACAAAACTGGTGATTTTTATATTCCTAGTGCTGCTGTAGCAGAGACAATTTGCAGTTCTTAAATATTTTAAGTGTTGCTTCTTGTCTAAAGAATCACAAAAACGCTCCGCCACCGAGAGAACAATTTTTCCCCAGACATGGTCAAAATGTCTGGACTGGGTGTTTTAGGTGAACTTGTGTGATGTGAGTTAGGATCATAGAGAGCTTCAGGGTTACAGGGAGAGAGAGGGCTTGTATGTGATGAAGACTTAATTCTTGTGTGCAGGATTTGAGTGGAAACTTAAAACCCACAGCTGTAAGAATACTCAGAAAGACTGAATCATTCCATTCTGCATCAATGCACTGCACCTAGGGATTTTTCTTGTGACCCCTACATTCCTTCAATATTTTTTACAGTGGAAAAAAAAGATCTGTTATTGAAGACTGGCAATGACTATAGCTGCAAGAGTATTATTTTTTAAAATGCAACAGAAAGAATTGGTTTGTTAAACTCTATGCTGAGTTAGAACTGATGCCTTTTTGAATGCAGGAATTGTGGAGCGAATATTTAAGAATCAGAAGGCAAATAGAAGGTCTTTGTAGCCTTAGTCAAGATTTTTATTAAAAAAAGAGCAAACCATCTTTGGATTCATACACATGGCTGTTTTAATATAAATTTGTTGAGGCTTCTCATCAGTTAACCTTGTGGGCCTTTCATTGGTTCTTTTAAGCCAGTACGAGTGAGTAACCGCCCCTGTCTCTGACGGGTAAATCGTACCATTCAGAGCTGCACAGTGAAGCTTGTGTTTCTTGAATCCTGCATCTACCCCAGTCAAGCGTTTATGGTCTTTTCCACAAACAAAAAAGTCATGATGCTGTACTTTTCCTACGCTTTATAGTGATTTGTACCAGGAATCTAGAACACAAACTACGGTCCACTGGCTTTTCAGATGGTGCTTTGTGTTTTGCTTGAACAGTCTACATTGCATAAGAGTCTTAAGACAGACTAAAAAAGAAACTTAAATGATCACTTCAGTGATTTTTGGAGACATGTCATGGTTACCAAAATCAGATGCTAACAATATTAGTTTATTTATAACATTAAAAACTACGTTCTCATGTGATATAGCATGTTTCTCTTTTTCAGTTTGTTCAGTGGCATAACTTCACTATAAAACAGCCATTGAGAAACAGCTCTTTGCATTATCTTTTATTCTATTCTCTCTCACATTTGTGCTTCTTAGTCTAAAATCAACAGTGCAAATGTAAGCCTGTTTTAGCCAAGATATTAATATTAATCAGATGCTAACAGATGCTAACAATCTGTCAATTAGTCAGAAATTCAGTCTAAATGGTTGCTTGTGTTTTAAAATAGGTAGTTGGAGACTATAATGTGCATTGTGTATTATTGGTTACATACCATTTGCTACTGGGTTGTGATGACTTTTTTCTTTGGTTATAATCTTCAATAGATTTCAATGGGACAGATGCTGCAAGAGTTTGGCAAGTTCCTGGGTCTGTTTCTTCTTGTGCTCTTCTCCTTTACCATTGGTTTGACGCAGCTATATGGCAAAGACCAGAAGGACCCCAGCAAAAGTGGAGGGAAAGACTGTGAGGGCATTTTCTGTGAGCAACAGAGCAACGACACATTTTACTCGTAAGCTGGGATTTCTTTTTATGAAGAAACGTATTTATGTTGAATGGAAAAGCTTCATAATATTGCATTACTACTTAAATCCCCAGGGTCCATGTAGGTGCTCAGGATACACAAAACCACGCGATATACATATTGTATCTGTTGTATTTGGAAATATTAAGAAAAAGTCCATCCTTCAATGTTTCTGTAAGTGTTTTTTGAAGTGTGAGAATGTGTTTAAGATTATTTTAAAATGTCGCTTCATATTCAACACTAAAGCACCTCTTGATTTCCTCTTCCAGGTTCATAGGGACCTGCTATGCCTTGTTCTGGTATATCTTTTCACTGGCGCATGTTGCACTGTTTGTAACGAGGATCAGCTATACTGAGGAGTTACGGTCATTTGTTGGTGCCTTGATTGTTGGCACATACAACATAGTGGTTGTGATTGTCCTGACCAAGCTTCTCGTGGCTATGCTCCACAAAAGTTTTCAACAGATTGCGGTAAGTGAAACAACAGGCCCTAAACGCACATGCCCTGCCTCATGTAACGGAAGCTCACTTCATTGTCTCCTGTTCATAAAAGACATCAGGAAGCAGTCCAGAAAACAGCAACAAGATTCATTCCAGGTTTTAAGGAGATGATAATGAGAAAATAAGATTTTCAGTCTTAGTGGACGACATTTAAGGAGATGCAAATGACAACTCCAAAATATTGCAGGGTCAATAAGCTTGATCCTAATTATCACTTTTTTCAATATAGAGAACATTCAATGTATGAATTGTCAGGGCACATGGTGAAGGCAGAGACACTAGGAAATTTCAAGTCAAGACCTGATACGGTGATTGACTGGCACAATGATGAGCACTGATGGCCTGAATAGTCTGTTCTTGTCATTAGCTTTTAAGTCTTCTCAATGCCTGTGAAAGTAAGTTGTATTAGCCAGCCTGCGCCTCTGTGTAATTGCTTTCACCTGTTATGAATTCCATCATGTTTTGAAGACAGCATTTGAAAACAGGTGATTAGGTAGCACTTGGGTTATTTGTTACAAAGGATTTCAGCCAACTGCTTTCAGTGAACACCACCCCTCATCCTGGAGAGACCCAACCCAGCAATTCATAAACATTAGGAACACTTGTAAGTTATTGATCAATTAAGCAACTAATTGATTTAATTAAGGGAATTGTGGTCCTTTAGGGCTGAAGGGTATATTGATTTTTACCACTTATTATCTCATAATTGTAAAAATCACACTTTAAATTTTCACAATTTAATTGTTAGAGGGCTTCAGAAATTGATGATTTAATGGCTACCCATACAATCTGCTGGGCTGGAGCTCCCTAGCAGCTGAAGTATAGATTTCCTGATCTAGCTACTTGCAACACATGTGTCTGAAGTGTCCAGATATTAAGCATCTCATAGATCCAATATCAAATCATTTTGTCCAGGGGACCTGTCATGTAGTAGACAAGGTGTTATTATGTTATGCTGCCTCGGAGCTGTAAGATGTGGTTACTGAAGAGGGATGAATATTTCTTGCTTTCAAGCCATGCGTAGGCACAGCGTTTATTTTTCTTGGTAAGAAGAATACTGTACGTCAAAAGGCTAATGGATTTTGTTTAGCAGTATCAATTTTTAAAGTCAAAACATATTTAGCTTTCTTAAAGCCAAGGTTGGAAATAATGACACATTCAGAACCGTCTGAAGGAGTTACTGTCCTTTATGGGAAATTGGTACATTTTCTGCTTCAAGAAAAAACCTGTGTTCTGGTCATAGATCAGTGCTGAATGACCCAGCTCTTGAGAGATCTTTGTACTATTTTTTGTATATTTGTTTGCTCCTTTGAAGATTTTGAACACATCCAGTAGACTCTCAAGAGGTCTAGACAAGGAATGTACCAAAAGCAATATGAATAGTGGATTGTGGATTTATTTTTTCAGTACGAATCACAACTGCTTTCATGTGTGCAGCACACAAGATGCAAAGTAAAAAGTGGTCTGGTTGAAATGCTATGCAGCTGATGTTAATAAGCCAGTTAAAAGGAGTAATGACATTGCTGTGGTTCATTATAACCTAACTAGTGCTCCCTTGTCCTGTTCTAATGCTTCAGAACCACGAAGACAAGGAGTGGAAATTTGCCAGGGCCAAGTTGTGGCTGAGCTACTTTGATGACAAGTGTACACTGCCTCCTCCCTTCAACATCATACCTTCCCCCAAGACCGTCTGCTATCTTGTCACCAGTCTCAGCAAATGGATCTGCTCTCACACCACAGCGGGCAAGGTCAAAAGACAAAACAGCCTGAAAGTAAGTGTGTGTGTGTGGGTGTGTGTGTGTATAAAAAAGGCCCTAATTGCACGTCTGTGCCTAGCGGCCACCTCCTTATTGCAGCAAGCTGGAAAATCCCATTTCATTTAAAAATCAATGGGGCTTGGTATTTTTCAACAACTTTAGCAAGCCTCTAGCTCCCCAAGTCCCTCCCCTTCCCCCTCTATTTCCTTTGCAGTGGTGAAGATATGATAAAAAACTTTCTGCATTTATCGGTTTCTTTCGTTCATACAACAGCAGAGATTTCATTATTTTCACATTACTGTATATTGTAATGTACTGTACTGTACTACCAAAAACCACTGGATACAATGGAATTCCAAAATCTTTTTAAAAATTCCACGTCAAACACAGTGAACTACACAAAATTGCATCATAAAAGCACATATTGAACTTTAAAATCCGTAACTAACATACCTACTCATCATTAAGAAGAGGTGAGTGGGAGTATTGGAAAGTACCTAAATAATTTGATTCTTCAGTAATTTGCGGAAGACAAATCCGCAAGCACAGTTAAAACACGACACCAGACAAGATTTTTTAGATATTTGCTGACCTCCTTATGTAGTTTTCGCTGTGTTAAGAGGTTAATGAATAAAAACTAATACATTTTATTTGTGTCTAGGAGTGGAGGACCCTGAAACAGAAACGAGATGAAAATTATCAGAAGATCATGTGCTGCCTTGTGCACCGATACCTGACTTCCACCAGGCAGAAGCTGCAGAGTACAGATCAGGCCACAGTGGAGAATCTCAATGACCTCAGGCAGGACCTTTCCAAATTTCGAAATGAAATGAGAGACCTCCTTGGCTTCCGAACCTCCAAGTATGCTATGTTTTACCCCAGAAGCTAATTCCTTTCTTAGTCCTCGGTGAGATTAAAGCCAGATTGTCAGAAGATGTCTCTTTGTGCTGGACAGCAGAGAACGTTGAACTTTACCTGGAACTCACTGGAGCATCTTTCTTATAAAGCCTCTGAAGATGCCTTCCTTGTATGACATGCTCGTGTTCCTTGGGCTTTTTTTTAACTCCTACTCTTTTCAACGAAAAGATCAAATAAAAATTTCGGAAAACACTCTTTTCCCACAACTTAGTCTTTGCTCTTTTTTTATTTGCAGGCTTTGGTAATTATTCTGAAAGAGGGATGGAACATTGATTGTTATTAAGGAAAGAGCAAAAAAGAAAACCCCAAAAAACACAAAGGAAGTTTGTGTGGAGTTTAATTAAACATTGTAGAGGTGTTCAAAACTACGTTATTGATTTCATGTGGTTAAACACTGACACTCTGTTGTAAATAAAATATGTTGGCATCCCTATACAGCTTTGAACAACCAGACATTTGTTATTTCCACAGACAACACACATTTACAAACTTCTAAGTCTTTAAAACAAAAAAATATTCTAATTATAATATTCAGGTAATGGAGTAAACTGCAATAGGTGAAGATTAAGACAATAAAGAGAAAACACTTCTTGTCAAAATGAACATTGTGAGTGTTATTGTCAATAACAGCTATTTTAAATAAAAAAATAAAAGCTTTAACAGTTATCTGTATAGGAAAATATTTAATTCATTCTACTAGTCTTATTACAAAAACTTAAAAATAGGTCCTATTGCTGCACACCCCAAAGATGACTTGATGTCTTTGTGTACCTAATAAAACAAAAAGCTTTTTGCCCTGACTGAAACTATAAAATTGCTTTTTTATTCAGCAAGATATGGCAGACGTGATGTTTTTTTTTTAAAGAATAATACACCTGTAGAGAAAACATTGAAATATCTTATATTATTGCACTTTTCATCACCACATAGAATACTTCCCACACAGTGTTCTTTAAAATATCCTGCAGGGAGACTGAGGGAGAATAGCTTCTAAAAGTTGCTTCATAAAATACATACAGTATGTATACAGTACTTATAGGCCTGAAACACACTGGTAGAGGCCCTGGCAGTGAAAGAAAGCATAGCTTATGTTTCTTGTTCCAATGCAGTGCATCTGGACTCCAGGTTTCCCCAAACAAACAAATTCATTAGGGAAACTGCTTTACTTTCAGAAAAAAAAATTCATACAGTGTGAACAAGAAGATGACCCAGGGCTTCTTTTGTCTTTTTTAGATTGCTGTGTGAACGTGTTCTTTGAATGTGGCTAAAACCATAGGGACAAGCTCACAGCAGGAGTTATGGTAAAGCTCTGTGAGAGAGGTTTTCAGGGCAGTCTCAGTTACACCACTGGACACCGTTTGTTCTTCAGGTTATTCAGAAGCCTCTGGTTCTTAGCTTTGAATGCCACGACAAAATTATTTGGTGCAATTTTACCGTATCCTTCCTCATCTGCTTGGCCCATGAAGAGGTAATTCAAACCTGGTGAGACAAAGCGTAAAATCAAAGACGTGCTTGCTGCATTACAAATGCATAACTGCCTGATTAAAACAGCGTTGTGAAAACTGGAAATGTTGTACAAAGAAATTTCCTATTGTATGCTATTTTAATTAAATTATAGGAAAACAATTTTTCCTGTCCTTATCCTAGTTAAGAATTTTACATTAGCACATTTTAGACTAGTAGGTGTCACAAGGAGGCTGTTTACGATATTTTCTTTGTACATATCCCAGCTTACTCTGGGTTTACTCTTCAATGCCTGCAACAGCTCTGAGATGAGATACACAGAATTTGTACATTTTTCCAGCATATGAAACAGGTTGTGGGCATTATGGGCAGGAGTTTTCCTCAACCTTAAGCTTCTAGCCGTTTTAGGGTTGCGGAATGGAATGTTTAAACATTCAGATATTTGACATATGCCTGAGAGCTATTTCTATTTTTATATTCATATATATAGGTATAAATGTATGCATATGGAAGTACAGTATTTGCACCCACATTTTAAATGGATTCACTGAAACAACATACCTACCACATCTCAAGATGAATGAGTGGCCCAACACACTTGGAAGAAGTATTAATACAGTGAAACAAACTGTATTCATTGTAATAAAATACTGAATAACCTTGTTCCAGATACTTGGCCTAGCTAAATCTGCAACTGTACATAAAATGTAAACCTTGCCCAAAATGTTTTTGGCTACAATGTCTTAACCTGGGGTTTTACAGCAGTTACATCTGTTGCCAGCCTTTGAAATTGAATCAATTTCTCATTGGGTCCAGCTGGATAAAAACAGCAATGAAGAGAAAATTTTCAAAAAGCCACACACAGAAACATCAGAAACATGAGGTTCTCCACTCCAGCCTGAGGGCTTGTATTGGCAAGCTCTAGTTAGCTCATCTCCACGTATTCAATATAAGCGCACAACTATTACAGACAAGCATCTTTCCTTTTGTTGTATTTTACTGTTTCTCATCATACAGTAGGCGCAAAAACAGGAGACATTTCACTTGTGACTGAAGCACATTCAGACAAAGCAGCTCAGGTCAGTCTTAATTATCAAGAAGGAAAACTCCATCCAAACTCCAAACTCCATCTTGAGAAGACTCCATCTTCTCAATGTCACTTTTGAATGTTAGTAAGAATAAAATGACTTCCACAGGCCCCTGTACTGCTATATATTCATTTATGCTGGGTTATTTTCTGTCCTATTTTCACCCTCGTTCACGCTCATGCATTATTTACATGAAGACTAAAAACAAACCTTTGTATGATTGGATTCTGCACTCAGGACATTCTGAAAGTGCCTCAGATTCACTGTGCTGCTGTAATATATTTTAGGGGCTATTAGTCAGAAATAAGCAAGCGTAATTTTTCTTTTTTTTTTGGTTCTCGTAGTTTGTGGCTTAGAAGACAGACAAATGACCTCACTGAATCCTGTAAAAATAACACCGCTGTTTTCCGAAATGTCTGGGCTTCATTGGGTGACTAAGAGACATAAAAAAATAAGTTCACAGAGACTGTGGGATTCATCAGAGCACCATGCACCATGACGCCGCACCAACAAGCGTACCATCCCATAATAAAGGAAAAAGAGAGACACCATATGCTTTGCGTCTAGTCTCAGCTCACCCCGTCTGACGAAGGGACACTTCTTGCACAGAATGTGAATTTTGGTGCTCATGTTCTTGCCAGCCTGCTGAATCGCCAGGTTCCCCTCTTTGTAAACATTAATGATGGACACAGTGGCGAACATGCTGCCCCCTCGTGTCACTGCTGTTATGACTGTGCCTGTGATAACTACAAAAAAAGAATAAAGCAGACAACAACTTGGGTGAAAACAAAGATTTTCTGTTGGTTGTTTCTTCAATCCGAATTCTCACTTCACGTGATCACAAATGGTTTTCAGTCTACCAAGTGTGTGGAGGACACTGACAATGGGTTCCAGTCTTGGCTGAAATGTTGCTAACATTTACTGTAAGCTGTAAAATTACTGCTACAGGCAGATATTGAGATAAAAAAAGTCAAAAATAATCGGTGTGAATAAGTAATGAAGGACACCCAAGCGTTAAAACATTTTCCATATGCAAATCCAAGAAAACACTCTCAGAAACGGCAATTACGTATCTAGCACATTTGATAAACATACCCTGGAGACAAAAATATAAACTGTTCCAAGATGAACACTGGCCAGTGTAGTAACTGAATAAACACCTTCATTTACCAACAGTTTACCCACAGTTTAGCAGTCCTTGTTTACAGTAAGGAACTGTGTCTGATATATAAATCCACTGTTCCCACTCGAAATCCTCAAGGAATCTTTTGAGACGCACAGAAGCAAACTGGAGGGCCAAAGATAGTAATGCATGAAAACATGCTCTTGTTCCATATAGAGAAAACCTGTGTACTTTCTCACACATGGACATGCGCTGTCCCGACTTGCCTATCTGGCTGGAAAAGTAGACGTTTCTTACCAAAGCTGCTGGAACAGTAATTGCTCTCAGGGGTACCACTCCTTTTGCATTTTTGCTGGCAGAGTGCTACAGAGTACTTTAATGCTGTGGAGAATCACACACATACATGTAAAGATATTTAGATATATACAAAAAGAAAACAACAACATGTTCTTTCGCTCCATTCTCACCTTGTACATTGTAATCTGCTCTTTTTAATGTTGACTCCCCTGCTATAATAATTAAAAATACAACATATTTACCAAAGTTGCCATTCTTTATTTCTGCTGATTGGGTACTATCAGATTGTTACATGTTTGTATATTTTAAAGGTTGCAAAAATATTTCTGTTATTGCTTGTGGATAAGCAATTTTGTATATTGTATTGTATTTCGTATTGATACAAGGTTGAGCTGCAGAAAAAACAATTGGGATGCTAAATGGAGATTCTGACTTAAAACAGACCCAAAGCATTAAAAAATTATTAAGATAATAAATGGCAGCATTAGTACAGAATGACATCATTTTAGTGGCTGCCAAACTAATGGTATTAATTTGATATGGTACAGTAGGTTTTGGTTTGTACACATGAAAACAAAAGTCATGGGCCAATTTACTCTTCACTGTGATTTACATCAGTCATTCCATTCCAGTGCTGTTGTCCATCATTTTATTGGAGATAGGGCAGACAGACATGGACACGTCCCACACATTATCAGAATAAACTCCAGCTGAGATACAGACACTAGTCACACGGGTCAAAGTTTTCAATAAGTAGCTCTCCTCTTGAGATATAAAATCTTAATAAGCAATTTAGATTACATAGAAGAGCTTAACATTAAAATATAGCCTAAAATCCTTAGCTGCTGCCATTAAATAAAATTTAATTAATCTGTCTTTCCATGTCAGGCACAAAACAGGACCTAAATAATAGTGTGATAGAGCATAACATCTTAATAACTTCTACATACTATCTAGGCTCAAGAAACATTGTACACTTTTTACATTTACCAAGAATTCTGTATTTAGAATTCATCCTAGTAAACAAAATTTATCCCTCAGCCTGACTTGGTCACTTGGAAATATTGTTTAGAAAGATTTTTCTTTCCACATTCATAGCAGCAACTGAGATTAAAGGTCCATCAGGCATTCCAGCTACATTGTTTTCATTTGCTTGATTAAACAGAACCCTAGCATATACACTTTATGAAAGTGGATGAAAAGAAAGGATTTTGGAAATTATTTAAGACTTTCTGTTAAATTACATTTTTTTTAACTTTTTGACTCTTTATGGGACCTGACTACTAACTCCCAGAGTAAGATGTTAAGTAGCAAGAAAAATAACCGAACAGAGATGTGAAAGAGCAAAATGAAAACCATAGTACCTACGTGTTGCTCTTGTAGTGGCCAGCGTAGTTGTCATGACAGGAGGTGCTGTCATTGTGGGATATTTCTTGGGCCTGAATTTGTAGTAGCCGATGAATCCATCAGCTGTTAAACTCAAATCTGACAGGAACTGGATTAGCAGCTCGTTTCCATCTGAGAAAATTGGTCTGATAGACAAAACAAAATTTCAGAAGATGAAATGAAATGTACAAATTATTTTCCTGTTGCAGGCTAACGTTTGATCTTATGGGGATTTGAAAAATATGAATCAGTGTATCACAAGAGAATTGCGATTGATAATGTATGTTTAATAACTGGAGATATTTTAGCATGCAGCACAGCTTTAACAAGGAGACTGGAGAAACAGGTGCAGTACAGCTGGAGCAATGCTTGTAGGTCCTTACTTTAATCTTTACTTTAGACGCTAAACATACACAACTGGCACAAAATGTGGTTCAAATACTACTTGTTAACCTGACTCCATATATTATACTCAGCAAAATTGCAAGGAAATGCAGGTGCAGTAACACTGTTTAGCAATTTACTTCAACCCAGGATTTATTGTAATGAGCACTGTAATCTCTGTCCTACAGCACTTTTTTGTCTTGTCTGCGCAGGTGAGTACAACTCAGAGGAGTTAGGTTTGAAAAATGACAGAATATAGTAGGCTGCAAGCTGCATAAAAGGCACAGTGACAGGCTAAACCTTAGGCTATAATATTTCTACCACACAGAGCATTTTATAGAGCTAAGCAAAAACTATTGTAATAAACAAAAGGCAGTCTACAATCCACAAAGCAGCTAATTAATGGAGAAGTGAGCAGATACTTAGAAAGGGGTGTTTGAGGGCTCTGCTGCTTGGGTTGAGCGTGATGTAATTTGACCAGTTTAGTTTGTTGGTGTCATAGGGATCTTCTAGGTAACCAGACTGACCCACCATATTTCAAGTACAAAAACTGGACCTACGGTGGAGGGCTGTCTCCGCAATACTTCCCGATTCTTCTGGCATCGTTGATTTCTCCACCATTGAAAACTGCAACATAGTCGTAGCGGCAGTAGTTGTCTCTCTCCACATCGAATTTTTCAAACTTCACTTCAATAATCTGCGCAAATGGAGAGGAATCATCGGGACAAGTGCAATTTGCAGATGCTATTCAGAACAACTAGCAATGAGAGAGGAACTTACAAAAAGAGACGAGCCTCATGTGTTAAATAAACAGACCTACAGTTTATACAGTTAGTTAACAGGAGCTCTGGTTTTCTGTATGTGTTAATATAAAAAGAACATATCTTTCCCATAATCCCCCACACATAATAACATAGTTCAGCCCAGTCAGTCTGATATCTCCACAATCTCCAACTGGCTGATACAATATGTCAATGCACATTTTATAACACTACTACTTTATAGCACTACACTTCAAACAAACAGAAAGTCAGAAAACATCAGACCAGCACTCGTCTATGAACTTTGGTTGCCTTTTTTAACATTTGGTTGAAACCAATACATTGCTTTCATTCAAGAAATGGCTGGGTAAGATCCTTGGATGAAAAAAAAACGAATAACTACCAAACAAGCTAGATGGGCAACTTACCTTCTTTCACTTGTATGCTTTCATATGTTCTTATATTTTACTTAGCTGTTAACTCTAAGACTGCTAAGGTAATATTTCTAAAAGTACCACATGTTCCTTATTATAACCTCCCAATTTTCAAACATAGCTCCTCAGATTCAGGAGCTGTTCTTAAAATACTGATACCAGAGTTTGTTCAATACTTCCTATTGGATATCTATAAAAAGTTGATATCAAAAAGTTGCATTTCGATTATATGGTTATAATTCATGCAATCAACCATAGTGTAGCTATTTTACCTGGTTTTTTGGTGCCACAATGTGCCAGGAACAGGAAACCCCTGCTGGGTAATCCTTATCTGGCCAGTTTGGTGTTTTAAAAGACCCAGAAGGTTTGTATAAGTGACCTCCACAGTACTGATCGCCTGGAATTAGAAATAAAACAAGAATCTTCTCTGATACATGAAAAACAAATCTGCCAGAATGTTGCTGATGTATGGTATTCTTTTAACCACGGAACCACTGAGACAATGCAATCGGTAGTGGAAAGAATAATGCTAAATTTAAGATTTTCTAGTTCTGCATAAGAGGCCTACTGTAGAAACACACCTGTAAAAATGTAATTTCAGCAGGACAGGTGGACACATAAAAAATCAACACAGAAATCTTGTGTCAAGTGGCAGAGTTTTGAATACGCCATAAAATAAGTTCACTGGTGAAAACTCCAATTAAACAAGAAAAGAAAGATCTTTTTTTAATTTTGCAGAAAACAAGCACAGTGCAAGAAATCCTTTTTATCTCACTCATCTCTATAAACAGTGACAATGAAAGAAAATAGGCTGGATTTCAGTAAACCTCTCCACAAGACCAAGAAAGTAACCACATATAATTTTTGCAGAAGGCGGATCTCTCAGACTCCTAAAAATAACCTTGGGTTCTTCTGGCAAAGACAGTAATTTTTAAAACTATTGAAATACCTCATCTTTCCACAATTTTACAAAAACAAACACATCTATTCCTTGTGGATTTCTGCACAACTCAGAACATGTCTCAAAATAGGCAAAGACATAAGTAAAGAACATTGTTTAAAATGTTTATAGAAGATGGATTTAGGTTCCATGATACTATAAAAAGGCCAGGGTCATAAAAGGAAACAGACCTGTTTGTTGCTGAATAAGCTGGACCGTAAAGTTTGTACTACTATCAGATGGGCACCAAGCTGTCTGAGCTGTCTACATACCGAGCAAATACCCTGGTATTAAAGTTGCTGCAAGCACTGTGAGAAACTGACCAAACTTCCCTGCCCAATGCACATCAGCTTGGCACCAGTGTGCCACTACAGTTCTCTGAAAATTAATGTGAGAAATTCCAAGTGATATAGTGAAGGGTTTGGCCACAGAGTCTTTCCCAGCCACAAACCTCTAAATGACAATTTTTTTAACATGTACCTGTTCCAATCATCTCCTGCACCATCAGCTTCCTTTTACAAAAAATCTGTGCAAATCATTTAATTTGTGCAGTAAATCCACTGGGTGGTATGGTGACATAGCAGTTATCATTGCTGCCTCACGGTAGTGGGGCTTCGGGTTTAATTCCACATCTGGGGTGCTGATCTGTGTGGAGTTTGCATGTTCTGTTAGTGTTCACGTGGGCTTCCTCCAGGTGCTCAGGTTTCCCCCGGACTCTAAAGACAGACCAGTAGGTTGATTGCCTTCTGGAAAAACTGGTCCTGATGTGAGCGTGTGCATGTCTTTGTGCCTGCCCTGCGATGGACTGGCATCCCATCCAAGTTGCATCCTTGTACCCGTTGCCTGCTGGGATAGGCCCTGGCTACCCCACAACCCTGTATTGGATGAAGTGGCTAGAAAATGGATGAATGTAAAACCACCTGTGATCGTCTGCAGCCTTGTGATGACAACTCATGATACTTCACGAGGTTTAACGCTGCAGGATCCCCAGCCATTATTACATTTTGTGCTAAAACATGACCCCTGCTACAAAGTTTACTTACCTATGAGCTATTACCATATTGCTCACATGAACTTGTTGTTGAAATACTTCTCGTTCGCTTTCATATGCTTAATTGAAATATTAAGCCCACTTACAGAGGCTGCAGAAAGGGAGGCTGAATGAACCGTAGTAGCAGTAGCTGTTGTCTCGCTAACTCCGAACTGGCACAATCGCCAGCGGCTGCTCTCACCTCTTTCGTTAGGCTCAGCAGAGGAATACATGGCAATAAAGCCACTGCCAGCTGTGTTGGCGTCAGAGACCATCTGGACCAACATTTTGTTGCTGCTGGAAACAAGGGCCCCCGGCCTGAAGGTCCCACAGAATCTGCCAAGGCGATGGCCGCTTGAGTGCCCGCTGTACACATCCACATAGTCGTAGCGGCACAGACTGTCACTTTCCAGGTCAATGAAACCGAATCTCAGGACAGCAACCTTCCCTTCAGGGACCTGCACGGGACAAGTATAAAAAGGTATGATAAAGCAAAGCAGGGCTCTAAAAACCAGCAGGCCGTTTTTTTAAGGAGTGCCCTCTTTAAAACTGACAAACCAACAAAAACTCCAGGATCCAACACATTGTCAGTACGTTCAGGAAATGTATAGAAATGTATGCAGGGCTTTATGTACACTATATATCTCCCCAATTAATAGAATGGATATTATGAACAATCCTGATGTTTAATTGAAGAATTCCATAACCTGCTATTAATCCGCATAAACATGCCACAGGCCACCCTCTAAGACCTGGTGAAGATTGATCACCCAAGCAAAATCTTGTACTCGTGGACAAGTAATGGGTATAAAAATTGAAACGCTCAAACTTCATTTTCATTCAGAATGATAAGAAATACGACCTCAAAAATGTATAATGCCTAAAGCTTTAGTTCTTATTCTGCGGGATGCCATTTTTAAATGAGGTTGTAAGTCTACAGCACTTAACGACGTTAAAAGTTTAATCACATAAACCTCAAATATGTCCTCGGGGAAAGAAGGTTTTGCAGCTGGCAACTAACAGCACTTAAAATTACAAAGATATTACAGAAGCAGTGAGAGTTCGCTGGTTCAATCCACCACTAGACAACAAAGCTGCCCTGACATTGCACAGTACAGTACTCTGAGGACGACAGGTACAGAAGGATACAATGTTAAAGAGGTGAAGTGGTTACGTTTTTTCATTCTTCACATAAAGAATGAAGAACCTTCGAACTGCGAGACAGAAGAGATTTCAAGAAACAGATTCTGGGGAGCGTTACCCTTTAAAAAAACAGGAACTCTGCCATCATATTATTAAGGCAATGCATTTAGTTTTCATTTAATTTAGAACCCCCTGATAAATATCCCATGAAGACCGCACAAAGGCCGCATACACTGAATTTACCTTAAGGCACAAAATACCTCAACTTCAAGCTCACTGGAGAGTTCACGGGTACAGTAGCTATTGCCTTTTAAAAGTGACTAAATGCCAGATCAGCACATACAGTATCATATGATGAATTAGCTTCACCCATTATAACGCACGTCCGTTAAACTCCACGTTTTAACATATCAAACTTAGATACTTTAAAGTACTAAAAGAGCAAGTACTTGTTTTGTGTATGGAATGGTAAACAGTTTACAGTCTTGCTCACCGTAATTTTCCAAACGCATTTTGTATTTGGTGGGTATACCCCGGGGTATCCCTCGCTACCAATGAGTCCCGAATCCGCTGTTACATTTCCACCACATGTGAAAGAAGGCCTGCAAAACAATTTTAAATGTGTTAAGTTGACATTTAAGTACTGAATTAAATGTTATACGAGGTAAGAAGCTATATCGGACTAAAAAAGGATAAGATGTAAAAATCGAACACATTTTTTAACATAACTTCAAGGGACATAACTTCAATGTTGGCAAAATGAAACTGGGATTCCCTGTGCATAGGCTGTACATTACCTGCCAGAATATCGAATAATATCACCAACGTCCCGTAAAACGTTTTGCCAATTTCAAATCATACAACTCGGCTCAAACTCGCTTAACTGCCCGTCGTGCCAAGCTATGCCCTTTGAAGCTCTCACCATTTGTATAGCTCATCCAGTCTCGTCCGCTTATTTTTTACCTAATAAACTGTTCGTTCCTTCTAGCAAGTGGCAGGAGACCGAAACGCAAAGACGTTCTAATTCAGCTGAAAAAGCTTTTGTATACAAATTACCTCCGAGGTTGAGACTGCGCAGAGACCCGCGTATGCAGAAGCAGCATTAAAACGCACCAAATGATTCTCTTCATTCTTGGTGAGCTGGAGCAGGCAGCTATAGGTAGGTAGGGTTTAAGCTGCTTGAAGTCCGACTAGTGTAAAGAAAATTGTAGCCAGCTCCACTGTGAACACGAGTATTAAAAAGTTCCTTGGGGGAGTTTCTGCGGCTGCAAACTGGTGTGGATGAATATAGCGTTTGTTCCTAGGAGCAGGAGGGAACAGTCTCCTCACGAAACAGCTGCCTCCGCTTTCCAAAACCTCGGATCAAAGACTGATCGAGACAGAGTCTGAAGAGGACACCCAATACTGTCATTGATGGAAGGACACCTGACCCTATAAAATGAATGAACACATTGCGCTCTGCCCTCTTAAAAAAATACCGCCGGCCTATGTTACTGTGTCCCGGCTTGAGGTCATCTTTCTTTCTTATGGAACCGAAGAGCAAGACAGATTGTCGAAACTCTCTTCTTAATGCCCTTTGTATTATCAATGTCAAAACTGCACACACTATCATATAAAGGAAAAAAATACACTTACAGCTTTATATTTCTGACACTATTAACACAAATGCTGTCCCCTCCAGAAATTCCAAGTAAGCTATTCAGAAAATAAGAATTAGAGCAAGAGTTGTTCATCTTGAAAGTGATCGTTGAATACGATGTGTTCTGACACCAAAATTCAATTAAAACTGTCGTTTTAGGTGCTTAGGTTTAATTACCTCGCTTCCCCGTGGACACAGTTCTCCTAAGTAGATATTTGCGAATAGATCTATTCCAGAGGTAGCATATCTGTCCTGGATGAAAAGTGTATAGGCAAAAGCCAACGTGAGCGTAGTATACTGTAGAATCAGGTGTTTTGCTTCGTGAAAGGCAAGCCGTGTGTTGGCCGGACATGGTACAGAAGATATTTTCAGGCACTTTAACTTTCATCTCGGCATGTGCTGAAAACAGGAAAACTATCCTTAATATTTTGCTGAAGAGACGTGAATGAAACCCAAGTGTTTTATGTTTAATTTGTAAACTATGTGACCTCAGAATAAAAAAATAACATTCAACCATACACCTGCTTGATTATTTATACTTATATTTTAAACTTTACATAATATTTCAGTCGTATTTGCATGATAATATGCAATTACGACTGATTTATTTTACATTATTAAGCAGACCTGAAATATGGGTAAAATAAACATTGGTATCGTCTAAGTTCTTAAAAAATAAATACATTATAAAAGCGCAGAATTTTCGGAATGGTACTGTATGTATTTATAGCTATTTTGCAAAGGCAAACTAACTTGTTTTTCCAGTATCAAACATATTAAGTTGTTCATTGTAATACAAATGGCTCCACCTGGTGGTAGCATACGATAATAACAAGTATAAGCTTTGTGCCAACTTAGTTTCTAAAATTGGTCCTGGAGCCAGTCACAAACCAGTGAGTATGATTGCTCTGCCTAAATCTTCCGGGCTTATTAAAATTAGAAACACTTGGAAGGTACTGATCAATTAAGCAACTATTTTTGTCTATTTTAACTATTAAAACTATTTTAAAGACTCTGGTCCGTGAGATCAAAAGGTTCTTCAGATTTTATTCCTTAATGATCACCATCCATCCATCCATTTTTTAACCACTTCATCCAATTCAAAGTCGTTGGGGGTCAGAGCCTATCCCAGCGAGCAATAGGCACAAGGAGGGGTACACCATGGACAGACCCACTCATACTAGGGCCAGTTTTTCCATCAGCCAAGTTAACCTACCAGCCAGTCTCTGGACTGTGGGAGGAAACCAGAGCACCTGTTGGAAACCCATGCAAGAACAGGGAGAACACACAAACTCCGGACAGCCCTAATGATCACTTTATTGCTTCCTTAAAAAAAATGCATTTTCAGCTGATAGGAGTTAAGTTGTCTTTAGAAACTAACAATTGAATAGTTCACTATAAAACCTACACACAAACCTCTACAGACTGGAGTGTAAACAAAGTGTAAACAGCCTTAGGTGTAAACAAAGAATTACCCAGCCACAGGTCAGTGGACGCTCACATTTGGAATGAAGAGCCCCTCTGTGCGTTCTGGAAAATACTCCTGCACTGGTTCAGCAGGAGAGGAGTTACTGTTTTGCGCTGGTGACCTTTGCCTTGGGGAAAAGCCACAGGCTGTTTACAACCCTTTTGGTCGGCCTTTAATTTGACCCACGGGATGCATGATGGTCAGGGCAGCCAGAGACAGTACCTTTGCCAAGACAGATCTTTTTTCAGCCTGTTTACACCAGAGGCCAGCTGTTGAAAGAGGGACGTTTTTACTATGGAAGATGGTGCCTCAGCTCACACTTTCACCACTGGCTTACAGCAAATTATAAAAAAAAAAAACTTCCATCTCAGAGCTTTTCAACAGCCTTGCAAACCAGTATGCATGGGAATTTGTAGATTTGTATTGATTATTATTGATCCCTATACAATCATCCCCTAAACACACTGTATGAAACTGTCTCACCTGGGATCTTACAGGCATGGACTGCAGATGTACCATTTAGGATTCCCGATCTTATTTCAATTTACTCAATGTCTCTAGAAATGTCACATCCTGCCAAGGGTGATATTAAAGTATTCACCCAATTCATACTATGTGAGATTCAGAGAAATGTCAGACCACAGTCCTTGAAGGTCACTGTTCTGTGGGTTTTCATAAACATTTTTATATTATCAACTGCATAGGATTCATATGTGCTAACTTTGTCAAAATGGAGCACATGACCTGATCAACACATACTGTACCCTGCCAAAGATGTAGGTGGAAAATTTAACAACAGATTGGGACTTTTTTAACTGTTCGACTTCATATGTGATATGCCAGTGTCTTATCTGCAGCACTTTGTGGCTGAGAAAAAAATGAGACAACTTAAATTCCTGATGGGAAACAAATAGCTTTTAAGAGAAAACACATTCGAATTCCATTCCATAACCTTCTCTGAGATGATAAGCGGGAGGGGGGATACTTATACAGAAAAATCCATCAGCTCAGTCGTATACCTTTATTTCAGTATTATTTTATTCATACTTATTTACTAAGTATTTATTGATTTATTTCAGTAATGAAAAGTGATCATTACCACGATTACCTGATTGTACCATTACCAGCACTGCTCTCTTATGAACTCTCACTGCTCTCTTATGAAATGATGTATCCGTCATTGTTCTGTGCCCTTCTCTGCTGGGTAGCAATACGTTTTTAAAAGTAAAATCAGATAAAGCGTCCGATTTTTAAACATATCTGTACGGATTTTTATCAATTTGATTCGAGGTCTTAAGACATTAATGCCAGGTGTTATGTTCTAATGTATCCTATCAGATTAAAATAAAGTATACATTATTGCTTTTCGTCGTTCTTGGCAACAGTGGCTTATATTATAAATAAAGGTACCGGGTGTATCGTTAAGGCGCTTGACTCCTCCATGTCAACACTTTGCCCGTCCTCTCACCCATCTATATATCGGCAATCGACTCATTGAAAAAAGCCTCCGCTCCGCCGCGCTGTGATCAAGTATTCGGTGATAGATTACGCGAGTGAAGGAGGAAGGAAGATGGCGGACAAAACGCCTGGCGGTGCGCAGAAAGCTAGCGCAAAGGTAAGTTAATTTCCTGGGGGATATACTTAAAATAAGATGGCAAAGACGAGTCTGAATATTAGTTCAGCAGTGTTTGAATGTCGTATTTTGCCATAGTTGTATTTGATGTTTGTGTTCGTTGGCCTGGTATGTGACAGTCCTGGGACGAGCATTGTGCGGTCGTGCAGGAAGATGGAAGGCCGAGGGGTTTCTTTACGGCCCAAGCAGTAGTAAACGTGCGTCTTTGACCAAGGTGTCCTTGGAAAAAATATTTTCTGTACAGTTTGCGTAACGCTTTCCAAACGCTTTTCTGAAACTAAATAATGTACGCCTGACTGCTGGAAGATCTCCTTTGCAATCTTAGCCCGTATGCTTACCCCATGCCTGTGTTATGTACAGTATGTACAAACGTCTACCTTAATAGTCTCCCATGAATTGATAGTGGGTCTCAGTTGCGTCGTGCAATTTAATTTAAGGATCCGGTCGAACTGCCATACTTTGTTAATTTCAGATTATTTGTTGTGGGATCTTTATTCAAATTTAGCGCCAGGTCGCTGGCTGTTCCGTCTTTCTAGATTGAGTTACTTAAGCTGTTGGCCAGGCTTTACCGTGCATTTAAGGGCTTATGTTTATGTAGCCAAAGGAATAGTAAGCCGGTCTCTCGATACGAGGCCTTACTTATATTAGTTTTCTACGATTTCATTAAAAAAGTTTTGAGTTTCCGATGTCGTGAAGTGCCGCTCATTATAGAGAGAAGCTCGGTTGAGCGGCACTGCATGTTCAGGTATGTCCGTAGTGACGTTTCTGCATTAGAGCTATATGTGAGGATGATTATTTCTGCGGTTTTGGCTTGGAAAATCTTACCTTTTTTCCTTTAAGTTTTCAAACTTAGGTTTGTTGTATTACGCGCGAACACAAATTAGAATGGGTCTTTTTTAGCACATTTTTTTACTTGCGAGCTGCTGCACTTTGAAAAGAAACTTTGCGCTGCCCCCATTTGTTTCCCTCTCGAAACTGCGCGTTTGTGACATCTGCGCTGGTCTTTTTAACACTTTCTTTCATTTTAAAATGCTATAACCGTGGAAACCACGATTTGGAGTTGTTTGAAGGAAATGGATGAGTGTTTTTTTCACTCAACATACTGATAAAATATGAATGTTTGAAATATAACGAACAGAAATATTTGAGACGTCCTTACTACCATTAATGCATAAGAAGCTTGTTTTAATTTTTGGGGGTAAATATTTTTTTTAACTGTTCAAAACTCTACCTTCTGTCGACCCAAAATGGTTGGGGATGGATTCAGTCTGAAATGATTTTCATACGTATTCCAATGAAACTTAATATTGGTTATAACAAAGATTTTTTCGATTGTACTAGAGCGACGTTTTGTCAGATATGACTGTTTGTGGGTCATGAGTATTTTAATCTATTTCAGACTCTATTGGAGAGCAAGTTAAAGTCCTTCAGTATTGGCAAGATGTCTGCTGCTAAGAGAACTCTCAGTAAGAAGGAACAAGAAGAAATTAAAAAGAAGGTAAAAGTTGCAAAGAATGGCCTCCACGTTACTTTCAAACACTAGATGTTTTTGCCGTTTTTTAATGTAGAAATATTTTGTAAATTAATCTTTTTTAAATGAGCAATTAACGATTAGTAATTTAGTGGGGCACTAACCGTTCAGAAGTTTGTTCTGTTTTTTTTTATTACTGTAATTTAAAAGTTTGTGGCACGTATATTATCACCCCTTATTGTGTTGGAGTTGGTGATGTTCCTGGTATAGCTAGTTCAAAGCACCTTCAGATGAACCCTTTTGTAAAAATCTCTCATAACTTTTCATTAAAACATGTATTGGTATTTACGAGTTACGTAGTGTGGAATGTATGCCAACTTCTGATTTGGCCCGTTTTTTAAGCACTCCAGTATTTTGCAGTGAGGTATCACGTGTAATAACACGATGAAGCATGTAATTGCAGATGGTATTAAAGGGATGTCATTTACATTTGTTTCTGCTGCAGCATGAAAAGAAACCTTAGAACATGTTTCTGATAAAAAGCATTCTGTCCCATTCCATAGATGATTGTACCTTCGCTATTTTTATAGTCCAGCATGGGCTTTATCCATTTTAATTTTCAATAAAATAAACTTCATTGTATGAAATGCATTTTGTTTTTCTTTTATTCAAAATTCTGACGCTGGGAAAAGCGTCTTTGGAATCTCTGTTTGTAGAAGCTTTCATCACGAACTTTCATGCGTTTCAAATTTCTGTTCTAAGGTAGTGGGTGTCTGATTGTAGTAAAGTATGTTTACTTGGGACAATGTCGTCTTGCACTTGTCTCTTGTTTTAGGAGGATGAGCGAGCAGCAGCAGAGATATATGAAGAATTTCTTGCTGCGTTTGAAGGAGGAGATGGAAGTAAAGTGAAAGCTTTCGTTAGAGGAGGCATTGCAAATGCATCAAAAGGTACGGCTAATATTTCATGCTCTATGTCTCTATTTGTAGAATGTTAAGCATGAGGTGCACAACAAGAGCAAGGTGCATTTTTTAATCTTTTAGCTTGTTACTTTAGAAAGGGATTTGAAAGAATTGCTTTTGGGACCTCATTTTGTGAAGTAGCTTTGGTAACTATGATTAGTATCGCTTGGTTATATGTTAAGTTTCTTATTGTGTATGGATAATTAAAAATTATATGATTTTTTTTTCCTTTGCAGAAGAATCTGAAGCAGATGAGAAGAAAGGCAAACTGTACAAACCAACATCTCGTTTTGTGGAGCCCAAAAGTTCTTTGCCTGTTGAAAAACCTCCGCAATTTTTTGTACACGATAAAAGGCCTGTAAGTACCTTGTAATACTGCTGCTTTGTTGCTAATTTAGTTTGAACCCATTAAAAAAAAGAAATATTTTGTAAGCCGCTGGATAGAATATAAAAATAAATATGCTTTTCTTTCATAGTCATTAAAGAAGGGAGAAAAGGAAAAAAAGAAGAGCAATTTGGAACTCTTCAAAGAAGAATTAAAACAGTAAGTGTGGTCTCTTCTGTAGAGCTCAAATTGTTTCGTTTGACATTCTCTTTAAAATGTCTTTTGGTTTCATTCTTTGCAAGTTTCCCTTGTCATATTTTAAATCTTCCATAAACTAGCTTATTAAATAAGGTGTTTTTTGGGGTCACTGATCTGAACTGGCATTGACCATAAATTGTTGCAGATGCCTTACATGTGATGTAAAATAAATTACTTGATTGTTTGATTTCAGTTGTAGTTCCTATTTTTAACAAGATATTTAAACTGTTTGATACCAGTGGATATCAAGTAAAAGAACATCTTGTTGAATTACATCAAGAATATTGTTTAATGGGAAAAGATGGTGGTTACTTGCCATATTGTGAGCCCCTTCATGTCCCTGATGATTTTATTTTTAGATGCAATTCGATTCTTACAGCAAGAATTGCAGAGTCGATGATATTGACTCTTACTTTATAAACTTGTTAAACTGAGAAACATTTGAAAGACTACAAACTCTCTGTGTGGAACAGAACCATACCAACATTGTATCTGAGGAAGTTACTGCTATTACAGATTACTCAATCATCAAGCTGGTGCTTTTATTCAGTGTAATTTTTAGTACTATTGTACAGCACAATACAACGTTATATAAAATAGTTAGCAGAGCTGTTTTGTACCTTTTAAAATTACAAATTAAAAAACTGGCACTACAAAAATTGTAAAATAAATGGGCTGTTTCCTGGTCACCCACAGCAGGTTTCTCTTCCCTGTTATACACAACATATACAAATAGCACAACTTGTTTCAGGCTTTAACTAATTCACACGGACTAATTATAAGATGTGATCAAAGTAAAGTTCAGGTTTAAGCTTATTTGTTGGAATGCAGCACCTGGTCATTTGAAATTGCAGTTTACTATTCTTATAAGAGAAATATTAAACATAAGAATGAAATTTGGATTAGTGAGTTTGATTACTGTGTGCTCTTTGTTCTTATTTAAATTATAGCATATTTAATAACTTGTTTTTTTGTATTTAGAATTCAGGAAGAGCGTGATGAGCGACATAAGATGAAGGGCCGAATCAGCAGATTTGAACCTCTGTCTAGTATGGATGCGAGACGATCTTGTGAGTAGCATTTTTTTAAATACTATTGAGTCTCCTTATTTCTGTTAGTTGTTGGCCTTCCCTGTAGTACCATAGTGTCCTCGCTGTCGTTATATTGAAACAACATTTTTACTGCTTTTCTGCTTCTTTTAGCGGATGGTTCTTCAAGAAGAAACCGTCCGTCCAGTGGTAATTTAATTTTACTTTGTGGCATGCTTTTCGTTTGATATCATTTGATCATGCGGCACTCTCAACTCTAAAGAAATAAATCGCTTTGTTCTTGTTTTGTAGTTCTCGATGACTCCGCGCCCGGTTCGCATGATGTTGGGGATCCTTCTACCACTAATTTATATCTTGGAAATATAAACCCTCAGGTAACTGAAATGCTCTTGACTGCCTTTGAAATGGATGTCTGAGGACGTTACCCCGATAAGTGAGAGAACGCATGCAAAAGTGCGATTCTCGGTTGCCGGAAGAGTTCAATCAGTTGAGGTTTTTCTTTCCTAGATGAATGAAGAGATGCTGTGTCAGGAGTTTGGCCGCTTTGGTCCTTTAGCCAGTGTGAAGATCATGTGGCCAAGAACCGATGAAGAGCGTGCTAGGGAACGGAACTGCGGCTTTGTGGCGTTTATGAGTAGAAGAGATGCGGAAAGAGCATTAAAACATTTAAACGGTAAGAAACTAGTGTACCGCATAGGAAACAGTATCCTTGATTTTCATGGGAATGTTCTGATCTTTTAGTGATGTAGTCTGAAAAATCTCTGCGTGAGAACAGGTTTTGAAACGATGTCATGATTACGTGTTGTTCGAGTGAAGAGCTAAAAATGAGTTGTTTCCGAGTAGTGAGGACTCTGACTTGAGTGCTGGTTGAGCTCTATGGCCTTGGCTTGATGGGTTTGAGCCTGGGTTCCCTGGGTGGGAAAGTTGATGTATGGCCAAAGCTGCCTTGGCTTTCTGACCAACGATAGCCTCTGTGGCACCACTTCTCCTTCGGGCACGGAGGAGTTTGCACCATGCGAGGTCACGAGTGGGAGGAGCAGGTCGGTCTCGGTGTCTTGTTCTCGCTAGAGCAGGAGCCGAAGCTTAGAAAACAGTTGGTACTTCCAAACAGGTTGCGGATATAGAGCAATAATTGGCCTTAGCGTGTTGAAGTGATTTGATGACAGGCCGTCATAGAAGTCTTTTGTTTTATTCATTCCAGGAAAGATGATTATGAATTTTGAAATGAAGCTGGGATGGGGGAAAGCTGTACCAATCCCCCCTCACCCCATATACATTCCACCTTCTATGATGGAGCACACCCTTCCACCACCTCCATCAGGGCTTCCTTTCAATGCACAGCCAAGAGAGAGGTTGAAGAACCCCAATGCCGCATTGCTCCCCCCTCCCAAAAACAAAGAGGAGTTCGATAAGGTAATTTAGTACGTTATGCATGGGCAACTTAAGTTATTGTTGAATTTTTTCTTTAAGCAAGTGAAATCTGGTAAGATTGTAAAGCCTTGCTTTTCAGAAATCCTATGTTTATCTAAATAGAAAAAAATCCCTCTTTCATAATAGTCATTTACGTAGTGCACTATTTGTACATAATAACATTATGTTCCCAAACATAATGAATACAAGTAAACAGCTGTACACTGCATTTTTTTAAAATCTGATTTTTCAAAATTTAAAATAAGAAAAATAAAATTGATATCATTGCTAGTATGGTCTAGTATGTAAGGTTAAATGTTCTGTGATTTTTAAAAAAAGGTAAGTATGGAGGTCATATTTTTTATGTAGTTATTTAAGTGTCTTAGGTTGTTGTGCTTATTTCAGTATGTATTGATTTATGTACATAGTATTTTGTACTGTACAGTAGCACTTAAATTATTATGGTGAAACACTTCTGTAGCCTTAAAGAGGCATTTCAAGGAGCTGAAGTAGTTTTCTAATGCTAGTGAAATTGCTCAGTTAATCTGTAAATTGAAGTCTAGGCATTTGCATTATAACTGAAGTAGTTTTCTTACATTTTCTGTTGATTGAAATATGCAGTGCAGGGAGAAGTTAGCATTTTCTTATGTGAAAACTGACAGCAGTAAAGGAACGTTTGTTATAATATGCAATTTTTAATGCATTTTATATTTTGCTTGTTGCTTGTTAACAATACTCACATATTCTATGTTTATTATCTGATGTGACTTCATATACAGACTCTGTCGCAAGCCATAGTCAAAGTGGTTATCCCAACAGAAAGGTACATGTTTTTCTTTTTTTTAAATTGATGTAAATTGTAGAAAAACAAGTCCCATATAACTAAAACAACTTGGATTAATTGGGCGTTGCATGCTACTGGAGGTTAGTTTGAGTGAGCAATAGTTCAGGTTCAACACCCCACCCCTGCCAGATATATGTCCTGATAGTTCCTGTGGGCAAGCTAGGGGCTGTGTACTCCACCAGTTTTTTAATAAGGATTGTCCAGTTTATTCATAAATGGAACACAAGGAAAACAAAGCTTGAAATTGAACAGGAATATATTTGTAATGTTTTCCACTGTTATATAGCCTTTTCGGGCCCACTTTAGTTAGTATCTAAAATGCAAAAATAGTATATATCGTATTATATTGTTATAATATCAGTGACGTTATAATTGTATGCACTAGATGCTTAACGTAGCAGTGAGTTCACAGTCGACAGAGCAGAAATAAGTCAGATATCATTTAAGCATAAATAGCATAAGATCCCTCTTAGAATTAAGGCTAGTTTATCTCAGCCGTTCTCTGGTGTTTCTTCGTATTTCATTTACATGCATAAAATCAGGATTTACACCTTATTTTTACACTAATGGTCGAAGTTATTTGTTTGCTGTACCTAATTGCAGTGCTGTCTTAGCTTATATTGAAAAGAGTCCTTTCCCTTTTATACTATTGCTCACTCTTAACTAAAATCCTCCTGGCCTCTGTCAGCCAAGCATGGGTAAAATCAAATTACCTATGCAGATAAATCCAATCCCCTTATTCTGTATGACCTTTGACATTGGCCTTGGTGAGCAGCACAAGTTGAACTGTCTGCAGCAGCGAGGGACCAGAAAAGCGTCATGGGATGGATTGGGAAAGTATACAGAATTTTACCTGACATTGGTACGATCAGCTCCAATAAATGTGATTGTGTTGTAAATGAAAGGCATCGTATGTTGTTTTGTTGGCCACTTTAGGCTAATTTGTACATTTTACCTAAATTAATTTAAATAGCACATTATTTTTCTTGCTCGTCATCCACCTTTATTCACTTCCATGCATTCTTAAATCCTGTACATTTTATTAGTCACATTTCAAGAAGCCGCAGCTGTCACTGTAGAAAGTCTTAATTTAAAATTTAGCCTATTAAGGCCAACAATTCTATATTTTTTAAATTTAAAATCAGAAAAATTGCATTGAATGATACTGGGTTTTTAGTTTATACTGCAACAGTTTTAATTGCTACAGAAGAGCATTTGTTGTAGTTATTTCCTGCTTTTTTTCACTGAAGTTCTACATTTAAATTAGTTCTACGTTTGCACATTTATAAATTAGTACCTTTTCACCACACAATGTAAAACAGTGGTCAGACAGACAGACAATTTAATGCTTGTAGCTTTATACTACAATTTGTGAAGAGTTATAATGAAGTTCCACCTGTTGAAATAGTTATTAAAGGTCATGCTTTATTACTTATGAATAAATTCTTTAATATTGATTTAAATAAATATCTTTTTAAGTAGGTATTGGGTTCAGAAGGATTAACGTTTGAGACATTAAGATTTTCTTTAATGTCCTTTTTTGCTCTTCAAGTATTAAAATTTGAGAATGTGTAGTTTCTATTTGTGGTTTGGATATTATACCATCATGGAAATAATTCAAGCAAAGTTGGATTTTATTTATTTTAAAAGACTGGCCCCTGCTAGTCATGTTTTATGCATAATGCGTATGTTTGCTACCTATTCTTAAAAATGTGGTTTGCAGTTGTTTCACGTCAATAAATTTACACAATTTTACCTCTTAGTGTTTTGTGCTTCCAATGTCGATTACGTTGCAAAACTGCAAATTTTAGAATACTGAAGTCCGAAACATTATGATCTTGGCTGTCTTTGTTTTTTAAGCATTAAGCTTTGTTAGTAAGTTCACCCTAAAATGTTACATAGAAATGGCTTGGAAAATGAAAATTGGCTTTTAATTAGTTTAAAACAATTTGGTCTGACCTGAATTAATCTAGTAACACGATGCTTAAATTTCTAAAAGGTCTTTATATATTAACATTTCACTTAATATATACTCAGAAAATGAATTTGAAAGTAAATGTTTATCCATCCTAATTTTGCTTAAATTTGGAAGATAGCCAGAACTGTTCCATTAGTGTGGTAGAAATGTGGAGTGGAGAGAGTGCTTTGGATAGAGATTAAGATTCTGAATGTGTTTGCTTTAACTGTGTTTTTCTTATAGGAATTTGCTCTCTCTGATACATCGAATGATCGAGTTTGTGGTGCGTGAAGGACCTATGTTTGAAGCTATGATCATGAACCGAGAGATTAACAACCCAATGTTTAGGTTTGTACTTTTTTTTAAATAGTTTTTTGTCCTACATCTGCGTAGGACCATTCATTCATTTTATAATAGAATCGTTGGCTTGAATTTTCAGTTTTTGTTGACTTCACGTGAGCCTTGGGTACCATTTAGCCAGAAAAATAATCCATTTCAATTGAGAAAAGCGTTGCACCAAACATTAGTCTTTATGTCCTTTTATTTTGTTCCCCTCTTTAAAACAGGTTTCTTTTTGAGAATCAAAGCCCGGCTCATGTTTACTACAGGTGGAAGTTATACTCCATCTTGCAGGTAAGTTGTTTAATTGGTCTGGTTTCTGTTTTTAATTTTTTTGACCAGACATTTTTAATTTTTTGAGAGGATGTACTGAACTGGTTGCAATGTTTTTTTACAGGGAGACTCTCCAACTAAATGGAAGACGGAAGACTTCAGAATGTTTAAGAATGGGTCAATGTGGCGTCCGCCTCCCCTGAACCCATATCTGCATGGGTCGCTTGATGATGAGGATAAGGAGTCTGAGGAAGAGACAACCAAAAAAGGCTCTCTAAAAGAAGAGTAAGGATTTCTCAAGGACGTATGGCCCTTGTACAGTCTGCAACAATTTACTGGTTAAAGCTTTTGAATTTTTTTCAATTATGTCATTGCCCATAATCTTTGTCAAATGATAGGTTCTGCCAGATGAGCAGTTTCCCAGGCATTCACACATTTTTTTAAACATTGCTTAATAGTCCTAGCAATAAGTATACCCGGGTTCAATTTAAAGTAATTTAAATCGTGATGAAAATGTTTTCCCTTACTGGTGATTACTAAAATGAAGCTTGCCTAAATTAGCTTCACAAAACATAACACTTCACAGAGATTCATGTTCAAGAAACATTGTGTCAGTGAAGACGCAGATAATTAACTTCACAACTTTAAATCTAACTTAATTTGTTTCTCATTCTGTAGACAAAGAGACAAATTGGAGGAGATGTTGCGTGGCCTGACACCGCGGAAGAATGATATAGCTGATGCGATGCTATTCTGTCTGAACCATGCAGAAGCTGCTGAAGAAATAGTGGAGTGTATTGCTGAATCATTGTCTATACTGAAGACTCCACTGCCAAAAAAGGTGTGTTTTAATACTGTTATGCTTCCACTTGCTGTGTAAGATGCTTTTAAACTAGTCTTAAATTATTCCTTAGAGTGTTATTTTGGATTTTTGTGTTTTTTATTAATGCACGTTGCGTTTTTTGTAAATTCTTCACTTTGGGACAGGTATTCATTCTTTTTTTCTTTTTCAGATTGCACGGTTATATTTGGTATCGGACGTGTTGTACAATTCATCTGCAAAAGTTGCCAATGCTTCTTATTATAGAAAATAGTAAGTGTGCACTGAAGTCTACAAACTAAAATGTCACCCTTGGTTTTAAAAACATAAGGGGTAAAAGTTTACATTTTTTCTTGCAGCTTTGAATCTAAGCTCTGCCAGATATTTTCAGACCTCAATGCCACATACAAGACGATACAGGGCCATTTGCAATCTGAAAACTTCAAGGTATTTGTTTTTCTTCAGGATTAGTGAATGCATACGTAGATAAGGTGATAAACTGATTAATAACTTTTCTGATCTAGGATTCTTCCATTGATCTGTGATTTCATACTGAGTAATATGAGTAGTGTCATAGAGAAGCATTAGTAGTTAAGCTCAGCTATGGAATATATGACATTAAGAAGCCATTCTTTCTGTAGTTCATTAGAATCATTGACACCTCAGCTAATTTCAAGTTTTTCTTTTCCCACACCAAACACAGCAAAGAGTTATGTCCTGCTTCAGAGCATGGGAGGACTGGACTGTTTATCCTGAGCCGTTTCTAATCAAACTCCAGAACATCTTCCTTGGTCTGGTCAACCTCAGTGGGGAGAAAGATGTCGCTCCATCTGTTGTCGTAGAGGTAGATAATCAGAAGAAACACGTTTCGTTGTTCTTTTGTGTGTGTATGTGTGAAGAGAAGCCGTTTGCAGTCTTTATGATTGCCTGTTTGCTAAAAAGCATTGCCTTCTTTTTGCATCTTGCAGCCTGAAGTTGCGGAAGATCTTGACGGGGCTCCTATTGAAGAAGAGCTCGATGGGGCTCCACTGGATGATGTGGATGGTGTACCTATTGACACTGCGCCCATAGACGGTGCTCCTTTAGATGACCTAGATGGAGTTCCAATAAAGACAGTAGATGATGACCTTGATGGTATTCCTTGTAAGTCATGTTTTTGCTGCCGAACCTTTTGAAAGAAGTCATCCCTCTGCTTATTGTTTAATGTTTTTTTGTCACCTTTAAATACATTCTTTACTGTTGTTGCTCATGAATTTGAAATCGTGTCTGCTGTGAATTTTTAATGTAAATAAAACGCAGACATTCGAAATGGAGCCATCTACAATAAATGAATAAGTAGTGAATTTATGATTTTCCTAATACAACTAACAGCTGAACACAGCACTGCTGTTACAGTGACTTTAGGTGTCTAGCTCAACTAATCGTAAGAAGTACTTTCTAAAATATTTTTTTCAAGTTATCGGAATTGAATTTTGGTCGTGGTTGCATTTGTAATAGAAATTTAAGAACGTAAGGTTGCAAATGAGAGGAGGCCTTTTGCCCCATCCTGCCTGATTGCTAGTAGCTAATTGGTCCAAGGATCTCATCCAGCCATTTCTTTAAAAAGGGTGGGTTTGCCGCTTCATGTTGCATACTTTGACAACCCTTTGCATAAAAAGTGCACCCTGCTCTCAGGTATAAGTGCCTCTACAGATCATTTCTTTTGTTTAAATTAATTAGTGGAAGCTCCTAGCCAGTCAAAGGAACCTGCTTTTAAAATGGCGCCATCTAAATGGGAAGCAGTAGATGAGTCCGAACTCGAAGCACAAGGTAAGACTTTAGCTTGAAAGTTACTTTCTGAATCAGATGGACTTCATATCTGAACCTACAGTCCTCATTCACACTGAGAAATAGGAAGCATTGTTTTCCTTTGCATCTGATTTGTATAGCATTGGTTGCAGGTATTAAAAATGTAGTGTTATTCTGAAAATGTTTTGTTCTTTAGAAGCATTTTCTCTTCATCTGTTTTTTTAGTTGTTACAATAATGTAACGATAATGTGAACATACTACTGTATTTAGAATTTGGAGGGAAAGTGCCATAGTGTGACAATACTCTGGCTTTTATGGTTTCTGTTGAAAATGTCCAATGAATGTTTATTTAAAAGACTGGTGAGGCATCATAGATTTGTGAAATGTAAGTAAACTTTATATATGCTCACTGTTGAAATTAGCAGAGCAAATTACTGAGACATTCTTTTCTTTTGTGAAAGATCTGACTTAATAGTCACTTGTAAGTTATTGGGTACATATGTTCTTTACATCTGAAGCAAGCTGACTCGCACAAGTTTTCATTAAACCGTTAATTAACCTCCAATTTATAACTGCTCTATTTTAGTTTAGGCACCTAATTTTTTTCAACAGTTCTGCGTAGGTAAGGGGGAAGCATGTTATCGGTGCCCATTAGCTTGTTGCCAGCCTTGCCAATCACCAATTTGATGAAAGGATCCTGTCTTGAATCAAATGGATTGATGTAGGCTGGCAACAACTAAAAAAACAGATGAAGAGTACTTTAGTTGTAATACCTCCTTTACTAAAAAACATCTTTGGATCAAGACACATTATCACCCCAGGTTTTGCTCATCGATTCATTTTTTTCTGGAATAAAAATTAATTAGCTTGAGTTGGTACTTTGTTTCCTCAGCGGTTACAACATCAAAGTGGGAAATATTTGATCAGCCCGAAGAATCTGAAGGAGAACAGAAAAAGTAAGTGAAAATTATCCTTCTTTGAAATCTGATTAAAAAAACTAATTGAATCAGTAGGCAAAGTTATTAATTTCCATTATCATTGCATCCTGCATTCTAATTTGCAGTGGTGCGAAAGCAGGCTTATCAGGAGATTGTCTTGGGTACATTACAGTGTTGAAAAGTATTGTATTTCGTTTCCAAATTTCTAGAACAGTATTTTATGCCCTAAAATGACCCTAAAATTTATTTTATCGGCACTAGACTGTATAATTTGCAAGGTGATATTTAAAGATATTTCTCATCTTCCCACTCACATTATTGTGAACATAATCTGTGCCAATTATATACCTTTTCATAATCACAAGGGTAATGTTTTCCAATGTTTTCATTTTTGAAGCTTTGCTTCTTTTAGTGAATTTTTATTGTTCACTTTTCTTCCATAGGGAAGAAGAAGAAACTGACGATGATGATGATACCAGGAGTTCTCGATCAGAAGAGCAGTCGCTCTTTTCCAACCCAATAAAAGAGGAATCCTCCGACTCCAAATTTTCTGGAAAGTACTCTGAAATGAGTGAAGAGAAGCGTGCCAAACTAAGAGAAATTGAGGTAAAGGCGGAGACCATGCCTCTCAGGTTTCATTTTGTTAGTTTGTCACATCAGCACTGCTTGGATTTTTACAGCTTTCTATTTTCATACAGCTAAAAGTTATGAAGTTTCAAGATGAATTGGAGTCTGGGAAACGACCCAAGAAATCTGGACAGAGTATTCAGGAGCAAGTGGAACATTATCGTGATAAACTATTGCAAAGGGTTGGTAAAGCAATTTTAATAATAAACATTTTTACAGTTGTAATACTCCATTTGTTCCTACCCCTGTTTTGTAATCGACAGAGTAGTCAGATCTAAATTATCACATTTACAGTTCATCACCATATAATTTCTGTTGTAGGATTTTCTGGATTGCCCACCACAAGGGGGCACTAATACTGTATTTCTAAAAACCTTTTTTTGTAACTGCAATGCCCTATTATATTGTTATATCAGATTGTGGAAAGATGAGTAACGATGTTAAGCTGCACAAATATTGCAACCCCCAGTCCCGAGTCATTACAAAGGGAAATATTGTCTTATTCTTCTTCATTGGAATTTCAGGTGTAATATTTTAATTGACTGAATAAGTAAAACACAGGTGGATAAACTAAAGTGAGACTGAAGCCAGTGAAAAGGGATTAAAAATAACTTAATGTCAAATTTCAGTTGTGCGGGGACCAAAGGTCACACAAGAGGAAGCTCCCTAAGCTTCTGAAGGGCGGTTTTCGGCCCGCGAGATCAGTACTTAGAAACCTGAAATTATACAGTAGTATTAAAACAAGGTTCTCCCCTCTCCCGTAATGTATTAAAAATTAAATAGGAAAACTCACATTTTATTTTTGCATATTCTGCTTTGATTTGCATTCCAGGAAAAAGAAAAAGAAGTGGAAAGAGAAAAGGAGCGGGACAAAAAAGATAAAGACAAATCAGAAGTTCGTTGTAAAGAAAAGAAGGAAAAAGATGATTCAACGCCAACCAGAAAGGAGAGGTTAGTTGTTTCGGAAATACTTAAAGAATTTAAGTATACTTGTTCAACAGACAGTTGGACTAATTAAAAATATTAATAGGCAAATTTAAGTAGTCTACATTCTTCTGAAATTTTATAATTATTTTTCTCATGGCTTCCGCATCACTCACGTTTTACTCTTAATTCACAGTATTTCGTGTATTCACATCCTCATAAATTATGTATTCGGGTTATTTAAGCAATAAAAACATTGGAGATGATAACCTTTTAAATCTACCTTGGAATGATTCAGGGATTAAATTTTAGACTTCGAAATAACTCAATTTAGATTGACTGGTAGAGCTGTTGTGAGTCTGACAGGTGGTGTCCTGAGCTGGGAGTGACAGGGATCGCCTAGTTGGCAGAGCATCACTAGGGCACAAGTCTCCACGACTACACAGGTGCCTACTTACTTTCAGGCTTGTGTTGATATCAGTGAGGTCTGTGCCTTTCCTCCCATCAATGTCCATCTCCAGTTGGTGCATGTCTGGCCTTCCTGGTTCTCTCCATACATTAAGGAGCCATTGCTCTGACCCAAAATGTGAAGGGACTGTTGGCATTTCCAAATCAAAAGTAGTTAACTGCAAAATGCAAAAAGAAAAATACAATGATAGAAGTGGGGTCACTAGTTCTTACGAATTATAACTGAAATTATCCCAGACGAGAAGAGTCCTGGATTCTCATAGCATGTATCCTGCTTTTTTCAGGAAACGAAAGCACAGTGGGTCTCCCAGTCCTTCCCGGAGCAGCAGAAGGGGGAAGTCCCCGTCCCCTCGGTCTGAGCGATCGGACAGGTCATATGTAAAGGAGAGCTCTCGGTCTAGGTCCTCACATAAAGATTCTCCAAGAGACACTAGTAAAAAGTCTTCAAAAAGGTATATGACTAATGTAGTTCTTGCACACAAGAAACAATTTCTGAGGTGTTACTTTTGATAAATTATTTTGCTGCTATATGTATACCCTGTATTGTCTCACCACTGTGTAATGAATAGAAACAAAAATTAGTGTTCTGCTCCAATGCATACTCAACAGTGCATCACATCCTGTCTCCACTGCCTGAGGGAATAGTATAAGCTGTAAGGTGCAGTAATGTAATTTCTCTCAGGTTATTTGTTTTTTGTAGTTATTGCATTTGTCACATTTCTGATGGTGGTGGACCTAACAGTTTTCATCTGAGGCTTAATGTAACTTGAAGCCAAACTTTTAATGCATTCATTAGTCATCTTTGTATTTTTTTTATTTACATCAGTATTGATAAGAGGGTCTAAAACCCTTTGGCTAATACAGATTAATCATTCGGCAGTTTGTTTAAAACGCTGAGTATTTGCTCAAGAATATTTTAGATAAAATTGTGGTTTCTTATTCAGAAGCAACATTTTACATTTTCTGTCCTAACCCTACTTATTAACCTCACAGACATTTTGGTTGTTGGTTAATGAGATCAAAGGACTATTTTTTTCTATAAATCCAAAAATAATCTCTCCCCCCCCCCCCCCCTTCATTTAGGTCACCTTCAGCACCCAGGACACCCAAGAGGTCTCGGCGGTCTCGTTCTAGGACACCCAAAAAATCAGGCAAGAAATCCAGGTCATCATCCAGATCTCCACATCGGTCTCATAAGAAATCAAAGAAAAGCAAGCACTGACGAACAGTGTGCCACCCTCACCCCCACCCTTAGCTGTGATGTAAAAAGTTAATGGAGTTGCAGTTTTGTTACGTGCCTGGGAAAATTGTAAAAATAAAAATAAAGCATTCCTTCCCCCCACTCCTTCCTTTTTTTATGCACGTATAACCATGCCGTGAGCCCTCCCTTTCTGTAGAGCCAACGATGTTTTATATTGTAAAATAATGAACTTACCTTGTGTTGAATTTCCTACATGAGATAGATTTAATCATCCTTGTTATGGATTGAACTTGTGTATCTGGTCTCCTGACAGTAGTTTTATTTTCATGATTGTCAGTTTTTTCTTTTTTTGTAGTTGACATGAACAGGATTTAAAATAAAACATGAAAACCATTTGTTTTAATTGTGAACTTTTCCCTTTTTTATCAAAAATAAGGTTATAAATGTCTTCTGTTCATAACCATTTCACTACAGTATCAAAGTGTAGTTTTTCAGATTTATTTTTTTTTGGTAATTTGGTTTTTGCATGTTGCTGATAGTGAAGTTGGACAGATGGAGAATACATGGGGTAAAACAGTTTATGACGAGAGAAACATCTAATTGGTAATTGATAAAAATCCTGTAGTGAAATTCACTCAGTCTAAAACTTTTACTTCAGTTCAAAATCTTTAATCAATTATCATTATAGAACTCATTTTGGTAAGGTGTATGATTAATTTTGAAGAACAATTCCCATGAATATCGGAAGTTGAGGTATTGTGTTTAATAGATGCAGTAATGCCTTTAGACAATTGGAAAGGGGAAACCAGATTACTGACTGTTATGGTTAGAATTTATTTTTCTAAATTGGATAGAATCTACACTATATAAAGGTAAAGCTAATAAAATTAGCTTGATTGTTGAAATTTTTTGCACTGGTATTTTTAGAATGCATAATATAAAACTTCTGCTTTGGCTTATTCTTTCTGTCTTTAAGGAGCAAATATGAAGTCACATTGTTTCATAAGATTAGTTTTTTAGCTGTTTCAGCAAAACAAGATAATGTTAACATAACTATCTACTCTACCCAAAGGAATCTGAGTGTGCTTCTTGTGGGACACATGAGCCAATTACTGCATATTAAAGCTACCTGTATATTGCACTTAAATTGATGTACTTAGAATTAGTGGTTTGCCAGTAAATGCATCCTCTTATTAAACTGGCAATGATGCAGAAAGGATTGTTTTGCATATTATAAAATGCATTTCTTATGTGGGACTTTAAAGTTAAATGTTGTGTTTTCTATGTATATATGCCACAGGAGCTTGGGTTTTATAAAAGTAACAGGGTTACACTTGTGCATCCACTGGTTCTAATGACTGTTCTGAACAACATGAGTGAAGCTTTGAAGAATACAATGTTTCTTCAATTAAATATTAAGTGTTATTTCAAATGTGACTTGGCTCTATCAAGGCAGCCAAAAAGTGCAATTGCACCTTGGTTCCAAACTTCTTCCAGAGATCCAGAGATTTAACACAAAAACGCACTATTAGCTGCAAAGTTTTGAATTGATCTATTGCGTAGCAGTTTGTGTTCATGCTGAAGGTAAGGGGCTCATTAGAAAGGAAAATAAACAGCAGTAGCTTAATTGCAGACATGACTGGTTGGAAAAACTGCTATTGTGATTTTGATTGAAAAATGACCTGCATGGTTCCTCCAATAACCATCCATACTATAGTGTTCTTTACAAATGGAGAAGAAAAGAAAAGTTAAGTAACAGTAAAGAGATGCTACCATAGAAACAAAAACTGTAGTAATGGACAGAAGATGCTTAACCACATAATGTGAAATGATAGAAAGGCTGAAACACCCTGTTAGTGTTGAGTGGCTCATCATACTTGAGTTGTACTGCATATCTGTGATAATGTCACTCCTTGCTGATGTTTGATTCCATCTGGATCACAGCATATAGGTCAATGGTCTCCCAAAAGACAAAGCCAGAAAACCATCTTCAAATCTGGAGACTTGAGTGCTATGCTGTTGTTAACAATTTAACAACACAAAGATATAATGTATCATCACATCAGTAAACAGCTGTTGTGTTAACTGTACTAATTTGATGTCAACACTGCAAACATAAGATAATCAGAATAAAATAGTTTTTACAACTCTCAATCTGTTTGCCTACATTGCCTTTCCATCAGTTGTTTTTGAAAGGGATTTTAAGCACCATGTTACTCTCATCTTGGCTTTCAGATGACACTCGGCTTTTCTTGGTTTCATATTTCATGTTACTTCAAGCTCAGTTTTTCCTCAGGAATTTCTTTTGTTTTTTGCATCCCGTGGACACAAAAGCCCCTGTCTGTAATATCACACAATCTCAGTGAGATTGGACACTAATACAGCCCTACTGGAAAGGAAAGCAGTCATGTGAAGATGAGAAAGCCTGCTTATTTTATAAACCCATGGACTGTATGTGAGAGACTTGACATCCATTAACTGTCAGGAAACAAAAGAAGTGGAAAATTTTGTCTGGTTTCATTTCTGAGTGTGAATGTTCAGGTAACTCTCGAACCTACCCTTTTCATAGAACACAAACAGCTCCCCCAATTACTAATGCAGTGTATAGTAATGGCCATATTCTCTGTGATGGCAATCAAAATCCAAAAACAATCATTTAGATAGAAATTATTAGTATTTATTACAAATGTTAATATTTTGCCTACTTTCATCTTGGTCTCCCCATCCATAAGCTCATATAGCATTAAGTATTCACTGCTCCATTCTCCACTGGAGACTTTAACCTAGTACTTCTACAGTACATGTTACTATATTTAAGCTTTGGATGTTGCTTTCAGCAGCACAAGAAACTTAGCTAGTCTGGAAGTGGATTTGCTAAACAAAACAAACTCCTTATGTGTACAAAAAAACTGCATGATCAAAATTATTTCAGAAGATCCTGTCATACCTAAATCCACAATAAAATCTGCTCTGCCAAATTGTTTCTCTTCTGGTGATTCCAGGAAGGGTTTGGGTTGCTTGTGTGATAAGATTTGATTTCCAAAAAACTTCACAAAATAATAAAAGAAACTTGTCAATATTTATGCATGTTTTTAGAAAAATAAGGTATGGGTTTTGGATAATTGTGGCATAGTGGTTAGCACTGCTGCTTTGCGGTGCTGGGGCCCAGGGTTCAATTTCATGTGTGGGGTGCTATCTGCATGGAGTTTGTATGTTTTCCCTGTGTTTGAGTGGGTTTCCTCCAAGTCCTCCAGTTTCCTCCAGGAGTTCAAAGACTTATTGGTACTGTAAAACCAGTAAGTTCCAAAGGTGACCAGGCCTCCCAGAGCGACGATCGTGAAAAAAACCCAAGTTTACACGTGGATGTAGGTTAATTAGCTTCTGGGAAAATTGTCCCTGGTGTGAATGTGTGTGTTTGTGTCTGTCCTGCAATGGACTGGGGTCCCAACGAGGGTGTACCTTGACTTCCCCCATTGCTTGCAGGGATAGGTTTAGGCTCCTGTGCAACCCTGAACTGGATGAAGCACTTAGAAAATGGATGGATGGAATTTGGACACAGATTAAATTTTTTCGGTGTCAATTTGATCACCTTGTCATTAATGACTACTCAGGAATGCTTAAGCACCTTTCACTTTATTAGTGAAAGACATCTTTGATGATAATGGAATTTAGCCTGTTTAATGTCAGTCTGTTACGATCCCTGCCTCTCGGCAACAAAAGAGGCAGAAGAAGGTGTAGCCTTAGTTCATCAGTCCACCTATCACTGTACGCGTTCACCACCACACCTCCATCTCATCTGGTATTTAAGCATTAGTCTTTCCCTACCTCCTCACTCAGTATTGGTTTCCCTTTCGAGCTTCTTAGTTGCGCTACGCCTTCAACCTCCTCGTACTGTTCTGGTTCCGATTTTGTTTTTTCCCCTTTTACTACGTCTATTGGATTATGGCTCGGCTTCGGTTGCCTTCTTCTAGTTTGGTTCTCTGGCTTCCCCTGGATTCTCGGCTCTCTCCTTCGTCTACGGTTTTGGATTACGGTCTGGCTTTGGCTACTCTCTCTCGGTTTGGATCACTGGCTTCCCTTGGACTCTCGGCTCTCTCCTTCGGCTACAGTATTGGGATCACGACTCGTCTCTGTCGGCTCCCGCAAGTGGGTTCACTACTTGGTTTCGGTTTCACTGGCCGAATCCTTAACACAGTCCTTAAATAAACAGAACGAACAACACAAAAAGGAATATATCTTGGTTTTCAAGAGAGCAATGTCTTTGTTCAATGGTGGGTTAGACACTCACTGTGGGGGTGTTCATTGCCAGTAATTTTTTAACCTGGTAAGACTTTATATTTAGGCATCTGCTGAAAGATAAGCCATGATCAGGGAGACAAATCACAACAGCTCTTCAAGTTTGATATATCATCATCCAATTATGATGGCCTGAACAGGAGTGTCAAGAGAGATTGCTAGTCTAATCGCTTGAAGTAATTGATGGCCACCTGAATGCCCGGCACTATGTTGGTCAATTCCTGGTTATCACACTTTTTGTCATTCGTGAGGACTGATCATGGCGACAACATTCCAGCAGGAATGTTCTGCAATGCATGTTCCTTATTGTTTGTGTACCAATGGCTTGTGATATAAGAATTTGACAGTTATACCACAAAATAGCATCTGCAACCTGGAGAGAAGCGTGTCCAGTAGTGGGCACATGCTGTACATTACTGGCCTGTAACTTTCACAGTAGATGCCCTGTTGAAGACAAATGTTATTCAGAATAATTCATTTACCTATATCATATCTGTTCAATACAATGTCAGTGCACAGCCAGGAATGCTGACTGCTCATTGAAAAACCCTGTTGAATGCCCCACAGCTGCTCTTAATTAATAATTACCTCTGAAAGGAAGATATATTTATTACATATATCATATTAACACCTGAAGAAGGCTCCATGGCTGAAACGTTGTGTTTTGTTTCTTCTTTTTTTTCAGCATGGAATAAACCTGTTCCTTTGCAGCATACGCATGCTGACGCAGCTACCCACCTGAACTTCATTACATATATCATTACAGGTGTCCCTGGCCAAACAGGATCAGCTGGTAGAGCAAGTCATGGGAGAACGTTAATCTTGGTGCTTGCTGATGAATGGCA